TGCACACAGACAGTCGAGTCTTAGGTTGGTTGGGGGTGTGAGGGGCCAATGAGGGCGGGCGGCAAGACACTGAGACACAAGGCCGTTTTGCGATTCAAGGCCCTGGTGCAGAGACAAAGTGGGATTTCTTCAGTGCTTCACCATCGTTGGCCCGAATGCCCGAGTTGGCTCATCACATCCAGTTTAGCAGTCCGCGGCTTACACGGGGCGCAGAGACGACAACGCCCAGGCCCCCTGCTAGAGGGTCGCGGACTGGAGTGATGGATCAAGAGGGTGATGGAGACGGCGGCTCGATTGGACTCGATTGTCGTGCGAAAGGAGTGAAGTATGGGCGATCGTTGATGGATACCTACTCACGGGAACGGATGAGAGAATGTGTCTATTATTAGATGGGAGACGGGGCGCGTGTCTCTGATAGGCACGCCAGCTTGCATTCTGGTACTGTATGTATGGCATAAGCTTGCTCATATCACTGTCATGTTGCATTCGCGGATGAGGAGGAGACAACGGTATCAACGAGAGGGCGATAGCGTTGCTCGCGTCGTCGAGCTTGTTTCTCAGGTGTCCATACCCGACTTGGGGCGAGTTGCTGGAGTTGGCTGGCCTGACCGAAGGGCGGGCTGGGTCCAGTGGCTGAAAAACCGAGGTCAAGCGGTACCCGGCTGGACTTGCAGAAAAACTGGACTGAAGAGATGGACAGTGCTGCAGAATTCACGGGCAGGTGTGTTAGCGGCCATGAGGTAAACTAGGAGGTCCTTCCCTAACTTTCCCTGGCTTCCTTGACCCGCGGGGCAAGGTTGAGAGATCCATTCCGTCCCTCTTTCTATCGTGGACTGCACCCGGCGCGTCGTTGCTGGCTCCACGAAACTGCAGGGTCCCCTAGGGATTTCAGGCGGTTTGCTGCTACTGTGGCTCTAAAACGTGCGTCAAGTCACCTCTATCCCGTACTCGGGAGCTGGGTCTCGACATCTTTCAAACACTGGCCCGGTCTAGCGCCTACCGTTCTCTTCTGGGCTCTGGCCCGTTCGCATCCTGCCGTTGTGACCAGTAACCTTGGTACAAATTATCCATCGTATCCGCCGTTGTCGCAGAGAAACAAGCGGCCACCAGAAAGCTAGGGGACCTAAGCAACAGCAAAACCCGCCGGTGAACAGTGGGAACGGTGCCAACCCCTGGCCCGAAGGGTCTATCTATGTAGTACGGTGCCCAGAGGCCAGAAAGGGGCGAGGTCAGAAAGAAGTCCAGCCGCTACTCGCGCGCGGATTGGTACCTGAAGCCGACTCCCCGGGATGACCAGGTTTGGGCCTTGAACAAGAGATACGGAGACAGCCAGCCGCCTCCAGAATCCGAAACCTTTTCTGAGCCCTCATTTGTCGGCCTGACGTGCTGGAGACCTGTGTCTTGACACTAGACTGGACGGGACCGGACTGGACCGTGGCTCGAGTGGGCTGCTCTTGATGCACCTGGGCTCCTGACACATTGTACCTTCTTCCTCCGGTCCCTGCACCTGATGTTTGTGTGTGTGTGTGGGTGTGTGGGTGGGTGTGTCGGCCGGCCGGCCTCGTGAAAGTGAGAGCGAACCTTTGTTTAACCTGACACCACTCACTCCGTGCATCGCCTCTTTTTCCTCACCTATCAACTTCTGCACCCGTTTCTACTTGACTCTGCTTGTGTGGTCCTTCTACTTCTTCCCCCTCCCCCTCCCTCCTCTTTTCAACATCCCGCCCCGACCCACGTACCACCCATCTACTGATCGAGAGCAACCTCATTTACTTCTACGAGGCTTTCTCATTTACTCCTACCCAGCAACGCGGAGCACGTTGCCTATTTCTTGCTCGTTCGCCCCCTCCCCCTCCCCCATTCTCGGGTCGCCTCCCTTCCTTACCTCCCCACCCCACCTTGGCCGAAACGGGGACACCATCGAGAACAATCACACCGATAAATTTCGAGCCATTCTGACGCCCCTCTTGGCCCCTTTCCTACAACCGCCTGTCGACCTCGAATATTGTCCATCGCCTTGTCGCCCGATACTAGAACTCGCTCACGACCACGCCGACTCCCTACTCGCCTGTCACTTGGCTATTGAACTCAGGACCCTCGACCCTTCCGCACCTCGCCCGCCTCTTCTCCGACGCTACGCCGATCGTTGCAATTTGTCTCAGTCACCATCCGTTTTTGTTGTTCTCGCTCAGAGGAGGCGACCAGTGGTTTTGCATCTTCGCCGACGACGAAGATTTCCGGCGTCCGATTTGTGGTAGCACCACTGCGCAGTACGCATTGACGACTTTCGACGATTTATAAGCTTTGACACGGCACAGGCACAGCTCGAGTAGTGGTGCAGAAGAGCAGTTGGAGCACATACATTATACCCAACCGGCCAACAGGGCATGACAGCGGCCTATTTGTCGCTGTAATCGCTGGTGTATTCCAGTTTCACTTCTGGTCTTTCGTACTTGACTCTCCAAGTGAGAGCTAGTAGCCCACCATGGCCGACCCATTTGCGCCTCGATCCATGAAGCGCAAGAACGTCAAGGGTCTCGCCCTGACACCTGCCGCGCCCAAGCCTCCTCCCACCGCCGAAACCAGCAGAGCTGGATACGATCCCCGCGATAAGGATAGCGGTGAGCAGTCAGCGCAGTTGGAAATCGGCATCGAATACAAGCTGGACCTGAGACCAGAGGACCTCGAGATTCTGAAGGAGCTTGGTTCAGGAAATGGAGGCACCGTCAGCAAAGTCAGACATGTTCTGACTGGAACCGTCATGGCACGCAAGGTCAGTAGTTTCTTCGAAGGCAATGCATGGAGTCGATATTGACCAACCTTAGGTTATCCACGTGGAAGCAAAGAAGGAGATGCGTAAGCGCATTGTTCGTGAGCTCCAGATTATGCATGGCTGCTCGTCCGAGTACATTGTCAACTTCTACGGCGCCTTCCTGAATGACCACAACGATGTCATCATGTGTATGGAGTACATGGATGTCGGGTAAGCTCTCAGAAAAGGTTCAAACGGCCCCGCAAACTTTTGTTAATCCATATTCCAGCGCCCTTGACCGAGTATCCAAGGTTTTTGGCCCAGTTCGAGTCGATGTACTAGGCAAGATTGCCGTGGCCACACTTGGAGGATTGACCTATCTTTACTCGAAGCACCACATCATGCACCGAGACATCAAGCCGTCCAACATTCTTGTCAACTCTAGAGGAAGCATCAAGCTGTGCGATTTTGGCGTTTCTGGCGAACTCATCAACTCTGTCGCAGATACCTTTGTCGGAACGTCGACGTACATGGCCCCTGAGCGGATTCAGGGTGAGAAATACACAGTCAAGTCGGACGTCTGGAGTTTCGGTCTCACCATTATGGAAATGGCTATTGGAAAATTCCCATTCAACGCAAGCGAGCAACTCTCGGACGGCGAGTGTGCGCCGGCAGGAATTCTGGATCTCTTGCAGCAAATCGTACACGAGCCCGCGCCGAGACTACCAAAGAGCGATGCCTTCCCCTCGATTTTGGAAGACATGATTCAAAAGTGTCTGTCCAAGGTTCCAGACGAAAGGCCTACTCCCCAGGAGCTTTTTGTGAGTCTGGATCCACCATCTACGGGCGAATTTGCGTCCACTAACATTTACTCTGTAGGACCGTGATCCATTCGTCCAGGCTGCGAAGAGAACACCAGTCGACCTGAGGGAATGGGCGGTGGGAATGATGGAGAGGGACAACCGCAAGTCTCATTTGGCACCTCAACTGTCGCCGGCCACTCGCGATCTCCTGAACTCGAATGATTCTCCAACATATCACGGCGGGTCTGGAAACGATCGATCCCTCGACACCCCAACTTCAGGAGAGATCCCTATCGCGGGCGCTGGTATTATCTCTCCGCGGGAACCCGCAAGCCACTCCAACCGTTCCCCCACTCGGAATGGGCTCAACACCATGAGCAGTCGGCAGCCAGGCGGCCATCCTGGCATGGGACAGAGGATTGTTACAACCAATTCGATCCCTAAGGCTGGCGAGTATCCGAACAGCGCCGGTCCTGTGAGCGCCAATGCCGCCTCATTCAGCCTGCCTGTTCGCCCTGCTCCCGGCGGTCCCCTGCCACCAGCCCCTCCTCGCAAGGGGACTCCCGATGACCCAAGACGCGAGAATCGGCGACAGGCGACGTTTGGTATGCCCCCGGCGCCCAGGAGCTACGCGAGCGATGTGTACAACGGTACCTCCAATTAGTTGCAGGAGGGCTTTGACTACATCCATGGTGGTGCGCCTCAACCTTACCAAGCACAACCACTGCATAATAGAGCATCAGGCCGCGCCGTTTTGCTACAACAACCAGAGTCGTCTTCCGATCAAGGGCCAAGAACTTGCAACGTATTTGCACAGACAGCTTTCCGATCACCGTCTGACAATCCGGTGGAACGAGCGATCGCATCAGCCCCGATCTACCCGTCCCAGCGGTCACCGATGCAGGACATGAGAAGCCACAGAAAGCGTCGCGCAGACAACGTCGCTGGCTTGGAGGACCCTTTTATCTAGTAACAACCCAAAACCTGCCAGATTCACCTAACTCTTGCAAAGGCCCAATAGCCAGTTATTGAGTTCTGGCCCCCGCAAAGTTTTCTCCGCTTTCTTCATCAGCATCACTCGGCGTATGTATCGATATCATTCTCTTGCAAATCCGGGCGTCTTTTTGAAGTTTGCCCACGATTTCAGCCTTTTTTCATCCTTTAGAAAACTTGGACAAAGTGGCCTTGATCGACTGCGACCAAGACGGGGTGGATTTCGTCGACAAAAAGGGCCACCCATGTAAGGGATTCCTGTATCTAGCATGCTTGCACGACGGATTTCATAGGAGGCTACATGCTGTCTAGACAGAGTGAAGAATTCTTGAGCAATGCACCGTGCTCTTTTCCCTGTGAACTTTCTCTCCGCTTACGAAATGTGTCATTCAACGAGCAAACAACCAAACGTGTACCTTTAACCAACGCCCGAATCCACTTTTTTCTTATGATCAAGACTTCGATTCCCTACCGCTAAATCCCTCCTCGAGGATGGGAATCAACTCGTCTAGCCGATGAATCACCAAATCAGTGTGCTCGTGGTCAGTCAAGTACACATTTACGTCATTGGCGAGCAATACCGTCGCTGCGCCAGCCTTTCGACCCGCGGTCATGTCATCGATCGAGTCCCCAACCATGATCAACTCGCTGGCATCACCCCGAACTCCTTCGGCTCCTGCTGCGGCGTCGCTTGCAGGCTCCTGCACTGCCTCTACCGGCTTGACCAAACCCCAGCTCCGAGCGATGTGCAGAATGCCGGCGGGATCGGGCTTGGGTGGGCGGAAGTCACGGGTAATGACGGGCTCGAAGAGTGAGCCCTCGAGAAACTTGCCGAGCAGGTGGGCGACGGGAGCGTCGAAGTTGCGGGTGCAGATGCCCTTACGGACGCCGCGGCGGTCGAGGTAGGACATGAGGTCAGCGAGGCCCGGCTGGGCGACCTGGGAAGCCATGGCGGTACGCTCGATCTGGCGGACGGACTCCATGGCCGTTTCCTGGGCCTCCTTTGTAGGAAGGGCGTAGATGTGGTCGAGTATGTCAACGGACTTGGTAATGCCAAGGGCCTGACGCATCTCGCCGAACATGTAGGTTTGGGGTTCACTAGTGTCTGGTGAGTAAACAGAGTAATGGGACAAAAGCATGAGGGTTCCCACTCGGGGATTGAGATGCTTGTCAAACGAGGAAAGGAAGTGCTGAAGTTGATTCAAGCAATGCCATCTTCCTCAGTTGACAGTTGAGAAAGAATGGGATGAAACCAAAGAGAAATAGAGCGTTGATCAAGACATACCATAATGTTCCGTCCACATCGAAAACAATGCCCTTCAGCCGAGGTGCGGTTGAGTTGGCTGCGGCTCCGGGTTTCAACGGTGCAAACCGCCGGGGAGTGACTGAAGCCATATTTGCAATAAACCGCTTCATAAAAAGAGACGTATTGTCACCGACGACTTATGGTGACGGATAGAAGAGGGGAGAAAAAGACCAGGGTGTATGTATGGTATTGGAAGTCCTAGTCAATTATTATCGCGATATTTCGATAAGTCGATAAGAGTCCTTTGACTCTTGTGGAGTATAGCAACTAAGACGAACAAGTAGGTACTTGCGGGATCGATGACCGGCACTGTCAATCCGATGCAGCGTCTTTCGCTCGGTTACGCGAAATCCCGCACCGGGCAGGGCACGAGGGGAAGTGAATCGAGACGCTGAGCTGGAAAACAGCGCTGGTAATGGTGGGATGTCTCACAAAAATCTGGACCCCGGCATGGGAGGTGACATCGGCGGCGAGCCTGGCAGGTGGGCGGTCGGCGCGAATCTTCTGTAAGGCAGGAGAAGGTCTGGGTGGGGAGAGCTGTCGCATTCCATGCGGCGGTGCCGCGTGCCCATTCTGCAGAAATCTAGACCGGCAGTAGCTTTTCGTACGGATGATCGGTCGTTAGGGATTTCATATAGACGCCTTTGCAGTTGGCAATGGGCCTAACAGCGCTTGATTGAGCAGCTTTGCCTCTTTCTTGAGGATATTAAATTTTACGCACCTCACAACCAGGTAACCTAGCAGCGACCGCCACACGTTCATCCCTACCGCTACCCTACATTACGTTAGAACCAAACCTACCTACCTAGTAGAGACAGCTCCCGCAAAGCTCCCTCGTCGAGAGCGCATCGCATTCCCACGACTGCTCCAACACGGCTGACATTTGGGTGCTGTGCAACACCCAACCGTGATGAGCTCGTCGACCAGCAACCAATGGCCACCTAGGCGGCCGTCGAAACGGAGCGTAAGTGACATGTGCCGAGCACGGAAGTGCGTTTGTCGCGGCCTGTAGCTAACCCGCGATGCGACCCCAGAAGCTACGAAATGGCACCTTCATCGTCCCAGGCACCGGCGAACGCAGCCGCCGTCAATTCTCCCTCCGCGGATCGAGCATCGAGATACCCCAACCCGAAGTGGACGGATACCGGTCCCTGCTGACCGCCGAGACCACGGGCGAGTCCATCGATGTGCTCAAGCATAACATCAAGACAACTGCACTGCACTTCTGGGACTGGCTCCTGTCCCCGGCAGGGAAGGGCGTGCTGAAATGCACCGTGGCATACCTGCTGGGAAGCATGGCGACATTCCTCTCGCCCATCTCGACCTTTCTGGGCAAGCCCGACGGAAAGCACGTTGTCGCGACTTTGACGGTCTATTTCCACGCCAGTCGCACGTGGGGCTCCATGGTCGAGGCCGTTGCCATCGCCACTATTGCCGTTCTGTACGCCGAACTAGTATCTGTGCTTGCCATGGCCTTTTCCGTCGTTGTCGGAGGGCAGCTTGGCCTCATACCACTATCGCATGTCCTCATCCTGACGTTCTGCATTGGCGGCGGCATGGGTTTTATCGGATGGGTGAAGCAGAGGCTGAACAATCCTCTGGTGAACGTGGGCTGCACCCTTTCCTCGATCGCCATCATAGCTGTCGTTACTAGAGAGGAGGCCATTCATGAAGGCCACTTTTCCGAGGCTAAGATTGTGCAAGTCCTCAAGATGTTAGTCATGGGTATCACGATCACGGCGGCAGTCAACCTCTTGATCTGGAGGGTATCGGCAAGAGCGCTTCTGCGCGCCTCCATGAACTCTGCTGCCGTTTCACTCGCGGACATGCTCTCCATGATCACCCGCGGGTTTTTGAACGGCTCCGAAAACGAGATCATGTCGGGGATTTCTCCCAGGTCGTGAGGTTGTACAAAACTACGTACGGTAAGATGACGAAGAGTCTGCGAGAGTCCAAGCTGGAGCACTGGGTCTTGGGTCGCGAGAAGATCTACAATCTGGAAAAGGCATTGGTGAAGTCGCTGGAATCACTTTCGCAGGCCATTGGAGGTTTGAGGAGTGCGGCCAATACGCAGTTCACCCTGCTCAAGGAGATGCCACAGGACCCCATGGCTGGACAGCTGTCCCCTGGAAGCACAGTGTTCTCTCCAACGCTTTCTCGCGCAATGTCTCAGTACCTCAAGGGGCTCGGGACCGGTTTGCAACCCTAGCGTCGATTGAGGAGGACGAGGAGATCGACGATGAATTCGACAGTCATCCGAGCCCCGGGGAAACGACAGATGGACCGCCAGCGCCGCTTCCAACATTTCGTTCTCCGTCAGAGATCTTTGAGCTTTTCATAGCGTTGTTAGGCCCCTCGATGAAGTCCTTGGCGTACACCCTGTCGGAAATTCTGAGAGAACAAGCTTTCGCCAAGGGGGCCGATTCTAAGATAACAGTAAACCCTCACTTCAAGCACAGCTTACAGGACGCCATGGCTCTGTACAGCAATGCGAGGACCCATGCCTTGCAAGAGCTTTACAACAGTATCGAGCTGGGTAGGGCGCGATCGGAGAAGATCCAAGCAGACATCGAGGAGGTCGCCGCTGCTTGCGGACACTTCAGTTTCAGTTTGCAGCATGTTGCCGAGGACATCGACGCATACTTGACAGCCCTGGAGGAATTGAAGTACGCCCGTGAAATGGGTTCTCGCAGCTGGAACTGGCTCAAATTCTGGAAGTACTTCTCATCGCCCGCAAAGCCCAAGGAAGCCGACCCAAATAACGTAGACACCGAGCGCTTGCTGCAACAACCTATGGAACCTGCGGAGCAGCCTGTGCGTCCCATCAGAAAGTCGGCCCTGCCGAGAGGTATTCCGGATACCATGATCAAACAACGAGATACTTTCAGTTGGAACGCTGCGCCGAATGCAAGCAACATCATGAGATTTGCGTCTCAGCAGCTTCTCAAATGCTTGAGAGTCTTGGCGCGTGATGACAGTAAGTTGACGGAATCAAACCACTCTCTGCAGCGTGGCTAACGTCTCTCGATAGTTCGGTTCGGTGTCAAAGTAGGCTTCGGTGCCATGGTTTGGGCAGCCTGTGCCTTCATTCCGGCTACAAGACCGACTTATCAGCACTGGCGAGGCGAGTGGGGTTTGCTATCTTTCATGATTGTCGCTTCCATGACGGTCGGCGCGGCCAACACCACTGGAACTGCGAGGTTCATCGGCACAATTGCCGGAGTCGGCTTTGCCCTGATAGCCTGGGCCATCAGTCAAGGAAACGGCGTCGTCCTTGCCTTTCTGGGCTGGATGGTCAGCTTCTTCAGCTTCTACATGATGTTGATCAAGAACAACGCTCCTTTTGGTAGGATTACGCTTCTCGCCTGGAACGTCACTGTTCTCTACGCCTATTCGTTGTCACAAAAGGTGGATGATGACGATGACGATGAGGGCGGTTCTAATCCTCTCATGTTTGAAATCTGCTACCACAGATTCGTTGCGGTCTCGCTGGGTATCCTTTGGGGTATCTTTGTATGTCGAGCAATCTGGCCCATCTCGGGCAGAAAGAAGTTCAAGGAGGGCCTGTCGGTGCTCTACCTCCAGCTGGGGCTCATTTGGAAGAGAGGTCCACTAGCCATACTTCTCAGGAGCGACAACACGAGGTCATACATGAAGGCAGGCGAAGAACAAGCGCTGCAGCGTTACGGTAAGGAAATACCTACAGAACCTAGACTCGCCTACGCTAACACAAAGTACAGCCTTTAAGCTCGAAGCCTTGCGTAACTCTGCAAAAAGCGAATTCGAGCTTCGTGGTCCCTTCCCTGATGCCGCTTACGCTCGAATTATGCAGTCCACCAGCAAAATACTAGACGGCTTCCATGCCATGCGGCTGGTGACCTCCAGAAGAGGCCAGCTGTCCGCTGGCGAAAGGGCGCTGCTCGAATACACGGCGCCAGAACGCGCACAGCTTTGCGACCGTATCTGCCACGTGTTCCAGGTGCTCGCCAGCTCCATGATGCTAGAGTACCCACTAACCGACGCGATCCCTTCGGTGGTGGGCAACAAGGACCGGCTGCTGGGCAAGATTTATCAGTTCCGCAAGGACCACCAGCCGCAGTCCCCCAAGATTGGAAACGGTGAGGGGGAGCAGCCACAGGACAGCAGCAACGGACACGGCAACCAGGTTAGCAAGAACAATGTGGTCGTGGAAGAGAAGGACTATGCGCTGTTGTACGCATACACCCTGGTCACGGCGCAGGTCGCCCAGGAGCTGGAGTACGTACAGCGGGAGATTGAGAATCTGTTTGGCGTCCTCCACACCGAGGCGCTCTTGCTGCAGTAGGCGCGTGCTTGCGCGCTTGTAAAGAAACGGAAGAGATCCTATCGACGAAGGGGGGACCATTCGAAACTGCGAGTCAAAGAGACGGAGAGGAAGAAAAAAGAAAGGGGCGACTGGCCGACTAGAACTCGAGTGACTGACTGACAAAACAGGCGATGAGCCTTTGAGCTGGCGTTTGGCCTCACTACACACACATCGTTATCAAGGATACCTTTGCAGACCCGCCATCTGACTATGGTATTACTTTCTTGGCGGGCTGATGAAAAGCGACGAGAGCATGGGATACCAGACATATATACATATACACATACACTAGTTGTAGTAGTCGTTGAACATTGTTATACCCCCTTCTTCTCCGAATCGTACGTGACGTCAAGCTCGTGTGTGTTCAGATGACGAGGACCATATGGGAAAACCACGACCTTTGTAACGCGTGGTTCCGTACAAATGCATCCGTAGCCCGCCGGGAGACAACCCGTGTAGGGTAATGTTGTGGGCATGTCCGACTCTAGGCACACCATCCGACGCCGAGGGTGGCATGTCAGTCACGCCGGCCCCAGCCTACGAGCAGCAACCCGACGCCGGGGACGAGGCCTGGCATGTCTTGTGAGGTGTAAATTGTGTGACATGGAGGAGTTTGCTACCCTAGCTATACAAAGAGCACCGAAGCCGAGAGTGATTGCGAGCCACGCCAGCTCGCCCGTCCATCGCGACGTATCATGTATTAGACGGCGAAACCGGAATGCTTTCCCACGGATCTACCCAGCGCAAACCACACAAATGCATGCTCCAAGCGAAACGCTTCTACAACCAGCCTGCCTGGCCCCATGCGTCATGTCCCTACAGAACAGTCTACTAGGAACACCTCCTTCGACTCTTGTCGCATAGACCCTCCTGGATCAGATCCCGGGAAAAAGAAACAGCTACGCCATCTGAACGCCACGCCAAAAAAGACCACAAAACCCTCCCTTGAACGCCCATGAGTAAATGACAACGTATATGGTTGATAAGACAGCCTCAACTCCAAACTCGCTGCGTCAGCTTCATAAAAATAAAAGGCATACACATAGTCTGAAAATGCGGCAACGTTCTTTTATGCTAGTTCCAGCCATGCATGCGCTCGTGGTCTTCGTGGATGCGGAAACCGACACCTTCGTCTGCGCCAGGGACCTGCCAGCCTCGCTGGGTGCTGGGATACTCGGACGGCTGGCTGCTTACTTCGGAGTGCACGTCATCTTCGGCCGTCGGGGAGAAGAGCGGGTCGATGTTCTCGCCGTCAGACATATGGTCCTGGTCCTCGATGCCTGGCCAAGGCTCATCCTCAGGCAACTGAATCTGCCGCGAGTACGATGAGTCACCCTCCCGAACCGGGACCGGCTGAGCCACCATCTCGACGCTGTAGTCGCTCTCATTGCCGTCATCGTATGGGTTCGTGCTTCCGTAATCGGGATCTAGGTTTTCGTCATCTTCCGTGGGCGAGCCCTCCACGACGCCGCCCGAGCCACGTGGACGCGTCTCTGCTAGGGGCGCGTTGCTGTACGGGGTGGCATAATAGTGTGGCGTGATGCCACGAGTCGATGGGTGACGCTCGTCGGAGGGAATCACACCGGGCATGGGGCTTGGTGATACAGTCCAGCGCGGCGTGTTAAGGGGGCGGCTCGGAGAACGAGTTCGGCGGCGTTTGTAAGCTGTCGTAATGTTTGGTGGGCTGGTGCGAACATGAGCGCCCGCTCTTTGCTGTCCGAAGGACGAGACACGACGCTTGATTTGCTGCGATGGCGAGAAGTTTGCGGGAATTGCCGGAGGCAACGAGGTAGTGCGGATGTAGGGGGGTTTGGAGGCTCTTCGTTCCCTTGCGGGAGTCTGACCACGGGTCATCATGGGGCTGGAGGATCGCATCGAAGATTCCATCGCGATTTGGTGTAGAGAAGGGGAAGCTGACACGCGCTGGCCGGCCTGTCGTATGCTCAGAGATGACTGGGCGCTTGGGGTCTCGTCAAGCTGATCATTCCACACCCAGTAGTCCTCTCGCGCGTCGGCCTCGGGCACAGTTGCTTGGGAGTCAGGGTAAAATCGGCTTATCTCCCGTAGACGTTGCCAGTTCCAGCCACTCTCGTAGGCTGGCAGATCCTGGAGATAGGCCTCGGGCTGAGTGATGAAGAGGCGAGGTTCAGAGGACCGCATGATGACCGAGTTGAGGAACGATACGTCCCAGAGAGCGGGGGTGATCATTTCCGCCGGCGTCAAGAAGCGGAGGCGAGAGTCTTTGTGAATCTTGCGGAGCGGAACCCACGGCTGTTGCAAGCCCAGAAAGCGACTCGTCTTGCTGTCGAGACTGCGTCGCCGTGAGGCCGAACGCGAGCCGCCCGAGAGTTCGGCAAAGGCGGTGCCAAAGGCAGCATGCATTGCTGCCTGGACGCTTCTGGCGTCGGATCCCTTGACGGAGATGGTGCGCACGAGGCCGCGGCTTTCCAGTCTCTTGTTGATGATGCTCATAGGGCTGCACGCCTTGGCCATCAGCCATTCGTAATCGTGGCCCGGATCGGCCCACTCGGCGCAAAAGGGCGACTGTGCCCTCAGAGTCGCGGAGCTCATGGTGTTGGGCATTTGCGTCCACTCATCTAAGCTTGAAGGACCATCCGACTTGAAATCCTGGAGCTCCTGCCAGATTCTCTTCAATGGGAAAGGTAGAAACACAACTTCAATTTCCCAAGGTCGAACGTTCGTGGGGAGTAGCGACTGAAGCTGAAGGATCTGAGACTGCAACGACTGGATCTGACTGAATATCTCGCCCGAGTGCCCTGCTCGGGTGGTGGTACTAGTTGCAACCGAGATAACGCTGTTGGTCGACTCATCAAAGTTTGGGCGGTCAGCGCGGCGGCCTGCAGTACTGCTGTTATCATTCATGAGCTTCTCAACCTCCTCGACGCGGACTTCAAGGTCAGTCACGCGAAGATCAGTGGCATCGTGCTTCTCGTGGCACTCATCGTGGCCTGCAGCAGAAAACGAAACATTTTCCAGCCTCTCGAGGCGGTGCTCATGTCCTTGAACAGTGTCCGAGAGGTGCCGAAAGGTATGCCGGGAGGGTCCAGCAAACACAGCATCTACTTTTTCAACGGCGCCTGGGGGGACTGCGGAGCCCTGGGAGTATCTGCGCCATGTTCGCTATGAAGAACCACGGCCCCGGTATCGTCCTTGGCCTGTTGATCCTGTTGGGCGGGGAGGTTCGCATTCTGGAATCTGTCCTTTCGTGGAGATTGCAGGTTAGAAGCTGTAACACTACTAAGTGTCTGGAGACCTTTCCCGGCAAACGGACGAAGGTAGCGAGCCTGGCTGGATGACGCTGTGGAACTGGGTTGAGATTGCATTAGGCATTGGGCTGGTATGGGCGGCAACGCAGTGTTTCCTGGATGGGACTGGATGAAATCGCCCCAGCTTAACGTATCTTGTAGAGTGGACTCCGGCCGCTGTGTGGAATGGTCCGGTTGGCGAGGCCTAGGTTCCTCGGGTTTGTTTGGGGATACGGCCATGGCAGCGTCCAGGTTCATAAACTCCATGGTCGGGGTGAATCCGGTGGGCATCCGAAAAGACATATCTGGCAGCTGGACCGGGCTAAGAGGCTCCCTGGACATCCTCGGTCTCTCATTTTCCTGGCCGGCAACCTGCGCGACGGGCGTGGGTGTGAATGCGGGCGTCGGCGCCGGCGCTGGCGCCTCGCTCGCGGCGCGTCCATCATCGTGGAAGCAGGCGTGATGCGAACACATGCACCAGACGGAATTATCAGTACCCAGGTTGTCCGTGTATGCTCTCCCGACGGCGAAACGGCTCCAGAAACGACGGCATCCGCACTTGGCTCCATTGGCGCCGGGCGTCAAGTCCACGTAGTTGCAGGCTCCTCCAGGCAAAGGGACGGGGTTGCGCTGGGCAGCGCCATCATTGTAGATGTCGAAGAAAGAGGAACCCGGTAGAGGGGGATCGAATTGTGTTGTTGCCATTGGCGGCAGCAATATTCATCGGAGAAGTTGGGCGGCGGGGATGGGACGACAATGGGACGGGCGCGGGAGCTCGAGAGTCGTTGGGATGAACCGGGATGGGAGGTCGGTGATATGGATATCGAGGTTGAGAGAAGGAAAAGGCGTTCGGAGAGAAAGAGAGAAAAGTCCTTCCGAGGCCCAAACCAAGGCCCTGCTGGGTCGCAATCCGGAGAGACCTAAAACATTGCAGCTGCTATGGTCGTTAGCCCTCTTTCCGCCGTCCCGGTACGGTATAAATGTCCAGGTTTGGAAGGCCGGCATTCGCAAGCCAACCGGGGATAATCCTCAGGCCCAAAGCACACGCACCCGTAACGGAATAGTTGATTCGGCGAGTCGGAAATAGCAGGTTGAACAGTCAGAGGGGCCCGTCTTTTTTATATTCGCATGCGTAATTTCGGGAATGATTGCGCGAGTCGAGAAAAGTGACAGGCGGACGAGTCTGGCGGACGATGGAGTGGTGGAGGACGAGTGTTGTTCATAGAAAGTGAGGCGGCGACGGGATTGGGCAGTACGACAGAGGGACAGGAACCAGGACGTTGGTTGATGGGCGGATGAGCTGATAGCGGGGGTAATAGGGAACGCGCGCGACGAGTGACCAGGAACGACGCTGGGAGGGATGGATAGGTACGAATACAAAACGGCAATGGGAAAATGTGGGGAAGAGAAACAGTCGAGAACCGGGCTGCTTTGCTTTGCTCCTTCAAGGTCACAGTGTCGATGTGTTATTGGGAGGAGCATGGCATGGGGGCATGCAACTAACTGCAGACGCAAGTTGGCATGATGACTCGAAAAGGAGTTGCAGGGGTTCCTGATATCCCAAGTCCCGTCCTCAGGCCTCTGTCTGCTGTCTGTGAAAATCATTGCTATGTATGTAAGTGACAGTTGAGTTGAGAGTCGGCAGATAGATAGAGCTGGTGATGCGGCATTGCACATGGGATGGCCCGGAAGGGGGGGAGGGTGTGCCTGGCTTGTAGGTATGTACGTGTACTAGCTGCATGTTGTGCGCCATCTCGACGCGAGCTCCCATCGTCCATGGATGGCTTCACAGAACCAAGTCGGCGCTGTTTGAGGACCGACATGGTGTGTGGCACGTCTGCTTCAGCTACTCTCACCGCTGCAGGTGGCCGCAGCCCACTGTAGACCAGCAAGAGGTGTGCATGAATAGGCGCCTTCACCGCGCAATTCCTTAACCGACTGCGAAGGCCTGAAGCAAGTAGATCAGGGGGATGACGAAAAGATTGGATATCCACGACCAGGACGCGTCCCTCTGCCATGGGTTAGAGTGTCCAGGTGGCTCGCGGACCCTTGCAAGCTTCATGCTCCTGGGAGGCTGATTGGCATGTACCGGAAGCTTCCCATTGGCCGAGTATCCAACCTCTGGGCGACTCGGACCCCTCTTCGCGCTCCCTCGCCTGCCTAGGTACTTTCTGCGTTTCTTGCTCCACACCGCAACACGGATGCAGGGCCGCTTTGTATCTTTCTGGGTTGCAACTCCAGCATTTACAGGTTACTAGTACTGGCATATGGGAGTTGATTCTCCTGCAGTGACCTGCAACCCGTTCATCCCCCCCCGGTCCCGCTTAGACTCAAACAATGCAAGACTGGGAGGGATGGTGGATTGTGGAAGCAGCGTCGGAGGACGAAAAAGCAACGACGAGGCTGCCCGCTCTATACCAGAGATAGAAGGCCGCAACAGTTTGGCAGTCATTGACTCGACTTGGTTGGGCTGACGGACCGCCCGACTTCTTTCTTTTACACTCAAAGTCTGGGGCGGCGGCAAGCACACCTTCTTCGCTTCACTTAGTGCGCCCTCTCCTCTTCCTCGGTACTCCTCAAGGCGACAAGACGAGATTATGTCGGGTGGGCGAACAGACTGGCACCAGGATAGGGCCTTGATTGATGGACATATTGTATGGGGCCCCCTACGGCACCAGGCTGACGTTCGATGATGCTGTCCATTCGCAACCACGAGGCGTTCGCGCCCCGTCGATCTATTAAAGGCGAGGCGTCCGACATGACTGGTCCCCAGTGGAAACGATTCATTAAGACTTTGCTGGCCGTGTTCGCTGAAGGATTGTGCAGTACCAGTCGAAGCCTTACGATAGATCGTTGGTTAGCATCGACGGAAGTGAGGTGGTCAAGATGAGGAGTGAAATCCCCATCCCCTGCGTTCGTACAGGGTGAGAAGCGGCGGTGGAGTTCATGATGGGCTTGAGGGATAAAAGTTGCTTCGTCGATCGCGCGCCGCAAGACGCGCCGTGACACGCGCCTCTGCAAACGCACGTCGTTTCGCAAGCCACAGTGTGCAGGATCTGGTCGGTTACACACATACACACACCATCACTTGGTTTTGCCAATTTTGGTTTGGGTCTCCCTTCCCGTCAGTAGTCCCTCTCGGAGCCAAGACTCCACATTTACCGCCGTCTGACCGGTCCACCGGGCTGAAGGCCCGGTTGAGTGGGCCATTCCTTTCCCAGCATGTCTTCTTGCCTGTTGCGGCAAGTGTCGACTTTTTGCCTGTCGTTGACGCATCATGCACTGACAACGGGCATTTTCTGTCGTGCTTAGGTCACCAGTAGTCATTACACAATGAGTTTGGATAAAAGGCTTTCGATTACCGAAGCTCGATGATGTTTATATGGTCTCTGTAGATGCCCAACAGCTCTAATCAACCCTTTCTGGTAATGATATGCAAATGCTGCCCCCAAAAACACCTATTGAAAACGAGAGATTTCCTTTGACTCCCGCTGGCCCATGTTGTAATACACATCTATCGTGAACAAACGCCCGTTCGTAGCCGCTAACCGTGTCTCAAGAGAGTAGAAGTGGCGAGTGACTCTGCCTCTAATGTAACTGAGAGTCTCACCTCGTCAAACCTCGCCCCAGCTTCCCATGGGGCCAACCGAGGCGATGACTGACCCGGTTCCAAGGGACCCTCCGATGTCCCAGTAGTGGCGCGACGAAACGCTGCTGCGTCTCGCCGATCGCCTTGTGCTCTGGCTGGCACAGCTAGACGCGTGTCGTATAGCAGCAGGGCTAGACGGCGTCGTCGCCTTGAATGTCCTGCGCTCTACTGGTCGGGCTCGGGAGACGAGCGGGTGATGCTGGCGCACCCGCGCGGCCTTAGCTGCTGTATCTGGCGTACTTGAGGTGGCAAGATGGGAAGTACCGGTTGTAAAGGCAGAGGACGGCGTCGACCGCGAGCTAAAACGGGATCGCAAGTACCGGAAGACGAGGTTGACGTCTAGGTCTTGCTCCCACTCCTCTTGTGTAAAAGATGCGGGCAATGGTGTTGACTCATCCCGAGTCAGAGGTACGGGAGGATCCGACTGGGGCCTGCTGGCGGGGATGTTGATGGGGCGCGCGTGTTGAACCATTGTTGGCTGGAACTCGGGCATCTTTGTGGACACTTCCTGTGCCTTGGGAGCCATTGGCGTATCAGCACCTGACTCTGGGATGACTGGCAAGCCGCCGTAGGGGATTGGCATTTGTTGCATGCGAGTATATGTCGAGAAGGCGCCGGGGTGGTGATGCGACAGCTGGTTGACCATCAAGCCAAGCTCTTTTGCGACGCGATCCAACGCCCGCAATTGCCAAGATGAGTCATTGGTCTCCTGAGTGGGTGTGCTGGACAGATCCGCACCCGTCTTGGGTGTCGTCGACAGGTCATCATCTAATGGAAGTTGCTCTCCTAGCAGAATCGAGAGTAATCTCTCGTCGATGCCTAGGTCGTTGAGAACCTTGCGGGTGATTTTGGCAAGCAGACCCCGCTCGTCATCCTTGGTATCCGTCGACTCATAATGCCAGTCCATGCTGTCAGCGTCGTCTTCGTTTCCTATCGCACTTAAGCTTGCAAGGTCCTCGGCCTTCTTATCTTCGGTGGTCATGGTTGGCCTGACAGAAACCATGGACTGTCGTCGGCGTCTGGTCTCTCTGCCAATCTCTTCCAGAAGGATGCGACTCTGCTCTAGACGCCAGGCCTCAATCCTCTGCATCTTGTGCGTCTCTTGCTCTTCCTCGGCTTCCATCTCAAGTTGGGCCAGCTCGAGACTCTCGCGGCGCCTTCGCACGCGCTTGGGGTTGAACCTTTCAAAGGCGTAGATCTGCTCCTGAACCTCTGGGTTATCTAACCTGAAAGACCCCAAGCCATCATGGGCTGGAAGCACAGGGGCACTCTGGGCGGCGGCAGCAGCACCCGCAGATTGTGTATAGAGGCTCGGGACTGTCCGAAACTCGGGTAGGTGGCTGTCGAGACTGTCGAGTTCAGCATCATCTTCGACAGACTCGTCATCAATAGCACTTGAAAGGACGCCTGACTGCCGCGACTCGGTATCGCGGGCTGAATGTAGGAAAGTGTTGAGGCTTCCTATGTCACTAAGCCTCGATCGGCCCGGCGTAGGGAGAGACTCCTCCTCTTCGCTGAGGTAGGAGGCTGTTGTCGTGTCATCAGCAGGTTCGAAGAGCACCCACGAGTGGGAAGCGTCGGTGGCTGCTGGATCTTGAACGTGGAGCTGGGGAACGTCCCGCTCCTCCTCCTGCAAAGGGAGGGCGGCACGTAACTGCGACGGCCGCCTTGTCGGTTGATGGAAAGCCATGATGTATGTTTCGTTGTCAAGTTGTCAAGCCGGTTGGAAGAAAGGGAAACAGCTCAAGCTGGTGAGGTAGGTAGAGTTGTGTTCGTCCGATAAAGGGCGGGCGAACAATCACGATAAGGCCCCCCAGTCGCGATATGCAGTGACGCCTCGATAGCGGCGCCCCGTATTAGTAGCGCGATGTCCGTTCGTCGTTTGACAACGTCTCGAAGTCGAAGTAGTAAGGCAACGAGTTCAGGCTCGAGGCAGTTCAAGCATTCAGAATAGGAAAGAGGTCAGGTATCGGTCAGATACAGGCCACACGGCGGATATATGTGGCAGCAAACTACTGGGACCAACAAACGACAAGAAGGATGGAAGGAAGAATGCGGGATGGATGATAAGAGGATAAGGGGCCGGGGGTCAGAGGGGTGGGGTCTCTTGGGGCCAAGGCCAAACAGAGAGAAGGAGGATGACGGACTGGGTCTGTCACTGTCACTGATTAAGGCGTCACCGACTAAGAGCGGGCCAAGTACCGCAGTACGAACCACCTACCATATTGGCCATGTACCTTGCACCGCGCGCCGTTACGAGTAACCCCGAAGCAAGTGGGCGAACTCGGCGGAACGACGGGACAGGCGCGGTATTCTCAGACAACACACCTCCAACCAGAAAGGCTCAGAGGAGGACGCAGCAAGAAGACAGACAGAGATTGGGGGAGCCACACGGTGCTACTGGCAAGGGGGGACAGGCGGGTGAATGGCGCAGGGTCAGACCAGAGCGGAGTGGATGGATGATGTGCTCGCGTGCGGCAGGCAAGGGATCCAAGGGCAAACCACACTTGACTCTAGTGTAAGCAAGGAACCTTTGGCCTTGATCCATGACTCTGGGACATTCACGTTGAGCCGGACTCGAGAGTGAAGAAGAAGAAATAAACAAGGGGCGGGGGAGACTCGGGTGTCCAATAGCAGAGAGCATGACGAGGGAACCCAAGCTCCGGGCTTGCTGTTTCTGGGTTCTGAGAAGGGAAGACAAGAAAGGGATCGCTTTGATGGACTGCCATGCCCCCTCCTCTTTCTCTTCCTCGTCATCCTCGTTACGCCGCAAAAAGTGCTAACTTTTGAGGTCCTGACACTGACAACCCACTCATCCATGGGCTGGCTGGCTGATTTGACTAATGAGGGTGCTGGTGGCGCCCTGGCCCTCTTCGAAGGCTGGCTGGTCACTGGCTGCGCTGAGCAAGTCTGCCACACCTTACCCGCCTGCAATACTTCAGATGCGCCCTGAGCGGCGGACATGATGAGACATGGCGGTAAGACTCGAGGGGGGAGAGAGCTATGAACTCTGTTTTGTTTCCTGAACATTAGATCTTTCGTGTTCGCGGAACGGACTGGTAGGGGCTTACGCAGGTCAAAACGGGTGCAAAGTATTAAGGTCAGGTAATGTTCGTGTCATTTATGGCCTCCTTCGGATCGCTTTTGCAGGCGGGAACAGAGAGCGCCATCTCACTCTGACTTTCTCACTCTCACCCATCCGTTTGCACGACCGTTGCATATACGCCAGACTGGAGAACTGCCACCAATATCTGAACACCTGTACAGACGGACTCCTTGCCTGGGTTCGCCTCTGCCTTTCTGGTGACTGCACTCCGGCTCGTTTGCCGACTCAACAAGGGAGTCAGGAGGTCACGTTGGCGGCCATTTTTGCCCCCAAGAACAAGCAGATCCATGCCATGCCGCGATGCACATCTGCCCCATTCTCGAGTTTTGGCAGAAGCCGCAGCGCCAGGAATCCCATCCCAAGACGGCCCCCATCCGCTTATCACCGAGATCAATGCCTTTGCGTTCCGAGTTTTCGGCCCTTTCATGAGGGAGAAAATATTAAAGGAAAATTTTATCCGCCGTGCCATCATCCCACTCCGATGCCCCAAGGACTGACTCTCTCGTCCATCCTCGGGCTGTCATCGCCCCCATCCCGACTTTCGGAGCAAGCTTGGGGAGTCTTCTCGAACCTCTCGCGAGTCGTGAACCTTAGAAAAACAGGTCCAATGTTCAAGGTACTTTTGGCTTTACCAAATAAGTCCCATAAAAACGTTCCAACTTTTGTATTTTTTTGGGTGGCACTATCCCAACGTTCTCCAAAGTCTCCAAGTCTCTCTCTTAGTCTCCAAGAAGTTACCCAGGTCTCACACCGAACACCATCCGAAATCCCGATAACGTCATTTAGGTCACCTGGGATCTCGGTGGGACCTGATCGCCGTCCACCATCTGCCCCTCCATCTCCCCCTTCGAACACCGGAGCTGGTGCACGTTGGCTCCCCGAAAGTCGCTACGGCCCTCATCCTCGCTGTTCATCGGCGTTTGCAACACCCATCTCATCCCACCAACCACCTAAGGATCTCAGCAAATCTCGCTGCGGCCTCTGACTGGTGCGCACCGTCGTCGTCGTCGTCGTCGTCGTCTGCCGTTTACACAGCTGGCCCATCTGCCTGCCCCCTCTGCATCCTCGACCAGCGCTTACACCTGCATCTCTGACAGGGACTATTGTTCTCAGGCGGATGGCTGGCTGTTCCTGCACTGGCTCCTCAATACTACGTTTACGGCACACAAAGGTAGTACATTACGACATGTCATCGCTTCCGTACAACGCTGGTATCCGGGACCTGTATCTGCGTTTTCAGCTCATGGCGTCTGATACAGCCATTCAGCTTACGAGATCACGGTCACTTTCCGGGTTTAGGAGAAAAGGGTTAAGAAAAATGTCCACTCGAATTACGTACTATTTGTCCCATGATTGTACCCATTTCGTGCAGCGTCAAACCGTGCCTCATTCCTGATACTCGGATGAAGGGGAACCCCCTCAGGGACTCTCCTTTCGAGACATCCAGGCGCAGTTGGGCAGATGGGGTCGTCCGCGTGACCTAGATGAGGACGTGCCCGCCCACATGGTGTCATTCAATGCCACGGGTGATCCACGGGCCAGACCGTCCACCACAATATTTTCACTAGGCACGCATAATTGAGATTGACATCATATTGGCCTCAGCCTTGGGTTCCTTGATTGTCTGCATGTCTCGGGGAAAAGAGAATAGTGTCCGTCTGTACAATAGGCTCCATCCTTGATTGAGCCGCTTTCGAAGTCTGCCTACAAACCCAACTCACTATCCCTTTTTCCCGTAGTCCATATCTCATTCGCCATGAAGATACAGGCGCATGTTTGTGAAGTGCCAATGATTGAATTCCTATCTAGAGTCTGCCGCAGCATGACTCCCATCATGTTGACATGCAACCACTTTAGACGCCAGCCTGTAGAAACCCAAATCCCAGAAGAAACACAAATCCCACACCTTAAGCCTCAGAGGCGAAGGCATCGGGGAAGCGCTTCATGTTCTGCTCAAGAGAGCCGTGGTTGGCGAGGAACTGGACGTAGGCACCGTCGACCTTGACGCGGCCAGCAGCCTTCTTCTCGAGGTACTCCTCGCGGCGAAGGGGAGTGAAGCCCCAGTTCTTGGAGATGATGATTTTCTGGCGACCAGGGAACTTGTACTGGGAGCGGCGGAGGGCCTCGAGGGCAACGGCCTTGTCTGTGAGGTTCGTTAGTGACATCGTACAACACAACGAACAGCGTCTAGGGAGGACGTACTGGAGTCACGAGTGCGGACGCTCATGATGATCTGGCCAATGTTGACACGGGCGACAGTGCCGTTGGGCTTACCCCAGGCACCACGCATACCAGTCTGAAGTCTATCGGCACCGGCGCAAGACAACATCTTGTTGATACGGACGACGTGGAAGGGGTGGGCGCGGACGCGGAGATGGAAGGACTCCTTTCCGGCGGTCTTGACGAAGTACTTGTTGGCGCAAATACGGGCGGCCTCGAGGGCCTCGGAGCTCAGCTGCTCATACTCGTTGGAGACGAGGTGGATGCAGAGAGGGAAGTCGTCGACGGTAGCCTTCTTGCGGCCAAGATCGAAGATGCGGATCTTGGGGTCAGGGACACCACGGTTGAAGCGGGACTTGGGGTACGGCTAAGAAGGGGGAAAGTTAGCATCATCATTCAGGCGCGCGAGGGCATTCCCAGGCCCTGCGACGTCCTCGCTTCTCCATCTCAAGAACTGCACATCGCTGCTGCCGTGTCGGTTGGGTAGTGCCGCAATACGATGCAGGTCTTCCTGGGTACCATCATTTCCTTCCTCATCTTTCGAAGCGCAAAGTTGTCGTAGGATTTCGGGTGTCGTCGCGGGGGACCAGGGGGTGATGGAGTCGGCTCACCTTGTTCTTGCAGTACCGGTAGCAACGAGCGGGACGACGGGCCATCTTGACGGTATTGAGATCTCGCGGGATCACTCGTTACTGCTGTTGGTGGTTTGGTTAGTGGATGGGTGTCGAATCCGACCGGAATTTGGGCCTCACTCACTTTTGTAAAGGTTGCTACGATGCGTCAGACCGAGAAGTAGTTTTGATTTCAAAGCAGAACGCTGGGTAAGCAACCGGTGGCCAACCTGGGCCCACTCTGGGCTCGCCTAATCGCCGGCGTTAGGGTTTCTACACACGCCAAAACGGAAGGAGTGGCGCACGAGCGTTCTGATTGGCCAGGCCGGAAGCACTCGGTGCGGGGGCAGAGTTCACTCTGGGCAAAATGAAACTCTCAAAATTCATTTTTTGACGATTTTCTCCCGCGACCATCGACGACAACCACCGCCCAGCGCCCATCGACCAAACCAACCGCCAAAATCCCCCTCAAAATCAGTCAAGATGGCCCCCGTCAAGAAGAGCAAGAAGGACCAGTAAGTTACCATTGATTGCATGAGTCTCCCGAATTGCCGCCTCCAGCTCCCATTCCGGCTCTGCTGCCGCTCTCGCGGTATCTTGACTTCAGAGAAATAATGTACTAACGAGAAGAATAGGAACTCCATCAACTCCAAGCTTGCCTTGGTTATCAAGTCTGGCAAGGTCATTCTTGGCTACAAGTAAACCAACACCGGCATTGAATCCCGAAGACCACCAACTAACAGGGTAACAGGTCTACGCTGAAGTCTCTGCGCACCGGCAAGGCCAAGTAAGTCACTTTCTTCGCCGCAAGACATGAAGGCCTTGTTCTAACATCCATTTCTAGGCTCATCCTCATTGCTGGCAACACCCCCCCTCTGCGCAAGTCTGAGCTTGAGTACTACGCCATGCTGGCCAAGACTCCTGTCCACCACTTCAGCGGCACCAACGTAAGTTGCTTCCCAATCGACTGGAGCAAGCGTGTTCTTGCCTCACGTTGCCTCTTGCTATCGACTTCGTGGATCTTTGGTCCCTTGGTCAACCCAGCGAAGAAGTCTCGGTCTAGACTTCGGAGGGTGAACAATTGCTTACTTGTTATGCCGAATAGATCGAGATGGGTACTGCTTGCGGTAAGCTCTTCCGCTGCGGCACCATGGCCATCCTTGATGCTGGTGACTCCGACATCCTCAGCGACCAGGTCGCTTAAGCGGATGAAGCACGGATTGGCTGGGAACGGCGTTTGGGAACATGGTCAACGAAAAAGGAAAAATGCGGTTCGCCATTTGGGACCGTGGCTTGGGATTTGCCGTTATGATACCTCGGTCTTGTCATCAGCACAAGACTTCATGATGACCGTAGGCACTTTCAATCAAAAAGACTCGCCTGTTACCCAGCTATTCAATGAGTTTTGCTTGTGTCTCCGTCTCCTTCCTCTCTAGATCCTTTCGTCATGGGCGCATGTGTACTTGTACATGAAAAGCACTGCCTCTGAGTGCAGATTTCCCAGTCAAGATCTCGTTTACAACGAGATGCTGGTACAAAGGCTGAACAGAGATATTAAGGAGAAAAAAATCTTGATGTTGGGCAAAACGATGTTCCGTTCGTCCTCAACAATAGCACTGCACCACGGCCAGAACCATGGCCCAGCCAACTTAGCGTTCCGTCAAACGCCACAGGTACCAGATCCGGACATGGCTGCTAGGCACGGTAGATACCATCCCGCTAATCAATGGTCGCAAAGTTGGTGAAAGTCGATTGGGCTTCTGGGTTCCAGATCTGGAAGGCCGTCACAAGCCTTGCATTGATGGCAACATGAGAATAATTTCGCCGTTCCCACCGCGGTGAGTTCTGGCCAGTCTCGCGCAAATTGGCATCCAATGGAGCGGGGGGCCCTTGGGTACAAAGACGGGCCGATCCCACTATCATCGATGGGCTCCGCATTCCGCTTGCTGAACATTGAGGGGATAGGGGTGCATGTTGCGGAGGACCCCTACCAATTGCGTATTCCTGTTAGGACAACCTTGGCGGCTGTCTGCAAACATGAAGTACACGTGCAGTTCCCTTATGAAAGCTGATCAGTAGACGGCGGTGCCGACCCAGGCCAAAGTATGTATAGAGAACAGCCCAAGACCAAGAGCCTATCCCAAGGGCAATGCCTGATTCTCTCGAAAGCGAACGGGGGCGTTTCAATCCGAACCCAGACTGCATCGTGCTTTGGTTGCCTACGTGTTTTTGTTATTGAGAACGCGACGCGGGATACCACTGAACTGCGTCTATAAACGCTGTGGGCTTCCTGCGAGTTTGTTTGTTGGTGCATCAGAAAGTACCAGTTCTTCCATCCATTTGCCAGCAAGGCAAGCTCGGATTCGAAGAGATTGCCACAATAGAAAGAAGGTTACCGTCCGTCCCATCTCAGCAAAAGGCAAAGACGAGACGGCGTGTGCAGCATCTTATTCGTCACGCTGGCCAGTGTGTGGCACTGGCCGTCATCTCCCATCATCCGCCGGAGCTGCGAACGCTGGGCTTCGAAGAGACGGGACTGAAACGAGAGCTTGCCACGGGTTTCCTCAGACGCATCCAACGACAGCAGTCTCAGCTCGGCGCTGAGAACGGGATCGATCGAGAATAGCATACGCATGGTACATAGCACAGGGTTGCCGTTGCCTGACCTACCGCACTAGACTGGCCACCCTACGCCGTCACGAAGGTGCCAACCCAAAACGATAGGCTTTCTGGATGCCGGGGCTCGAGTCTGTTCGCTCTGCAGCGCTCGAGTAACGCGAAAACCGTTTAGTGACCTAGGTTGGAATTTGGAAGAGAGAAAAAGCATTGTTCTCGCTCCATTTCACGCTCCCTGGTTGGCCCACGTCCTCCATCCTGAACACTCCAGCGAATAAGACCCCCTGAAGCCGCCCCGAAATATCGGAAATTCACTGGAACCTGTGGACTGGACAACCGACACCGACACACACACACACACACACACTGCGCACCCGCACGCTGTCACACCCCCGTCGCCTGCCAGGATCCAGCGGGCCAACGCGAGGGAACTGAGAGGAACCGCAGAACTTACTTACCGGGGCTGAAGCCATCTGACACCGTCTTAAGCTTGCTAAGCTGCTGCTGCTGCCGCTGCTGCACACCCTCCCACTCTGCACTGTACTCCTATTTGGCATTCGCATTTTCTGGGTAGCCCAACGATCGACGACTCTCCGCTGTTGTGTGTTCCTGCGCCACTTGTTGTTCCAAGAATAAGCAATTACACACCCATCTGGTAAGATAGCCTCTTCTTCTCTCTGGAACGGAACATCGTCACTACAGGAATAACTTTGAGCACTGCACCTCGACCGCCGCCTTTTCTATCGCTCGACGAGCCCCCCCCGCTTACTTTTCGTTTCCCCAGGTTACCCTCCGCTGCGAACTGCATCAACAACTACTATTGCCACAACAAGGCCTCCGCGACAACCATGTCCGCTGCCACCGCAAAGAAACCGCCCGCCGCGGGAGTCGGTCGCGTTTCTTCGACAGATTCCCCATCGTCGCCTACTGCGTCTCCCACGAGAACACCCACGCGCTCCTCCACGCCCACCGCTGCTTCTGCTGCGCGCAGAGCGCCCGCTCGATCAGGGACGCCTGTGTCCGCTCGCGCAGCCGCCGCAAGAAGAGATACCCTGAGCAACAGCAACAACGGCAACGCCGAAGCCGAGGAGGCTGCGAGGGCCGAGACCGTTGCGCTGCTGGACGACCTCAAGGAGCGTCTCTCCAAGGCCGAAGTCTCATCCGATCAGTACAGGAAACAGGTCGAAGTGCTAGAGACGAGACTGGACGATGCCATCAAGGAATCCTCCAAGCTAGAGGAGAAGGTGCATGAGGCGGAAGAGCAAATCGAGACGCTGCAAAACGAGAAGAGAGATGCCGCCAAGAAGATGCGCGAGATGGAGGCGATCTACGAGGCCGAGCGCAGCTCAATGACCAAGGAGAAGGAAGAGATGTCCAACAGAGAGGAGGAGATGCAGACCATTATCCAGAGGCTGAAGGACAACCTGTCGCAGCGAGCCAGCGACGAGGAGGGCCGCCCATCACGGCAATGTGAGTTTGACTACGCCACGACCGAGAAAACAAAAGGCTAACAAAACCAAGCCGCAACGTCGTCACCAAACGTCGACAATGGCAGCTTCGCTCCCCCTTCGTCCTTGAACCGTAGCGACTCCCGGAACAATTCCAAGATCTTGCTTCAGAAGGACAAGCTGATCGAGTCGTTGAGGCTTGAACTGGCAGAGGCCCAGATCAAGTTGGTGGAATCCGAGAACCAGGGCGGTGGCAGGCTGCAAGAGGTGGAAAGGCTACTGATGGAAGCCCGCATGGCCAATGCCCGCCTCATGGAAGACAATGAGAGCTATCAACTGCTTCTCCAGGAGAAAACCCTCAATGGCGACTTCTCCAAGAACGATTTCAGCTACATGGGAGTATCCGCCAACCAGGATGCGCTCAACGCGCTTGAGGGTCGCCCTGGCGGTGCGAGCCTGGCGGATGAGCTGTCCGAGGATGCATCCGACGCTGGCAACGATAACGACCATGTCCGCCGCCTCGAGTCAGAGCTCAAGTCCATGAAGGACCAGAACAAAGCGCTCACGCTCTACATCAACAAGATCATTGAGAGACTCCTCCAGCACCAAGACTTCGAGCACATTCTGGACACTTCTAGTGAGCCCAAGCCACCAAGCGCCAACACCAACAAAGACCTCCCGCCCCCACCGCCAAAGGAGGGCGCTTCCGGAGCATCGCTATTGCAACGGGCGAAGACCATGGCTGTCGGACCAAACAAGGCCAGACCAAGGCCCATGTCTTACATGCCTTCGGCACAGCCAGCCAACTCAGCACATACCGATCCGGAGACGGCACCTAGCATTCCTATCGGGAACCTGACCCGTTCCTCCAGCACTCGCCGTGCGCGCCCGATGAGCGAGCAATTCACCGGCGTCAACCTCGTCAACCAGATGTACAGAGGACCGGATGGCCCCATCTCGCCACCGCTTGGCTCCCCTCGCACCCCGCGAACTTCGCAGACCTTCTTTGGCGGCAACCCCAACGCGGCGGCGCGGGCACCCAGCGGCCAGCAGGCACCGACGGCAGGAAACTTCCCCGGGATGCGCAGCGAAACGTCGAGCACGAGCGGTGACTCAAATGACCTGGCCACGCCCCCCTCGCAGTCGCCTCCTCGGTCCCACCACGAGAAGCAGACCACCTTTGCTGGCAACAAACCCCGCCCTCTGCGCCTGGTGCAGGAGAACAACGAAGCCAAGCAGGAGAATAACAAGCGATCCAGCTGGATTGGCTGGGCCTCGGGCTGGGGCAAGAAGGATGAGTCCCCTCCGGCCGCATCCAACGAGGCCATTCCCGAGTAATCGGCACATGATTATGCCATTATGTTTATGACCTTGCTCTGCAACGCATCTACTTCTCCCTCTCAGCATCGGACTTTGGCATGGTTGGATAAGGAAAAGAATAAAACAAAGACGGGATACCCCTCCTTTTTTTCTCACGCCGGGGACTTTTTGGGGGGGTCTTCACATGCGCCGCTTGGTTTTTCGTCCCTTCACACACGATAGGAGTCTGGGCTGGCATCGCAGGCAGTGTACCAACGAAACATTGGGTCCAGAGGCGCTATCCATCCATCTCAACAGACTCTTATTGTCTACTTCTGCTTTCCTCTTCTCATGGCCACGTTTATTCTCTTTCTTTTTTTCTATACAACACATTATATCTAGTACTTCAGACTTTTCTTCTTCGACGTCGAGGATATGGAGGGAGAGGGGCAAAGTCATCGTTTCAGGGTCTTGGGAATGCGAATGAGAAGGTGGCTTTTTTTGTTGCTGGTGGCGTTTTCCTATTATCATGATTAACAGCATTTCCTAGTGAGTGCTGGATATTGGATGACAGGCGCGTCTGCTTCCTACTAATGGCTTCGCGGGCTGCCGAGTCCTTAGGCTTGTAACCTAGCTAGACGCAATGTTGGATAGATACATGAGTAATGCAGAGATGGCTTGACGTTAGAACATTACTCCGCAAACACCGGTGCGAGGTGAGGTGATTCAGTGTCTTTCTCCCTGTGTCAATAACCCACAGTTCACATGCGAATCTTGACAGAAGGAGGAAGATAGTCAGCCAGCCGTCCCTGTAAGCATTTACCTCCCGACTAAAGCTTTCCGACTCGGGCAGCTCGGTTTCTGACGAAGAAGACTTTTACGGTTCACTCAACACAGACAGGTAAGGACCGACCCGGACACCTGGCTTGCGTGGATGGGGGGCGCAATTGAGGGTTCGCGTTGGCCATTGTAGGTTGCTGTTTTGTCCGGATTCTTGTTTTTGGGGGGGGTGCGACTACAACTTACCTCTGTAACCGTTGGAGCCGAGATGCCTTGCTAAGAAAGCATGCCCTGACTCGACCGGGCGAGCAGAAGGATATGTTCCCGCTCCAAGGACACAGCGAAAGAAACCCTTTGAAACCCCGTTGTTTCGTCGCTTCGTTACACCAAGCAGCAAAGCCAGCCCCACTCCCGCGCCGCCGATGTGTCTGTCGCTACGGCGATGCTCTCTGTCGGTCGATGACCATTCCTCGCGGCCGTCCCTACAAGCGGGAAGACTGGTCAGAAGGCCCGTTTTGTTTCAGCCCGAATGCGAGAGATCAATGACGGATCTCTCTCACTCATACCTACACAAACACACACACACACACACTCTCAGTCTCGGACCACGTACGATGCTTCTTTCCTGCGGGTGAGAGCCACGGGACAGGAAACGCGTCGTTGGTCACAAAAAGATAGCTGTTATAGATACGATTATTTTTATTCTACGTCTATGTAGAGTTACAAGCGGCTGTTGCCGCCGACAAAGCTGTCAAGCTTCTTCTGGTCGTACACGTCCGCTTCGACCAGCTTCTCCCACTTCTGATGCTCACTTGTCAGCGCCGTCGTCACACCAGGACGCGGGGGGAGGGGAGGGATTCGCGAAGGAGGACGTGTAGTTCGCCATCCTCTCCCGGGATTGAAACTCACCTTCTCGCCAGAGACCTTGATGAGAGTTGGCAGGTTCGTGACGTTGAACGGCGCCTGTCTCCACGGGTTCTCCTTTGTCCTCCACCTGTAGTCCCAATGTTAGCAACTACGAGCACCGATATGCCAAGATACGGCTTTGACTGGTCTCCAATATGCTCATTGAGACCCAAAGACTCAGAACATAAGACAAGAGGCGGGAGAGGACCCCTGGGGTGGCGGGGGGTTCAACTCACTCCTCGGGCAACCCCGCGTAGACGACTCGGACGGTGTTGTCGTCGCCGCCAAACTTCTTCTCAATGTACGGCTCGGCCGCCGTGCAGTCGCCGCACCACGAGCGCCCATTGCGGTGCGAGGCGTAGACGACGAGGTACGCCGGCTTGGCCTCGCTGGCCTCGGCCTTGAGGGTCTCGGCGACGGCCGAAGCGGGTTCCTTGGTGGTGATGACGGGCATTTTCCTGGTATTCTTTGCTTCTTGCGAGGACGGGCGAGGCAGAAACGTCAACGAGGCTGAAGCAAGTCACTTTCCTTTTCTCCCTCTTTTTGTTGTTTGCGGCTTGAAGGTGAGTAACGTTGAGCCCCGTCTTATATGACTCGCTGTTGGCACCGCGAATGGCACAATCCGTACAATCATTTGCGTTATTTGGTGGCAGTAGAATACATGTTCCGAAGCTTAACCGAGTCTCGGTCGTGCCACTCCTACCAAAACAATACTCGTGGTATCTCCAGCTCTTGCCTGCCGTGTCACCTCTGGCAGGGCCTTGGAAGTGACGAGTCTCACTTCTGACAGCCTCGGGACATCCCTGAGTTGTCAGCCCCGTGGGAGCCTCCAGACAGACGAATGCTGAGGGGTTTGACCAAAAGCTAGTGTGAATGAAAAAAAGAACTTCTACCTACAGCCACATAACCAACAGTACAAACCAGGTGAGTCATGCTCCGGGGGAAAAAGGAAGCCTGGTAACCTCTGCGAGGAAAAAGGTAAACATGACAACTGTGAGATTCGAACTCACGCCTCTTTCGAGACCAGAATGCTCCCTGATACTCAGGGAAGACGCAGGCTCTTGGTTGAACCGTTATCTTGAGTCTGGCGCCTTAGACCGCTCGGCCAAGTTGCCCGTATCAGATCAATCGGAAAGTCGAGTGGACCAGATGTGGATACCGGTTTGTGGTGCAGAGGAGGCTGAAGGAGCTCCTCCTTCACCCTCCTCTTCTCGGCGTCCCCTTTGCTGGTGTGGTGCAACATCCTTCTTCCCTCTCTGCAGCCGCGCCCCCCCCGCCCCCCCTCACTCTTTGATATTCCAACAACGCACACCAATGGCGTGTTCGAACAACACCCCCGCAGCCTGAAGAAGACGGGAAAAAAGAAACCATACGAGCGAAGTGATATAAAGGGTTGTGGTGGACCCGGCCCGGGTCCGATCGGAGGGGCTGTCAAAGGCAAAAGAACGAAACCAATGAACAACAACCCCTCCCGACGTTGCTTGGGGGATCTGTTTACATTACCCACATATCCATCCATCCGCGTCCTGTCCCCCCTTTCTGTTGTAAAGGCGGTCAACGTTTCCCGTCGGAAACGCCAGAGTGGTGGGTTCGCGACTGTTTGATGAAGGCCAGCTGGCGGGGCGGGGCAGACAGACATCCAAGCATGTCTGGAGAAACTGGAGAGGCTACACCGTATGGAGGGGAACCCGCGTTACACAGCACCACATATTGCTGAAGCGGTATTTTGGCTACAAAGAGACTAAGGCATGATAATCCATCATTTTCCATGCTTCACGGAAATGAGACGACGGGGCTTGTCTTCCGAACAACTGTTCATTTTGTGAAATCTCACCTCTAACCATATCTAAACCCCTTCTCTCACACTCTAGACCTCCATGGTTAGTATCTTCTCCACATCACAACCCTCATTGTCATTACGTGACTTTCTTGTTGAATGTAACTTTTCTTCGTGTCACGCACCTCTGCAGGCGGACCTGGCTATTCATTCGATTTCCTCCCTCTCTCTCCTGTTGGTCGTCAAGCTTCGTTACAATTACAACAGTGTAGTTGCCACTTTTCCCTTTCTAATGCAAAACCATCCCAGTGTCAAAAGGCCGTGTTGAAAAATATTCCTAGACCGAGTAGAAAGACCGCAAGATGAGAAGCAACTGTCATAAACCTGTCCCCCATAGTAAAGGAAAGTCCTGTCCTTGAATGAGTGCGCTGTGCTTCCTGATGTACTGTGCCGAGCGAGGGCATGTGGTCCACGAATGGTGGGGATCGGCCGGGTGAAAAAAGAAAAAAGCAACGCAAAACAGCAGCTGCGCAGAATCGCAAGCTCAAATGTGGGAGAGCCATCGTGATTGACGACAGCCTCAATAAGAAAAGTATGTACAGGTCGCTTTTGTCTGTCTTTGTTCCAAAGCGCTTGTTGTTGGATAAATCCCACTCAACGCCGCTTTTCCCTTGAAATGCTATGCCATGCCATGCACGCTCAATATACAGAACAAGTTAACAAAAGAAATGGTTTGAGTGTGTCGACCGCCAATGAGCACACCCTATGGTTCAAGACCTGGTACCTCCCCAGGTAGAGTCGTGTTTGGCCGAAGTGATGGATCGTTGGCAGAATTGGGCTTGACCGTTGTTCTTCCAGATATCGGTGCACTTCGTACCCGCTGACTCAAAGGCAGGGAATAACGAACGACACCTTTGATGATCAAGTCGAACTCATCTTGAATGATCCGGCCCCAACGCTCAGAGCCCCCGGCAGAATGGTTGCCTGGGAGATGAAGCCGCATCGTACCTGTTGATGCTGAAACACCCTTGTTGAAGAAAGATCCTTCGAAAGACAGCGGACTGTCAAACTCCGTAATGGTGCCCAGGCGCATGTTTGGGGCAGTGTCTTCGTCCGGCGGGTCATCAGGAGGATCATCCCGTATATGCATATCCGGGCCCTCGAGATCGTCCTCGTTCCCATCATGCGGCCGCTTCCACCAGTCATAGTCTGTTCCGGCATGAGGCGACTTTGCGAATATCTCGAGATTTGCCTGATCGATTGACACCACTACGATATTGGGGTTGTGAGCTTTGACCGTCAGATCAAACATCAGTTCCGGGTCACTAGCCAAGACGTTTTTGATGGAAACGAGCTGGATGTCCGTGAGCGGCTGCGACGTGGCGAACATGAAGCCAATGGCACCGGTAATGACAAGTAGTAGCATCATCGTCACCACCAAACAAGCAGCGAACCGGTTCAAATAAGACGGCTGTTGCCTGTATGCCTGTGATTCCAGGTTTCGCAGGTTTGTGGGCTGACGCCGGCTTCTTCGCGCAGACCGGACTGTAGACGATATCAAAGGGGTGCGCTCGTCGTCGGCTCCAGTAGTTGTGGTGTCGTCGGCGGCATCATAGCGGGCCATCTGGATCGAAGATCGCTTTCCGAGAGCATGCGGACCACCCCTCGCGGAACTAGCAACCCTAGGACTGGGAGGGCCGGACGACTGCCTCGAGGTGTTGCCCGATAGCTTCGATCGTGCGGCATTGGGGAATAGCGATTCGTTATCAAAGAGGGAGGGGTGCGAGTTGCCAGGCTGGCGTCCCCACCGTCCAAAATGATTGTGATGGTGATGCCTGGTTGTGCCTCTGCCCGAGCCAGGTCCAACGCTCCTGCCGCTACCTTTGCCATCTTCGTCGATGCCCAGGCTCTCGGCTCCGTTGTTATTGAACGTATTGACGAACTTCATGCTCTTCTTCAAGCCGACTGCTGCTGCGCCACCCTGTAAAGCTTCGTGAATCGAGCGCATGCCCATGCCGCCAGGTCGGTCAGCTTGGCTGATCATCGAGGTAGCGCTGGGAGTCCGTGAATGGAACCGGCGTCTGTCGCCTACATCAGGGGGGTTAGAATCGTAGACGAATGTCTCTTCCGAGTCTGACGTGTTCGCCTCGTCAACTGCGCTGGCCACTTTAGCCTCAAAGATGTCTGCCTTGGAGGATGCTAAATAACGTCTCGTCAGTAAATTTCTGGCAGATGGAGATATTTTTCCACTTTAGTTGAAATGGAGATGAACACCGAGAAGCAAAAGCTGGGTTCCGCGAACTGCCGCCAAGTAACCACCCGCTCCGCTTCCCGGTTCCAACCCAAAGTTTTAGTGGGCAACAAAGCATTAGTTGCTGCAGACACTGGTCGCAGGCTTCGCTGAGGACGCATCCTGAAACGAGAGTGTAGAATTGAACTTGGTGTCTTACCATTGCCAGAGTTGACAGTCGGTTGCTTCCGGCTAGTCCTCTTCTTCTCTTTCTTGGGCCGAATCGTCTCAGTGCTCGGCTTTGCCTTGAGAGTACCGCTGCTAGCTTCCAGTTTGGAAGCGGGCGCCAATGCAACTTGAGGGATGGAAGATACTGTTTCCGTCTCGACTATGAGGGAGGATCCTTCCCCAGTTGCCTTGGTTTTTCCTTGCTTGTTCGACAGCACGCTAGATTGTCGCGTCACAGTTGGCACTGGAGCAGAGCTCTGCGAGCGCACTCTCAACGTTCCGCTGTCGACCATCTCGTTGGCTTGGAGGGGTCCTCTGCTGAGTCGAACTGTCCGGTTTGCGTCGGCGGGGGCGAGGTTGTCGGCGCTGGCAGCTGCCTCGTGGGCTAGCTTCTCACTGACCTTTTCCAGCGTAGAATCCATCTGCCCTGGTGAATTAGGCAAGCTTACTTCCTGTACTGTTTCCAGAGCCGACCCGTTTGCGGTGACCGGGGTTCTCACACCAGAGGGGGCTTGCGAGTCGTCGGTCTCGCTCTCAGACATGGAAGGTAGGGGGTCTGGTTGGGGGGAAGGTGAAGCTCTCGTGAGGTTTATTTTTGGTGTATCTTGCTCACTTCGACGTGATGCGGGTGGATTTTGAGGTTTGTTGAGCTGGGGAGGGGGCGAGCGCAAGCGAGGCGACACCGGCCAGCGAGGGCTATCTCTCGCTTGGGTCACCTCAGTGTTGAGAGGCGCCTTCTGGGGGTTGATGGATTTCAGGAAGGATTCTTGCGAGTTCGGGAGGAGGGTAGGAGTGGTGGCAGCGGAAAGAACTCTCGACGACGCGGGCGGGCCTGGTATGCTGCTGCTGGACCTGGGCGTCCGGACTGCGGTCAAGTCTTGCTGGCTGCTTTTGCGCGACCTCAGCCCGGGGGTAGATGCCGACTTGGGCGCGATGGTGGGCTTCGAGGGTTGTCTCGAGGGCGAGGTATCGCGGGAGTTGTATGGTGATGGCGTTAAGGATGTGGTGGCCGAGGATTCCCTGGAGTGCGGCTGGGGTTCGGCGGTGGTGGTAATAGTGTTTGAGGGAGGAGCGACGGACGTCCCTGCGTGTTCTAACCGTGACTGGCTTGCGTCAGAGGACCCGTTCGTAGTGCTGGATGTCTTTTCCATGGTCGAGGATTTTCAAGTGAGACAGCAAAGGGAATGGAACCTCGTCTAGTCCTCATACCAATCGAATTGTGGGTGGGTATTGTTAACTCGGGAGCCGGCAGTCGTAATTCGGAACCAGGCCTATCATGATGTTCGACAATGCGACGTGGGATGCGATGGACTTCTGGGTGGAAGGTTGCGGCCCTATTGGGGATCTGGGGACGTCGTTCTCGACGGGTTGTTGTGCTGCTCAGGACGGGGGTTGAGGCAAGACGAATGCGCCGTCGTGTCTAGGTTTCGTGGTTGACGAGTTGCTATGGTGCCGGCGAGTTGGCTGCTGTGGATCTGTTTGACAGGAACACAGGAGTGAGAGTGAGTCGCAGAATGGTATCGGGCAAAAGAATATGGGTTTGGCAACGAGGCGTAAGAAGCTCTAAATGAGGGGATGGGGGGAATCAAAGGTGGTGGTGTAAGTTAAACGGGAGTGGGAGTGGGAGTGGGAGTGTGTGTGGTGTGTCTGATGTAAAAGGCGAAGACGAAGACGGCTGAGGTTGGTGGAGGTAAGTGGTGGTGGTGGTTGTGGGAGACGGGATGAGGTCAGTAAGGCAGTGAGTGCAACGCCAAAAAAATAATTGCTGGGTGCGCTGGCACTGGCGGATGGCGCTGGTGCTGGTGACGGGAGGTACTTTGTTGGTGCTGCTGTTGGCAACTGGGAATTGGGGAGTGGGCGAGTCTCAAAGACCTCAGCAGCCCCAAAAGTAGAAGCACCTGTCGGGAAGCAGCGCATTGTTTGGAAGGGGGGAGGAGAGGTACATCGCTCGAGGGGCTCGAGGTACCGTGTATAGGTACCACAAAGTACACTTCCATCCAACCAGACCCATGCGCTCCACGGTTACCGGGGACCAGTTGGCGTGTCGTCAACAAGGCTGGTACCGAGCTACATGGTAGGTGACCTTGTGCAAAGTACACTTCTGCTGATGCGTGCCCTGCTGCCAGCATCCTCCAGAGGCGATGCATAGATGCTTCTGCTGCCGTCACTGACTCCCGAGGGCGAGGAGCAGAGCTGCCTTTCCCTGCTAATTGTAGGCATGTCCGATTATATCTGGTTATTAACTTTTTATTGATTTTTGTAAGGAGACATGCATGCACTACTTCCATCGACATCTTTTGCATCTCTAGGTGGCGTGCTGTCACTGCTACGTCTGTGTTCAGTGTAAGCGATGGAAGCCATGCTGAGTGCAATCCGCATCCATTCATCATCGACACCTCATTGAGCCGTACCTTGGGCCGTCCGACCAACCACGACGCAGGGTGCCTTCCAGGGGAACGGCACGGATGGGAAGCAAACAAAACCTCTAACAGGCCCGGAGTGAAGCTCCCTCTTCCCCTGAATTCTGCGGGCAATGCGACAAAGGCCGGAAACCTACGAAGAAAACAAAAGGGAACCCGGGAGGAGGGAGGCGCAAAGACAAAAGGAAGCGAGTAAGGTACCCGTAAGGCAATCAGCGACCAAGAAACCTTGATTATTCATACGGGTGGGGAAAAAAAGAGAGAGAAAAAAAAGAGAAATTCTAAAAACACACACCATTTCTACCACAGTACCGACTCGTAAAGGGAAGGGCGCCCCCGATGTCTCTGCTCGCCCTAAACTCCTTTCTGTGTAATGAAATATCTCATTTGCAAACCGTATCGTCTGTCATCCTCCCTTCCCTTCCCTTCCTCGTCCCTTCTTTTGCACGGGTTTTCTCTCGTCTTCCAGCTCCATCCTAGCATAAAATTGTTTCTGCTCAACTTCGGCGCCTCTTGAGGGGCCACCATGGGAGACATGGACAGGTCTGGGTCTGGGAGCTTGGTGCTCAAGGCACCGCGGAAGCGTTCCTGACAGTCCGCAGCAATCAGAAGCTTTGTTCCAGGACCCATCAGAACAAGTCAGCAACGAAGGTTTCCGCCTCTCCCCCGAATCTGCCTTTTCAGTCATGCGTGGGTGGAAGACGGGTTTGGCTTGGACTCCCTCCTCCTGTGTCCTGCCGGCTAACGGGCTGCGCTTGACTGGATGGACGGGCCACGGTCGACGGCAAGCAACCCTGGGCATCCTCCTCGTCGTCTCTTCTCCGCTGAGTAGAAAGACCGGAGCTTTGGAAGAGTGGGCAGCGCCGCACACGGGTTCCTTCACCAGCAGCCAACGCGAGAAATGGACCCGACTTGCTGCAGGTCCCAACATAGCGTCACAAAGGACGAAAGGCGGAGGGCTCGGCGAGGGAACGCAGCATTGTGCCACCGTGAATGGGCAGACTGCAGAGAGAGAGCCAAAAAAAAAAAAAAGAGGGGAGACGACAAACCCCATCCGCCATTTCGCCAGGCCAGGCCGGTACCAGGCACAAACGTCAACACCAGCCAGCCAGCCTGCCTCGGAGTTTGCGACTGAGGGTGTCCGGCCACCATCCTCGCAGGGTACGTACCCTTTCATCCGCTAGGCATAGACCACTCAGGCGGGGGAGGACACCCGTTTTCCTAGAAGGTACGAGCGAGGTACGAGGGTACACGGTCTACTTCGCCAGACGTACCTTTTCGCCCTTGCCCTGCCTCAACTCCTGCTTCTTACATGCTTACATGCCTTCCAGACCAGTGTGCTTTGGACCGATTGATCGAAAGAGAAAAGACCCATGGCTGGCAAAACCCCTGAAACCACTACGGGATGCCTCAGACCGCAACTTCCCTCCCCGATGCTTTTCTGCAGACTGATTCGTCCTTGTTGGGCTGTGGATGAGAGTGGATGATGAACGCAGCCCAAGTCCACTGTCCCCAAAGGCCCACGCCCAAAGCTCCTTCATCCGCCATCTGGAATTTTTCTGGATGCAACTTCGTGGTGGCCCCCCGGCACCAGGCAAGGCAAGGCAAAGCCAGGACATACGGCGCAGCTGATCCCCATTCAGGAACCCACTCGGCTTTCTTTTTCCCTGTCCTTTTTTTGTTGTTCTTTTTTTCTGTTGCACCGGCGGGCTGTCACCTAGTTTCCCCGCCGCCATCACCGCTGTTTGGGATCGGATTTCTGGAACCTCGGGACGCTGCTCTTCCAATGAGAGCCCCTGGCTTTATGTTGTCCCTCTCTCCCCTGTTCCCGGATGAGAGAGGAATCTGGGTTCGATTGAACTCTCATCGCAGCCGACGCCGCCTGCGCTGCCACTCGTCTCCCGACACTAAGCAACCGTCATTCGGTTTCTCGACTCTTCTATCTTCGCAGATATTGGTGCTGTTATGCACACGTTTGTTAAGGCCAAGGGAAATCAGGCGCTTCAGCCAGGAACCGCGACCGGGACCATAACTGGGACCTGCAATCTGGTGCATCTTGTGCCTCAAACTCTACTATTTCCAAATCTCGGATGCAATGGAATGGGGACTACGGTGACCCTCTTTGATTGCAGCCATCTCGCTACCAAGAGCTGCGCAACCCAACGAAGAAGTTCGGCGGGAGCTCGTCACTTGGACGAGGGTCACGGGATAAACTACAACCAGCTCTGTTTGTCGATGTCGATTATCGGACATGGGCGCAACACCGTTTGGAACAATATGTACTCGTGCTTTATGTAAGACCAAATCAGAAGCGATTACGTGGGCGTCGGACCCGGGGTCGGGGAACATTGAAGTCTACGCACGTCTCCGGAGACTCTCACCCTGGTCAACTCAGGCACTTCAGCCCTCATGAGGAACTATGAATCGCGGTGCCCGCCGCGACCTGACGCTTGACCCTCCAACGGTCACGAGTTGAGATAGGTATAGTGGCGCGCACTCGAGCCCCTCGTCGTTTTGATGCCCTGTCTTGTTGAGGGCTCATTCATCTTGGAGACTCATATGACTCTTATTCCGGACCCCATCGTTCTTTCGCTCGTCCTGGCTGTTGTCGCCAAGGGGTTCGACACACACACCCCCAATATAGTACATAGAAACAGCGTCAACTCGAATCCCATGCCCTAGAAACGAAGTCGGGCACAGCACCGCTTGCCCTCGTCCTGTCTCTTGCTGCCAACAACCCCTTGCGTTTCACGCAAACAACTGCAGGTTTGCCGACCAAGAATCAACCAAATCTTGACGCCAGGCTTTCTGAGCCTCTCACAAGCGGCCAAGTGGACGACGTGGCAGGCACGCGACTGGCTGCATTCCCATGTGCACCCAATCTTGGGCTGTCGTTTAGGGGGCCACTATCTTGGGTTCTGGAAAATCCAAGACATCTCCTAAAGCGAGAAAAGATTACCGGCCCCCGGCCCCCAGACCGAACGTCACAGTGAATCCACCTGCCCACGAGGCAATTATCTGCGCTTCCCATCCGCTATCCCAATGGCACCGGCCTACCGGGGTGGATGCGACGCACGATTGGCCGTCATTCATCTCACTCCAATCTACGGACGAGGCAGAACGAGCGCCCAGAAAGGCGCACCGGGACGTTACCGAGACGGCTTGACGTCTCGACATCTTTGCTTATTCGATCAACCCTCCACAGCGATGGTTGTGCTAGAATAGGATCCGGGCTTTTCAGCCAAGGCCGTCCGTACCTACCTGATGCTCTCCTCATCGGCGCCTATCCCCATCCGGCTCTAGTCATCGACCTTGGCCCATCGTATGATGGGTCGCGGCGACCCCCGCAACAGGATAACAAGTCCTCTCTGGTCCGCCCAGACCGAGGCGCTCACCGGCCATCCTGACTTTTGGAACACCGAAACCCGACGAACCGCTGATCTGACAGCTGATGCTGTGCGACGGAACCGCTAGGTATAAGCCGACGTCTCCTCCTTCGGCTTTACTCAACGTCGCATCGAAAAACGCCTCTCTTTGCAGAGTACAAGGAATTGTGTCCCAAATGTGGCTCAGCTGGGTGCAGATGAAGGTATCGAGGTAAGTCAGATTCCGTTGTAAAGCAACACTCTAGTGCCCAGAAAGGGTACTGGGAGGATCGGTAGGCAAGTCTCACACTCCCGTGCGACGGTGCCTAAGTGGTGAACACTTTTCCAACGCGACTTTCCAGCTGGTCTCAGGGACAAGAAGGAAAGCCAGGCGCTTTCAGACGAGAAGAAGAACCCTCCGTTTGCTGTTCTTTTCCTGCTTTGCGCCTTGACTATTTTGCCCCTTGAGCCTTGCTTAGGTATCTACAATCATGGCCCCCACCCATCAAGAGACACACCTCGTCAAACTCCCACGTCTGTACCGCTTTCCGCCAGCGCGTGATTTGCAATTCCCAGGAAGTTGTTCCACCTACCTGTCTACCATCCCGCGTGTCAGCGCCGCTTGCTGGGCGTTGATCATCTGCGCAGGAACCCGGAAGTCTATAGGTTGGGACAGCCAAGGATAATATGGAAGAGGCATGAGACATGACGTGCCACACCTCTGTCGGGCAGCTTTAGGCAGGCAGGCGAGACGAGACAAGACATGACAACCAACCCACTAGACGTTGGAGTTAACCCGCCCTCCTGGAATAGCGGGCGCCTGTCAGATGGGACGGGCCTTGCTCGTCTCGTCGCGATGCGCTGGCGGGAAGCATCCACGCGGGTAGGCAGCCTTCCTCTCTGCTTACATATGTGGTTCCGAAGGTGATGAGTTGCGTTAGGCGCAGCGAAGTGTGTGTGTGCGTGCCAAATCTCACTCGACACTCTTGGGAACTGCATGCACCGAGCCACACGCTCCCACTGGTTTTTCCTTGGACAGCACCCTTCATTTCTTCCGTTGTCTCTAGTCGATGTATTCCTGTGCGAGACGTGTATGATGTTGTACCTGATGAGGAAGGTGCCATACCCGGGTAAACGTCCTGTCCCAGCAGAAAAAGACACAATGTCAAAATGCTTGCTTCTTCCACCGGCCCAATTCGGATCAAACGAGTGAGTGAGTGACATGATCGGGAAGTCAAGCCTTTTATTTGTGGAAAGCGGTTTCCATTTCGAGCTGTTCTCCAAGCCTGCCTTGGTTCGACCCAGCGGGTTGCTTGGTTTTGCTTGCGCGAGGGAAGCACAGCCGGCATGCAACGGTGTACATCCCTCGGCAAGGCGCATGCCGATTACAGTCTGACATGGTGACTCCGTCAAATTGCTGGCGCGCAGCGGCGTTCCTCACGGATGGAATGGATGGGGCCTAGGAGTGTAGATCTCTCTCTCTGTCCAAAGGCTGAGGGAGTACGAATCGGGGGGGCTGTTTAATCCAGTATGGTGAGCGTCGAGGTGAGGCTCTGTTGACATCCCAAAAGCCCTAGGCCTGGTACGCGGATTCGTAGCCTTGCCAGTCTCTATCTGGGCGGTCGTTCAAGTAATGGGGGACGGGGGGACGACCTGATGCTATTCCTCACCTCCGACATGAATGTGGAAGGAGACACAACTCGGGCCAGAGCGGACCGAACAAAGAGTATCTTGTCATGCCGTGTGATAGTTCATCTCTGCCTCGTTGTATATAGAGACAAATTACAACCAGGGACTGGTCACTGGAGGAATACGAGGCAGAAGGAGGCCATAAGGAAGCGCAGCACAGCTCCATCAATGTGAAATACAACCATGGACCATCATTCTATATCCGCAACTTGATATCTCTCTCTCTAATGTTTTTGTACGCCCAAACGCCAGGCCAGGCCATGGAATGCCATCCAATATAAACAACCCGTCCCCTCGACGAGCTATTATTCAAGCAAAGTGAATGCCCTCCGAGTTGAGGGCGGACAGCAGCTTCAAAAAGTCCGTCTCATCACACGAGCGGGCGCGCTTCTCCAACAGGTCGGTGCTCTCAAGCGCGCGCTCAATCTTGCTCCGGACGAGCGCGGCAACCTTTGTCTTCTTGCGCTTGCTCTTGGTCTTCTCGGGCGCCTTGCCGGCGGCGGCGCTGAGCTCCTTGAAGAATTCGGGCGTGTCGTCATCCATGGGCTCGACGTCGTCCTCCTCTGCACCGGCGTCCGCGTCGTCGTCCATCTCCATGGCGTCGTCTTCGTCGTCCTCAACAAGGGAGTCGTCAAGAGGTACGTTGTTCATGGCTGCCCACGTACGGTAGTTCTGTGGATTTTGTGAGCAATCCGACTTTTTGCCAAGCAGAGGGTTTCGGTGATTACCTTCTCGAGCATCTGAAGGACTTCCTTTGTACCAAGCCAGCTGATTTTTCTGTCAGCATTCATGTCTTTTGTACCGTTTCGTAACATCTTACCTCGCTCTCATGGTTCTGTTCTTGCGGTTGAAGCACTGAAATCAAGGATTAGCAAGAAAACGATTGAGTACGTGCCTGTCAAGTACTCACAACACGGAGAAGACCGTCAAACTCCTCGAAGGCGATGGTGGGACGCTCGGCACCCTGCTTGGGCACGATGCGCACAACACAAGAGTCGACTTGTGGCGGCGGCCTGAAGTTGGCCTTGGAAACCTTCATCTATCAGGGTGTCAGTGAAGGTATTTGTGTATGAGTAGATGCGTCCGCTACTCACCACATTGGAGCACGTCGCCCAGAAGTTGGCGTTGACACTCAATCTGCCGTAAAGCTTGTCTCCGGGCTTGGCTACGAGTCTTTGACCGAATTCAAGCTGGAACATGAGAATCGCTTGCCGCGGTGGCTTAGGCATGGCAAGCATCTTGAACACCAGGGGCGAGGAAATCTAACAACAAGTAAGCCCTGTGGTCCCTATAACGAGACTTTGAATTACTTACCTGGTAGGGCGTGTTGGAAATGAGCACATCAAAAGGCACCCAGTCGACCTGATGTCTAACGTCAGTAAGAACCAAACCACGACAAGCCGGACCTCCAGGACATTTGCGACACAGTGCTACTGTGCACGCAAGAATCGGCCCAAGAACCCAGTGAAGAACTGACCTTGATGGCGTCTCCAAGCATAACTTCGAGCTTGCGCTGCTCGGGTGTTCCTTGCACACGCTATATATACCGTCAGCCCCTGGATATCGTCCTGCCTGTGTGATGTCCAACCTTTGTGACTTCGGCTGCCATTCGAGGATCGAACTCGATCGCAATGAGCTTCTTTGACTTTTCCAATATCCGCACCGTCAGGTTACCGGTTCCGGGACCAATTTCCAGAACGGTATCCGTCGGCTTGAGCTCGGCTTTCTGTATGGATCTGTTTAGCATGCGCTTCGTCGTTGACAGGAACTGTCTGGGCGTACATGTACGATCGCGTCCGCAACACCAGGGTTCTTCAAGATATGTTGACCGACGTTTGTCTACACAGACGTTAGAATCAGTTAACAAGAATCATCACAGCTAACATACGTTAAACTTGAACACATTGTTGGTCTTCTGGGAGGGTCGAGAGTAGGGACCCGAGGAGGAAGAGGCGGCGTTCCGCTTAGGGGCTTTAGCCTTGCCCATTGTGTCTAAACTGTCGCGCAAGTTCGTTTGGTGTTGCGATGAGAAATCAAAGACAGAAAGGATCTCCGAGGGGGTATACGAAGAGGTTTCGGAGGCAGTGTGTGTTGACAGCGAATGCGACTCCGAAATCTTGACGATGTCGAAGTCTGCGGTGAAGATGGAGGGGCAGCCTTTTGTAAATTTTAGTGGAGCAACCCCACTAAAGGTCGTGGTGGCAGGGATCCCGTAGCTTAAAAACTTTGGTACCACTTCAGCCTTGCGCAACCGCCAGCTCTGGAGCTGCAGCCGCTCGCAAGATCTCCCTACCTTCTATACAACTCCCAGGCGGTGCGCATTCTGTCATCCTTTCCGCGCCAACGACGAGAGAACTGCGCACTCGACACGATGTCTGGCCGACGCGACTTTTTGAGCCAACCGGCTCCCGAAAACTACGTTGCCGGTCTTGGTCGAGGTGCCACGGGTTTTACAACGCGATCCGATTTGGGGCCTGCACGCGAAGGACCAACCGAAGATCAGATCAAGGAGGCCGTCGCGAAGCGTGCTGCACAACTGGGACTGGGAACCGACGGAAAGAAGGCAGACGAAAATGACAACGATGATGACGACCGATTCAAAGATCCCGACAACGAGGTTGGCCTATTCGCCGGTGGCGTATACGACAAAGACGACGAGGAGGCCGACAGGATCTGGAAAGAAGTAGATGAGAAAATGGCAAGGAGGCGACAAAAACAACGAGAAGCGCGCGAAAAGGCCGAACAGGAGGAATACGAGCGGAAGAACCCCAAGATCCAGCAGCAGTTCGCCGATCTCAAGAGGGCGCTATCAACAGTTACGGACGACGAATGGGCAAACCTCCCGGAGGTTGGGGATTTGACAGGAAAGAATCGCAGAAGCAAGCAGAACCTGCGACAACGGTTCTACGCCGTTCCTGATAGCGTTCTCGCCGCCGCAAGAGACTCGTCCGAGCTAGGCACCACCGTTGCGGAAGATGGTGCCTCCTCAAGCGCAGACGCAGCGGACGGTACGATGACGAATTTCGCAAAGATCGGTGCCGCGAGAGACAAAGTCCTCAAGTCCAGACTTGAGCAAGCGTCACAGGATGGCACCGAATCGGTTGCTGGTAGCGCATCGACTATCGACCCCAAGGGTTATATCACCAGCTTGAACAAGAGCGTCCTCAGCGAGTCTCAAGCTCAGGTCGGCGACATCAACCGTGTGCGTGAGCTCTTAACGTCGGTTATCAAGACCAACCCGAATAATGCGCCCGGTTGGATCGCGGCAGCGCGACTGGAGGAACTGGCAGGCAAGACGGTTGCTGCGCGCAACGTGATTGCGCGTGGCTGTACACACTGCCCTAAGAGCGAGGACGTCTGGTTGGAGAATATTCGACTCAACGAGGGCAAGAACGCTAAGATCATCGCTGCTGAAGCCATCAAGAAGAACGACCGGTCCGTACGTCTCTGGGTCGAGGCGATGAGGCTAGAAAACGAGCCCAGGGCGAAGAAGAGAGTCATCCGACTTGCCCTGGATCACATCCCTGAATCCGAGGCCCTCTGGAAAGAAGCGGTCAACCTGGAAGAAGATCCGGAAGATGCTCGGTTGCTGCTGGCCAAGGCAACAGAGCTTATACCCCTATCCGTTGATCTGTGGTTGGCTTTGGCAAGACTAGAAAGTCCCGAAAACGCTCAGAAGGTCCTCAACAGGGCACGTAAAGCGGTTCCTACGTCTCACGAAATTTGGATCGCTGCCGCTCGTTTGCAGGAGCAGCTTGGCGAGGGCACCAAGGTGAACGTCATGAAGCGTGCCGTCGCGGTTCTCGTCAAGGAATCTGCCATGCCTAAGCGCGAGGAGTGGATTGCCGAGGCTGAGAAGTGCGAGGAGGAAGGCGCTGTCATCACATGTGGAAACATCATCAGAGAAACACTAGGCTACGGTCTGGACGAAGATGATGACCGCAAGGACACCTGGATGGAGGACGCAAGAAGCAGCATCAACCGCGGCATGTACGAAACGGCACGGGCCATCTACTCCTACGCGCTGCGTGTTTTTGTCAACAGCAGGACGTTATGGATGGCCGCCGCCGATTTGGAGAGAAACCACGGGACGAAGGAATCCCTTGCTCAGTTGTTGGAGAAGGCTGTCGAGGCATGCCCCAAGAGCGAGGTGCTGTGGATGATGCTGGCCAAGGAGAAGTGGCAAGCCGGCGAAGTCGACAATGCCAGACTGGTACTTGCCAGGGCTTTCAAATCGAACCCGGACAACGAAGATATTTGGCTCGCTGCCGTCAAGCTCGAGGCTGAGAACGGAGAAACCGAGCGCGCTCGCAAGTTGCTGGAGGAAGCCCGGGACCAAGCCCCCACGGATCGTGTGTGGATGAAGAGTGTAGTATTCGAGAGAGTACTGGGCAATAGCGACGCAGCATTGGATCTCGTGCAACGGGCTCTGCAGTATTTCCCGGCTACTGCCAAGTTGTGGATGCTCAAGGGACAAATCTACGAAGACCTCGGGAAGGTCGGCCAGGCGCGAGAGGCATACAGCACCGGCGTCAAGGCGGTACCCAAGTCTGTCCCCTTGTGGCTCCTTTACTCCCGCTTGGAGGAGAACGCTGGGCTGGTCGTCAAGGCTCGCAGTGTTCTCGACCGAGCCCGACTAGCTGTGCCCAAATCACCAGAGCTCTGGTGCGAGTCTGTCCGCATTGAGCGGCGCGCAGGTAACGTCAACCAGGCCAAGTCGCTCATGGCCAAGGCGCTTCAAGAGGTGCCCAAGAGCGGTCTCCTTTGGAGTGAGCAGATCTGGCACCTGGAGCCACGAACCCAAAGGAAGCCGCGCTCATTGGAGGCTATCAAGAAAGTGGACAATGACCCGATACTCTTCGTGGCCGTGGCCCGCATCTTCTGGGGAGAACGCAAACTTGAGAAGGCCCAAAACTGGTTCGAAAAGGCGCTGGTGCTGGACAGCGACAACGGCGACACCTGGGCTTGGTATTACAAGTTCCTGCTCCAGCATGGCACAGACGTAAGTTCCCGAACCACCAGGATGGAGTCTTCTGTTCATGTACTAATGGGATCTCAGGAGAAACGAGCGGATGTCATTAATAAATGCGTCTTGAACGAGCCCCGACACGGCGAATACTGGCAAGCGATCGCCAAGCAGCCTGCCAACGCTAGGAAAGGCACCGAAGAGATTCTGAAGATGGTGGCAGAGGCGTTGGAGAAATGAGTTTATGTAAAATGTATGTGTATTAGAAAATCTCGCAGCGTCGAGGAATAGAGGAAAACTGGTCACGTAACAACATTACCAGGCGCAATCAAGGGATACCAATGGGAAGTCAAATATTACTTCCGTTCAGCGAAATTAAGTCAAAGTATTAAAATTTGTTCATGTTGCACAAAACTCCTGACCCTGAGCTATAGGGGAGAAAAACTAAAATGCAACCGATGCCCCGTGTCATGATGGATCCGTAAAAGAGGAAAAAGGGAAGAAACGATGACCGCTATATCCTGACACGCCTATTTGCCACCGAACCAGCTGGAGATGCCGCTCTTGGCCTTTGCAGCCTCATCCTCAACCTTCTTGTCAAAGGCATCAACCTTCTTCAGAGCCTCGGCCTTTGCGTCCTTTGCATATGCCTCGACGTTGCTCTTGGTCGCAGAGAACTTCTTGTCGGCCTGGGCAACCTGTAGGAGTGGTCAGTCAATCGTTCCAGCCCAATTCCAAACAAGCCTTGGCAGAGAAATGAATGCGGGAAAACGTACAGCAGAGTCGAGCTTTGCGCCAGCCTCATCAAGCTTAGCACCAACCTGGGCGCCCTTGTTCTGGGCGTCGGGGGTGCGGCCGCCGGGAAGGTGCGACTTGACCTCGGCGGAAGCTTTGTGGACGTCGCCTGTTGACGCGTTGGTTAGCACCTCGAAGATTTGCGGCGTGAAGAGAATGAGTGGGTGAGGTAGACGTACTCTCGAACTTGGCCTCAGCGGCCTTGGGGTTGCCGCCAGCGCTGTAGAGGTAGTAGCCGATACCACCGGCAGCAGTGAGGCCGAGGTAGACGGGAGCCTTGGACTTGGACATTTTGATTGATTTGTTGTGTCTGTAGTGAAGAGTGGGAAGTCGTTTCTGATGTAGCTTGAGCTGTAGCTTTGTGGTTGAGATGACGAGCTTTGATTGATTGAATCAACAGAGAGAAGAAGAGGGAAGAACAGTGGTCGTCACAAAGGATGGCACGATCTATTAGTACTACCGAATCACGAGCGCCACAAGCTCTTGTCTCATTCTGCGCGGTTACACCCTTCTCCCACTCCTGGTGCGCATCACACCAGTGACCTTGCCTCACCTACTGGCCTGTCGTCGGCTAGGCAAGGAATTTCAAGCTACCAAAGCTCCTGGTTGACGTGAAGGTATGAAGGATACATGACGTCGAGCGGCATGAATGCGGGGAATGGCAGGTAGCTTCCCCCTAGCCGCTCTTGGCCGAGCACTCCACCCGAGCCAGGCCTGCAGCGTGCACAGGCCATATGCTTCAGAGGGGACCGTCTGGGTACTTTCATCTCACGCCTTCCAGGGCATATAGAGAGGTACTCTCAAGGTTCACCATCAGACGCATCCCGACTGTGGCTGGGTCCCTTGTAATATACCTATCAAAGCTCCGAGAACCAGCTGTCATATTTGATGGAAATTCTTCTTCCTTCCGTCTCGACAGCTCCAAACCAGGTTCTCTCAGCTGGCTCTCGTACCAGCCGAGCCGCTGTTCTGTGGCTCCCGTGGCACCCATCGTTTCCTGGCACAGCTTTGGCAACGCTTGTCCGAGCTGGACTCTCTGGCATTCAAAATCAAGGACAAGGGTGCTCGACGCTCGTTGAGAAACGCTGTGACTTCGCAGGTATTACATCATCGACAGGACCTGACGACGCGCCGCCTCCTGCCCTGGCCCCGTCACCTGTGAAAGCGCCCGAGCCAGCCCGTATCCAGTTTTCGTTCCAGACCATTGCTTCGCCATTCCGCCGTGCTGCTCCTGCATCGTGCTAGCCTTCTTCAGTATCTTCAGTTGGTCACTGCTTGGCGATGGTGGTCTAGCCTACGTTAGGTCCGAAGCGCGGTTCCCAATTGACCTCCTAAAACTACACCTCGCAGCACGCAGTTCGTAGTAGTCTTACCATTCAGGGATTTCTCCCTCACCACGACCCTTCCTCCCTTTTCCACCCCTTCGACGGGGCGTCTGGGAACACCGTCTTCGTACAGCCGTGGGTCGGCACAATGTCTGGGTAGCCAGACTCTGTTCGTGTTCCAACATTCCAGAAGAGGCGCCGTCATTACTTCTGCGAAGCTAGATCGCGTCCGGCCTGGTATCCCATCTTCCCCACTCACGTCTCCTATTGTCCTCAAGTGTGCCTGCCGGCTCTTGTTCCGACGCGTTGGGTATCGGCGCCGCATTTCGGCGGAAAGCTTTTGGCGTCAGGCATGCGAAGCTGTGATACATAGCGATGCCATCATTTCGAAGCTCTCGTCGGGTTACCGGCCTGAAGGATAGTGATTACGACCACGAGATTGACCTCGTCAACCACGACGACCGCGTTGCATCGCCGAGTATCGAGACCATTGGTGGAGCCACCCGTGCATCGACCAGATCACGACTGCTTCGAGACGAAGATCAAGAGGGGGATCAAGATGCGAATGCAGATGCAAACGACGATACGGAGCGCAACGTTGCCCACGATGCTGGCTCCTCTCGGCAATCTGCAGAAGAAGAACAGAACCAGCAGTTAAAGCCCGCGAAACGACAGAGTGCGCCAACGCTTGAGCCTCAAACCACGACAGCCACGACAGCTCCTTCAATCGAAGTCGAAGGTAAACCCGTCTTGTACCCATCTCAAAACCGGGATCAAACTCTGACATTTCCCCCAACGTAGGACCCACACCCCAGGAAGGCCCCATACCCATACGAAATGGTACCCAAAAAGCAAGACCAGCGACAGCAGAGCGGGAAACGGCCATCGACGTACTGTGGGAGAACGAGAGAGGCTGTATAGTCTGCGGTATCGCCCTCTTTTCTGGAAAGGCCCTGGGCAACCTCGACCCCTCCCCATGGCAGAACCAGTTTCACAAGACAAGTCCTACGACGACAAAGACAGCTCAAGTTCCCGATCCATCATGGGAGTGGGCATGGCCTGAGTGGAGAGTACATCGGCCCGAAGGCGTGACAACGGACGAGTTTGGATGGGAATACTCGTTCATGTTCTACAAGAAGTTTTCATGGCATGGGCCGAAGTGGTGGAACTCTTTCGTTCGCAGAAGGTGTTGGGTTCGCAAGCGAATCAAGAAGAAGCCCGAGGACGTTTCAGACGATCCGCATATGCTGAATTCGGACTATTTTACAGTCACGCCTGCTAATCACAGCCGCTCCTCTAGCGTAGCGGGCAGCAGGCGAGAGAGTATCAGCAAGACGAGCATACAGACCAGTGTGGCGGAGGAGAAGCCCGACATAGAGGATGTGCGGACGCTTATGGCGGTCCTACGAGCTTCGCGAATCGACCGCGAGAAGATCGAGGCCGTCGAAAACTATCTGGCACACGCCAAAGACAACCTCGAGCACTTGCAGGATGAGATGCACGAAATTATGGGCATTTTTGTGTTCCAGGCCTCGAGGAGGCTTCTGCTGAGCCGCTTGACGCAGATCTATGACGATGCGGTCGCCGCAGATGAGCAGGAGGGCGACAGTGACAAGGCAAAGGAGAGAAAGGAGCATCTTGCCGCGGCGATCAAGCACGCGGATGAGGAAGTGAAAAGGCTGTCGTATTGGAGCGACGTCAAGGGTCTGGCAGAGAACGGCGAAGCCAAGCACGCTGTCGCAGAAAACGAAGGATGGAACGAGAGTTGGCAGGGCGTTGATCAGAGCGGTCCGGCCCACGTCAACTCTGGCGCCTTGCCTGGGTCACCCAAAAAGTGATGGGGATGAGGGGATAAATTCTTTTCTTGTATACCCGGCTTCATATAATACAAGTTTGCTAGTCGCTGTTATTCTAGTACAAGGAGCTTTGCCTTCCAATCCCATTTATCAATGCACAGTCCCGAAATCCGTTTTAGCACTTCAAACACTGTCCTTCCAGAATACGTGCAGAAGGCCGCAGCAGGCAGGTAGGTAGAGTGGAGCTGGGGTGACGGACGGGGCCGGGATCAATCGGCGCGAAGTGGAAATTTCTCCTAGCTGGGCCTTGCGAGCTCGCTCAAAGCAATTGGCCGAATTCTTGACATTTTCAGATGCAACAAACTGCGAGCCCAGCATACAACATGGGCCATTCATAGCCAATGTCCCTGGGAATCACGCTACCATGGAGAGCCCGATCCCACCGCATTGGCGTCTCTGGGATCTCTCTGATTCCCAGGGGTCCTCGAAGATGGTCTCGGGCGCCTTCGGCTCAACTGTCGCTCTCTCATCAATGGATGCACACAGCTTCCGATTCCACCAAGCGCGGCCCCGGTGAGACCATCGCGTCACATCACGGAACCAAGTCAGAGAGCACGGCTGCGCGAGCGAGCCACGACGACCCTGCGAAGGGGCAGGCGAGCAGCCGGCGGTTGACGCTGTTAACCTTCTCCCCAGAGGACGGACCAACGAGGAAGGAAGAGCCAAGGGTGTCGATCGGGCTTTCGAAACAGGAGTGAACGAACCGCAGCCGTCGCCATCAACAAAAGAACCGATAACAACGACAATAAATGGTCAACGCTCGGTCAGCGGCATACAACGGTCCGCGCCTACAACGACGTCTACCTCCGCCGAGGAAGTGCAGCAACCTCTGCTAATCAGGAAAATTCAGCTTGGTACTCTGATCAAGGATGGCTCCCAAAGAGAGGTCACGCGGTCGAAGAAGCCCAGCAAAAACACCAAAAAGACTGCCGTTGCCCCCATACAACACGATTCCGTACTGGTTGCGCCAGCCATACAATATAATTCCTCACGAGAGACGCGGACGAGTCTTCAGCGAGCCTCTCAGAGCGTGACTAGACAGCTGCGGCTCCAGGCTATCCGGCAGATCAAGAACCAACCCCTGACCAACTGGCGGGCTACTTTGGATATTCTGCGACTACGGACCCGGCCGCTTAGGGGCCATGGCAGATTCGTGCACGCAAGATCTCGGTTGGGCCAGAGCTTGGGAACAAGCTGCTATACGAGGTGGACCACACTATTTGGGATATCCACGAGCAGACACGATGTCATATCGAGCTTCGTTGGCCTGAGGACGGCAACGGGAGGGCGTCCAGTGATGGGATTCACCTATTGCTCTCAGGAGACGAAGAGGCGTTGGAGCATGCGAGCGAAGAGATCTCTCGGCTTGCTGCTCAAACTAGCAGCAGGATAAGCATAGAAGGAGCCATCGGCAGCAAAGTCTCGACGACCAAGCCAGAAGAATCGGCCCCGTCTACGGTAGAAACACTATGGGAGAGTTCCGTGGAATCGCAACGTCCGGACTATGTCCCCGAGTATACATCATACCAGCCACACCACAAGATCTTGAAGCCTCGAGAATGGACTCCTCAGACGTTCCTAGCCTACGTCACCGCCATCACGAACGCAAGACTCCCTGAGCGTCTCGCGTCCAAGTTTTACGGCTCAGGCACCACGGCAAACGAAGCAGCAATTGCCCTACTCAACGCAGCCTTCGCGGACAAAACTGCGAGCGCGGCGCACTCGGGGCGTGCATTCAAGAAGGCGTTGCAGTTCATGGAGTTGCGCGGCCATTCGCATCGCAACCACGCCCGTGAGTTTTTCAAGAAAAGATTAAACTCCCCCCTGCCCGTTGACACTGGCACCTTCAACATCATCTTGGCCGGAAACGTCAAGGTCAAAGACCTGTACAACTTCGACTCTATTGTGAAGCTGATGATTCGGCACGGCTGTCTGCCGAATGCCCAGACCTGGTCGCTGTTCCTTCAACTCATGGAGAGCGAACACGTCCGCCGCCATGCCATCCAGATCATGCATTCGCTCGGTCTGCTGCTGGACCCTATCGCCGTTCGACTCATCGCGAAGGAGCTAGTCGTATACGACATCCACCACGTCCGAGACAACTGGCCCGGCATTCGCGAGTTCCTTCAAAGCCAGGACGCCAAATATGGCAGGTCCTGGGTCTCGAAAGCCGCCATGAACAAGATCATGAACGAGCTCGGACGCCTGGGTAACCTCGCCTCCTGTCTAGATCTCTTCGACATCATGACCGAACTGCCCTTGACGACCCCCACCACCCTCACGCTCAACACGATCCTATATCATGCGCGGTCGCAGCGCAATTTCGCCCTCTCCACGGCCATTCTCCGCAGGGCGCACGAGCTCAACATCGCGCTCGACGAGCAATCGTACCACGAGCTGTTCACCCTGGCGTTCAGGCTTCGCAAGCCCAACGCCATGGGTCTCATCTGGCGATATGCCTGTCTAGAAGGCAAGACCAGCTGGTACATGCGTGGCCGTGTTTCCGACCTGCTGGACCAGAGTCCAGGAGTACATACAACCAAGACGGATGGCAAGCGGACCGCTGCGGACTTCCCGGCACTGCCCTCTTTCCATCAAAAAGACATGGAGCCGCCGAAGCGCAAGAATTCTGGCGCCTGGGTCGCCAGATTCATGTACGAACGGTTCAAGGGGTGGCGCCCCGAGGAGCCCCTCCACGAGCTCCTGGACGCGTCGTGGGAGGTCGATAACCGGATCAACCAGGCGGTCAAGCAAGCCAAGCAGCAGAGCCAACAGCCGCGCAAGATTACCGTGCCCGGCAAGCCGCTGTCCCTCCGACGGAGGGTCTGGACGACGGAGCCCGAATCTCTGGAACGCCTCTGCGTCGATATGACCGTCACGCATCTCGCTCCTGCAGACGGCGGCGAGAATGCGTCTCTTAACCAAGACCTCGAAACCACCACAGCCGATCCCGCAGAGAAGATCAGCCCTTGAATGTGTCTGAGGGTTACTCAAACAAAACCTTTTCTGAGCCATCCAAGTAGCAAGGCCTCGACAACCATGCATAAAGAAACATCCTGTACAACATCACCGATCTGTTTGCTAGACAATACCCATAGAACCTGTATACAAAATCAAAAGTCCAATTTCCTCACTCGAGACAGCCCCCTTTCCTACTACCCATCCAGATGAATGTCTACATCGTAGCGCAGGGCTTAAGCAGAGTACCCTCATCTGACTCGCATCTAAGAAAGGATAGTACAAGGATGGCTAGTCGTCGGGCCGTTCTTCCAAAAGAAAAAGGTCCTCGGGCAACTGACTATTGACGACTTCTAGCGCCGTCGGTTAATTTGTTCACCTGCGGAGAAGAGGAGGGCGGCTGACCGGTCGGGTGGCTTACATCACTCCGCGGCCAAAAGCACCAGGCCCATGGTACCTTGTACAAGCTTTATGGCTTCTTGAGCTGCGGACTAAATCCCAGGGCGCAAGACACCGCAGGCCCCCAAAGAGCCAATAACCCTTGCTCTATTGGTCTGAACGGTCATTCCCATCACAGTGCGAGCCGTCGATGAAGGAATATGGATTGGTTTATGCAAATAAATTCATGTGTAAGGCCGTGCCACTAGGTAAGCCCACGGTGGGCCACTAGCTACGGCACGCACGGGTGAGTCTTCGGCCCTCTTAAACCTGCGGTCGTCCGTCCCTTTGGCCGCAGCGACTGCTTCCATTCCACCCATCGCAAACCTGTCGACGGCCCGGACACCCAATATGATGAAGAAAACAAGTGGAAACATTTCAGTCGTCCCATCCCAGCCAAGCCGTATAAAGTCTTTCGAATCTCTTCAAGTCATACGGATTCGTAGTCCGATCATTTCCGAGCCAGCATGCACATCCACGCCACATCATTCGTCAAGGTAAAGTCGACATCGTCGGCCGCTGAGCTCACTTCTCCTTGCTATCGGCCTTCTGCGACTCTGTCGACTCAGAGGTCGCGGCCGGCTTTGACTCCTCCTTGGTCTTGTCCGCGTCTGCTTTGCTCTCCTGCTCTGGCTTCGTGGCCGACTTGTTGTCAGCCTCGCCGTCCTTGCTTGTTGCTGAGGAGGCCTTGGAGACCTGGCTCTCAAGATCCTTGTCTTCCTCCGCGTTGTCGAACATCTCGGTGTCGTCGGAATCGGTCAGGACCTCAGTGCCGTCGCCAAGGAAGATGATACGGCCCTTGTAGCCGCCAATGCCAAAAGGCTTGCCCTTGTTCTCAACATCTACGTCGTAGCCGCTGTCGCTGTCGTCGAAGTTGTGGTGAACTCCGGGACCACGGAATTCAGCTAGTTGCAGGCTATGGATCAGCTCTCCTCCTTGGAAAAAAGGAAATTGGGACACGAAACAGATGTACTGTAATAACAGGGGGATAATGGTTGTATTAAAACGGGAAAGAGAGCGAGGTCTCAGAACAATGTGGGTGGAGGTATTGGCGCGCGTCCAACGCCTTAAGAGGAGGTGGATTCAGGTTCAGTCGTACCGTATTCGGGAGGGGCGCAAGGTCCGTCTCCAGCAGCAACACGTCTGGCAATCTCCTCGTACCACTCTTCCTTGGTCTTGCCGCGCAGAAGGCCAATGATGACCATGGTCATGTTGTCGCAGCCAACACCACCAGTCTCCGAGTTGGAAGCCAAGCAGTTGTCCATCATATTCTCGCAGATCTTGTCCAACTCCTGCTTGGCCGCAATGCCACGTCGAACAAACTCAACAACCGCCTGAGAGGACTGGCAGTCCCAGATACCTGAAAGTAATGTCAGCCAGTGATTCATATGCCTGTGTCTAGAACCAGCTTCTGTTGCGTACCGTCACAAGCAATGACCAAGAACTCATCGTCATCGCTAATCTCGTGGGTCTCGACATCGGGGAAGGCAGTCACAATCTGGGCCTCGGGGGAGAGCTCTGCGCTCTTCTTGAACTCGAAGTCGCCAATGGCACGAGAGAGCGCAAGGTTGCCGTTAACGCGGCCAAAGTCGACGAAGCCACCGGCGGCTGTGATACGGGACTTCTCGGCTGAGGAGAGGACAGGTCAGCGTTGAAAGGTTGCGCATGCCACGAGCAAGTACTTACCCTCGAGCTGGGGCTTGTGGTCCTGAGACAGGGGTTTAGCCCGGCCCTTGATACCGAGAACGCTTCTCGAGTCGCCAGCGTTTGCCTGTTCGCAGAATTCTACGTCAGTAATGCGACTGTATCGCGCGAGGCCAAGCGGGCTCAAACGTACCACGTAGATCTTGTTGTCCGAGATCAGGCCAACGCAGGCAGTGCAGCCAGAGACCTCCTCCTCGTACTTGGGGTCTACAGAAACCCAACTGTTAGCACATGCATCCTTCACGGATGTAACAGACGACCATGTTTGCAAAGGCGAAGCCCCCGGAGCGTTGTAGAATTGAGGGATTCGGATTATTACCGTTGAGAATCGCGCGGTCCGTCGCCAGAAAGCCATCCTTCAACGCCTGCTCGTAATTGCCCTTCTTGAAGGTCTCCTGCTTCTTGATGATTTCGTGAATGTTCTCTCCAGCAAACAAAGCCACTTTGTCACCGCCGTGACCGTCAAACACTCCAAAGAAGGAGAGTTTAGACTCGTGCTTCTTGGCGTCATCGCTACCGGGAACAAGAAGATCGAGGACGGTGGTATGGGCATCCTCCATGCTTATGCGCCAGCCCTGCATGGCCGAGACGCCGTAGAGGAGGCGCTCATCTTCGCCCTTGGCCGAGTTCTGTAGTGGTGGAAACGTGGTCAGTCAAATGGGTCATCAAGAGGCTGGAAATACGTCATAGCGAGTGAACATTGCCGAACAGAAAGCCCCGAGCTACCTTGCCACATCGCGTGCCCGCGCGGTATCACCGGAAGCAAAGGGCAAGGCAAGGCGGGGTTCGGAATCATCTCCATGGGTGACTGCGCCCAAGGGAAGGAAGTGCAGTAAGGTGTAAATGGTTTCGAGGTAGGGTGCTGGACAAGGCAGCGCGTCGCCAGAGCAGAGTCCAGGTGAGCTGGCCTGGGCGTACGAGGGGAATCATGACATACCTTTTCGACAACGGGCTCGGAGAGAGTTTGACCCATGGTGACGGATGCAATGAGTCGGCAGCACAGCTACCGGGTTTGAAAGGTGTTCGGTCGGTCAATTTATGGTCGGGTGCTGGTCGATATCGCAGCCAGTAAGAGTTTTCAAAGCCCGTCGTGCAGTGCGCAAAAAGGCTGAGAAAAAAAAGAGGCGAGGTGAAGGAAGGTGGTGCAGTGCGGTGCGGTGCGGTAGCAAAAGGTTCTAGATCGCGCACACTCGGCCAGGAAGCGGGGTATCCGAATCGCAAGGGAAATAGCAGGGGACAGGCGTCGATCCCCAAGAGGTGTTGGGTGTGGTTTTCTGAGGGAGGGAGGGAGAGAGGATCGAGGTCGGAGGAGATTGTTGCGCGAAAATGGTATTGTTGCGCAAGAGGGAGAGGGAGGAAGGAAGAGGGAAAAAGAGCCGAACTCAATCGTAGCTCGGTGTGGTGTGGGTGAGGTTGTGAGTAAGAAGAGTTTTCCACGCGGATGGGCGGTGGTGAAGGCAAGGTAGGCAGGCAGGTCAGGCAGGTCAGGTCGCGTGTGGTGGCACTCTCTCGAGTGAGTTGTTGTGCGATACGGGGAAGGCGCAAGCAACAGAAGGAAGGAACAGGACAGCAGGCTGGGCTAGGCTGGGGCAGGAGGTTGCTTGCCTCTCCCCTCTCCTGGCTGGCTGGCTGGCTGGCTGGCTGGCTGGCTGGGTGGCAGGTGGTTGTGAGGTGACTCCAAAGGGGTACGTACCGCCAGCAGAACCACAACCACCAGACGACTACGACGACGGTGCTAAGACCCAGGTAGGGAAGGGGCCAGGTTTTTGGTATCCGTCCAAAGCGAAGGACCAGTTGGTGACGAGATTGTGAGGCGAACTGGGAGGATACACTGGCTGTGTGCGGTGGTGCTGGGTCATGTCGCCGCCTCCACTGCTTTGCACCAACAACAACACCATGGAGGAGTCACCTCGCCCCAGCTGACCCAACCTCAGTCGCTCTTGTCTCAAGATGGACAAGAAACACAAGACTTTTCGGAGGACAAGACTAAACCGGTACGTTTTCCCAGTCGAGTGTCCCAACTCTATTTTGAGTCTATATGGAATTGGACGAGGCTCTCAACTCTCTCGATGGCACCGCTGTGGGCATAGTAAACGTTGTCTGTCCAGTAAAAAACAAAACCCAAAAAAACCAACAATCGGACAGAGGGGCGTTATGCGTCTTGTCCCCGTCTCTCTCTCTCGCTCCTACTTGCATATTTGCCCCAGCACCTGGCAACGGCCTGGCCGGCCAATAGAACGAAGGAATGGATACACTCAGTTGTGCGGCAATTGCAATATCGTCATTTCTAAGCTGTTCGGGGACAGGGTGTACGTGTTACGGATCCGGTACGAAAGGATCTGCTGCAAATACCTAGACGACTTTTCTTTGGTCTCTCTCTCTTTCTCTCGTCGCACTTCCACTCTGCTGCGGTTGCGTCATAGCACTGGCGGATGCTGACCATGCTTCATACCAATTTTGTCTCTTGTCCGAGTTCCGTCACGATGGAGTCTTTCATAGTCTGGGCTGACCAACATAAAGCTCTGTCTATATCAGTATGCCATTACGCCTTATGACAATCACAACAGCCAACTGGAAGTGACACAGTCTTCCATCATCATGTTTAGTCAAGCCAATCTATCCACCTGCCATACCTATGTACTGCACCGTGCTCATGCAAGGGCCCCCTCCCGCCCCTCTCTCAACCTCTGCACCTAAAAGCAGAGAATCCCATCTCCCCCTCCCATGCCCTCCCCCTTTCCAGTGTGCCAGTGTTCCCCTCCTCTCTGAGCCCGAGCGAAGCTAGGACCTGAAGCAGACCAAAAATGGATTGGAAAATGAGGTCCAAGCTCTCTCCTCGCCCTCGGGAAATCCGATCTAAACCCCAAAGCCTTGGCCAGAGGGCCAACGGTGGGGGCTCCTTCCTCCCTTCTCCAATCTTGGGGCTTCAAGTCACGCTAGTCGCTTTCAGACCGGCTTAGCTAAGTTGTGGCTGAACTCCCACCATTGGCGCAATGTGTGTCGAGCATGCGCCCCCCCACAAGACCCTGCTCAAGCCTTTCCAAGGAGCGAGATAAAAAAGCACAGACTCATTCTGCTTAAAACAAGAGAAGAAAAAAAGGGGTCCCCGGGGAAGCCTTCAGTGCCCTCTCAAAATATACTTTTGTGGCATCGCCAATTCAACATTACGGTCTGGGTTCCCTATCCAGGGTTATGGATGTCTACACTTTCCCACTCGTCTCTGCCTCCCAAACAACACCTCGGCCATCTCATTAATGCTCCCACTCCTGCTCTATTACTACTGGAAGATAAGAAAAAGACGCCGAGTATCGAGCTCCTCGGCGGGTATAACAAATCGCAACGCTTCCAAACGAGAGATATGTGTTTGTTGTAGGAAAGGAGGGGAAGAATGCCCCTCACATGAATACACGGAAATCCTCACTGCTGCTCAGCCGACTCCGAGGACCCTTTTTCCCCACTGTCCCCGCCTCTGTCACCCAGTCAGAACCTTCCGAGTCATGCCCCGAAGAGTATCGCGCCAACCCCTTCCCTTTGCCCAGAATTTCGCTACTTGGCCTCGACGATACGTAGCCCGGGCGGCTCTCAGAATCGCCCTGCTGCCCGAAAGGGTCTCTGTTCCAACGGATGGAGCTGGACGATGACTGTCGCGACAGAGACATCTGCTTGCCTACTCGGCTGTCCCTCGTGTATCTTGGCCCGCTTGAATCTCTCTTGACAATACTAAGTGGTCGAGGAGATAAAGAGGGTGTAGGTCTCAAGAACGGGGAGGTCCGAGTCAGCTCATTGTATGCAAGGCCGGCAGAGTCTCTCGGTGATATCGTTTCCCAATTTTTTGTTTCCCTCGCCGATTGTAATGAGTCGGAGTCATCACTCTCCAGGATATATCGATTGCGGGATGGCACAACCGACCGCCCGCCAAAAAAGGGGCTTGAATCCGACTTCCTGCTAATGGGCCGTGAAAATGAACCATAACGTGATTCTGGCTTTGAGTCTTGTCGGCCCAGTCTGCCGCGTCCTGATCCAGACCTGGAGCCGCGGAAGCTACTCTGTGAACCCAAGTCATTCAAAGCTGTATATGTTTTCCTTGATCGCTGCGAGAGCGAGAATCTCTTGCCACGTATGGGATTGGACCCTGATGGCGTGACTTGCTCGGGTATGGATGCCAGGCTATCGGAGCCAGATGCGGCGGGTAGTAGCAACGATCGATCAAGAGTCAACCTAGAAGGTTCTCTCCATGGACTCGTGTAGGCCAAATCGGGGGTTGCTTGGATACTGCTGGTCTCTTCCTCTATGGATGGGATAGTGACATCCAGCACGCTCCGGAACGAATCGTCTCGCTGGCCTAGTGGGAAACCGGAAGAGTCGGAATGTACATCGCTCGGGCCGTCGTAGGTGCTCGTCGATCGCTGTTGCGTATGCTGAGGCTGAAAACTCACGCCCTCAGTACGCCAAGTGGATGTGAAGGAAGGGGATCTTGGCGACAACGGAGATCTTGGCGACAAGCTTCGTTCGGATCCTCTCCAGAAATAAGAAGAGCGGTTGTTTGACTGAGACATACGGGACCCGGTGATGGTAGAGAGTGTTCTTGATTGCCTCATTCTCTGTACGGCAGAATTGAAGTAACGCCTGCTGTGTCGATTGCTCTCAGGCGGCTTCATCGTCCCGAGAATGGAGTGTTCGGATCCGTGTCTACTGTGCGGTTCGCCATTCATCACAAACGTGCCGGGAATGGGTTCCGAGATCTTGTTTTTGAGGCTGTCCTGAACTGATTCTCGATGTCTCCTTCTGCGGCAGCAGATGATCAAGAGAACAAGAATGGCCAGGAAGAGCAGAGGAAGCAATATGGCGAGGACAATGTAGCCAGCTTTCAGCCCCTGTTTCGAGCTGTCGCTGGCCGCTGGATTCGTTGGTTTGGCTGAGGGTGTGGGAGCCGTTGAAGTGGTAGCTGGCACAGACAGTAATTTGAGGGCCGCTGTTGCTGTCTCTGATTCCTGTGAGCTCTTCGATGTTGCCTTGACGATGATCTCGATATTGCTAGGCGACCCAGTCTTGGGGGGCGTTCCTGATAAAACCAGCCCCTCAAGCATGACCCAAGATTCTGGAGTGTCGACTTCTAACTCAATGTCTGAAGGCGTCCATAGGTAAGGTTCGATATCAAATGAGAATTCCTCCCCAGGCGTAGCTTCGAAGGCTAAACTCGTATTTCGGAAGATTTGCGTTATGACGGTGATTGACAAAAGAATGTCGAGAGTGCTGGCGTATGCATCTCGTAAAGTGAGTGTTGAGTTTGACGACTGTGCATCATCAGGGGCGTTTCCTTGTATTTTGAGTGTTGTATTATCGACCGAGAGCCAGCTCGGTAGTTCAGATATGGTAAGATCAAGGTCGGCTGGCGCAATAGCGTTGCCGTCCGATCTGATGCTGCTAGCCAGCGCCGTGTAGGAAACCTCTGTCCTCCGAGTCGCGTTGAGTCGAATGATAGGGGTGTCTGTTGTGAGTCTGTGAACGCCAACAACGATGGAAAACACGACGGAGACGGCCGCGAATCCGACTATATCAGACCCAGAAAAACTGAAGTCAAACTTCTGGGGTGGTTGAAGTAATGACTCGAACGGGGGCGTCTTTCCTGTAAACGTCAGGCTGTTGGTATCAAACTTGATCCAAGATGGTAGAGGGCTATTGTTCGCCGACGTTGCATAGTAGCTCAGCCCGTCTCCTGCGTAGGAGAACGTGTCCTTGGCGAAAGAGAAGGAGAAATCGGATGCAGGATATGCCGCGATGGCAGACGGTGACGAGGTGTCGCCAAACCGCTGTATTTGTTCGGATAGCGGTATATTGAGCTTTGGCGTCGGTCTTCTGGTCACCACCAGCGTGGCCGTCATCGTTGCCGAGCCCGTATCGTCCGTCGCAACTATGTCCACCGGTATTCCCACCACCTCACCAGGCGGCACATCGTCATCCTGAGGGGTTCCAGAGAGATGGCCGGTGGTGGCATCTATTGATAGCCATGATGGTGCATTCCTCAGGCTGTAGGAGAGTTGGGACTGAGAGGCAAAGGTCTGTGGTGAAAGAGTGTATGAAAATGGCTCGGATATCCTGGTCGCAGGTGGCAGCTGAGAGTTGAATGGAAAGTAAACGATTGGTACTGCTCCCGAAAGCGCAGCTAGAAACGGGAACACATACAACATCACGTACATTGCCATGGCTGATGCGTTGTACGAAAGGAACGGCATCTGCGAGCCAAAGAAAGGGAAAACAAAAACAAAATCAATCGGGGAAGGACATGACAAACAGAAGGTAATTTCGTCAGAAACGAGAGGAGCGTGGGACAATACCCGTAAAGGATATGCTGGGCGCGAATCCCGTCGTCTATGGCTACTGATTCCCGGTTGCGGATGCCTCCCTTCGTGCCAGTGTTTGCGCCCTCGTAAAAAGGGTCGCGGATGGCGCGTGCTGCGCACTACTGATGCTCTGCCACACGACCGACAAAGAACGCCGCTTCACTCGAAGAAGCCTTCCGCTACCACCATTCCAGAGTGGCCAAAGTCAATTTTCCAAACTCGGAAGGCTTTGAGGGGACTGATCGAAGTCTGCATTCCAGCGACGGGTTGAAGAGCTCCAAGGGCGTTGGGAAAGGGTCTGCTATCGAATAGTATAGGGAGGCGGGATAAGACATATCCACTCGAAACTTTGGCTTCGGCGACGTCTGGAATGTGATGTCTCCATCATGGGGGTGAGATGAGCGCCGAATAGACCGGCCAACTGAACTCATTGAATGCAGCATTCGTCAAGTCCAGTCACTTCTGCTTTACAAGGAAAGTTGGAAGACATAAAAGGGAATTGCCGCGAGACAAGATGAAATTTCCGGGGCACAAGGTAAAATCCATACAGAAACGGCAAGAGCGAGCTCGGTTGGCTCCAAGTTCCCTTCCTAATCAGTGTGAGGCTCAACTGAGGCTCAACTGAGGCGCTGTTAAAGATGGTATGGAAAGAGCGGATAACCGGGTTGTTTGAACAGCAGGGGAGGCATAAAGAGCGCAGAGAGGAAGGGTCAACCCCGCTTGAGGCAAAACGCACCTCCCCTTATCGGAAAGTCTAGATTGTCGTCGACCTCAGCCAGTTAAAAAAAAAGATAGCATGAAAATCCCATTCAAAAACGCCAGCGATACCGCTTTTTCCGCCATGCCTTTTGGACCTGCACCAAATTCGGGTTTTTTTTTGGGTTGAAAACCACTGCCTACCTGAGAGCGACGAACACTGTTCATCCGTTTGTCACTGTGTCGTTGAGACCATAGCTCGCCTCAACTTACCTTATTTTCCACTCTCGCTCCCACGAGGCCAGAAAACATAGCAATATGAGAATCCTCAACAACTCCCTCATACCCGAACAAATGGAGTCTGCCGACCGGTCTCCCTCACCGGACTTTTCGCCCTTGGCCATTGGCGAAGACCTCACACCGCTTCCCGCATACAAGGCCGCACAAACGTCGTCCTACGACATCTGCGGTCTTTTGTCAACTTCTCTCAGACTCCACGAAGACCTCGCCTCGGGATGTGGCGGTCAGACCTGGCCGGCAGGTATGGTGCTTACAAAACACATGCTGCGTTATCATCGGGAAACTCTGAAGGGTGCGAGAATGTCAGTCAACTTACCCCATCCTTGCTTTCTGCCACGTCCCCCCCACGGGGCCGCCTGCGAAATCCCACCGCTGCTGCACATTCTGTACCAGTATGGCTGCCAGGATCCGAAAACTGTGCCAGAGAAATAGCTTCTATCTTGTCGCGAGAGACTGAGCTGACTTGTAGCTTTTCGGAGCAAACAGATTGGAGCTGGGTGCTGGCGGCGGACTCGTTGGTCTTGCTGTCGCTTTAGGTTGCGAACTGCAGCAGACGCCCTTGTATCTCACAGACCAGGACGAAATGTTCGAGTTGATGGAAAAAAACACAAAGTTGAACAACCTCCAAAACAAAGTCAAACCAATGGTTTTGAACTGGTGCGTACTTCCCTTTCTGGTTGCCCAACCCTAGCCATGCGTCGCCTTTCTTCAAGTCCCCGACCCCGGGCTTGCACAGCGCGGGTGCCAAGGCGGTGGGTGTATGTATTGTATGGTGGCTAGCGTGGTCTTGAGATCCCCGAGCGAGCTACTCTCTACTGCGCTGCAGGTCTACAGAGCACAGGTTGGAGCTTGGGCGGGCTCGGGCTGCATTTCAGCTGATGTTTGAGTTGCTGATGAACGAGACAGGGGCGGGCCGCTGGCACAAGAGGTTATCGACTTCAAGCCCAATGTCATCTTGGCAGCCGATTGCGTTTACTTTGAACCAGCATTCCCACTGCTGCTGGAAACTCTGACAAACTTGCTGTCTCTGGAACCCAATGCGACGGTCTATTTCTGCTTTAAGAAAAGACGACGTGCGGACATGCAGTTCCTCAAGAAGGCCCAAAAAGCCTTCCAAGTGACGGAGATTGTTGACGATGATCGGGTGATATTCAGCAGGGAAGGCCTGTTCCTCTACACTTTCACAAGCAAGAAGCCGATAATGAACGGCAATCGACAGTAATTGGCGTTGACCGTTGGATCATCTGTTGTTGGCGAGCCATTTTCTGGGGTAGTGAACGGTACTGAGCTTGAGTTGTGAAAGCGTAGCTTCAGCTGGAGTCAACGAGCTTTGGCTGGATGGTGACACGCCCGATGAAACCCCGTCTCAAGATGAGTGGGTGTGGATCGAATGCAGAGCAAAATGTGGTGCTCGGGTTCCATCAGTCTGTTGTCTCAAGTGGCTCGTAGCCTGACATCCAGTGAGGGAGGGTCTCTCGACTCTAGACTTGTTCTCGTAAAGATGACCGATCTGGGTCGTGTATCTATCAGAGGACAGCTCTTGATGGCTGGGTCCCGGTTACCAAATCACATCAACCACACCGACGGTGGCGAGGGGATGTTTGGAGTTATCGCATCGGTGAAAGGAAGTTCATTAATACATAGGATTACTTCGGATATTTGACCAAGCAATCCAATCTGCCATTAATAGTCCAGGTGCAAAATAGGACCGAAGCGATATCGATCGACAAAGATAGTGGAGACCATGGAGCGGGAGACCAACAATACCCAGATTGCCAGGCTGAATGAGTTGGCCCAGACCAATGTTAGTCGGCCCCAGTTGCGTGCTTGAAGGACAGGGAGACGTAGGGGTTGTCAGTGGCCGCTGTGCCGCTCTCCTCCCACTGGCAAAGACGTGATTGATTCACCAAAGGTGTGAGGGGTTTTATCCTCTTCTCCCACAAGCTGCAGGTCTGCTGCAAGCCATGAACGACTCGCCCAGTGAGCGTCCAGGGAAGAGGAAATCTCTGCGTCCGCTGGCGCCGTGGAACTACTCAAGCCAACGTGTCGGCATATCCACCGACTAATGCAGGCTGGAAAGTCCAGGAGCAATCCGTACCTCTCAGCGTCAAGAGGGGAAAGGGAGGAAAGAAAAGTCAAACTCGGGACTGGCATTGCTGAACCACCAGTGGTCACTGACACTGACTGGTGTGGTGGCATTGCCCGAGTTACCTGATCGTCCGGGATCAGAGCCGGGCAGGGAAGAGCCAGGGCCTAGACGGGCTGTGAGGGTGAGGGTTGCGCTGAGAGGGGAGTTCATAGCTGAGCCAAATTGTGATTGGCGCGTACCTTGCAGATGCAAGGAACCCGCGAAGTGCTGAGTAGGTACACTGTGTGCTCGGGCGTCGCCTTGATCATTTTCCTGGTTCGTTTCTATTGTTGCATCGTCCCAGTCCTTTCTTTCGTCTCTTCCCTTCCTTCGAGCCAAATACTAATGGCAAAGTCAGCCTCAGGCACAGGTGAGAGAGAACTCCGAAGGCCCCTTCCCTTCCCTTACGGTTTCGAGGCCCTTGGTATCCTTACTGCCAACATGTGAGCGCGATGGTGCAGTCGCGGCGTGCCAATGTAACACCCCAAAGTCATCGATCAATGTCTCTCCTAGTTTCCAGGCGCATTGTCTAGTCAATGTTGTACCGCAGCCGCCATGGCGTCGGCTGATTCGACCCGCGGACCACCAGAACAGAAGAAGGATCCTTTCTCGACTCTCCAGCGCGGCAACAATCCACATTCCAACTGGTCAGTCGCAGGCCTCCACGCTGCCGGGGTGCACAAATGTTGGCGGTCGGCAAGCAGGTACTACCCGTCACTGCCCACCCCCCCGGGCCACCGGCTGATCGTCATTCTTCTGCTTCCAGGATGCCTGGACGATGGGACGGGGGTGTTTAACGGCGTTCGGACCCTGGGCCGTTCTCCTCCACTGCCTTCCACCCCCCTGAATATGAGAAAAGGTTGGAGCCCTCTTCCCAGGTTCCGCGTGTTTCAAGGAACAAACGCCTGTCGGACGGCTTATCCAATCGTCAATCGCCGGGAGATGATGAAAAGGAAACAAGATGACTAAACTGCATGGCAAGCGACAGGGGCGGTGTGGATCGAGAGGCCTTGAGAGTCTGGGAGAGCACGACGTGAAGGCCGGACAAGCGGGCAACGACAAGGACGTTGGACGGTAGTGACATGGAAAGTGAGGGGAAGAGACGCGCGCAGTCCATCCCTTCAGCTGTCTACCGCGCACTAGCGGTTACCACAACAGCAGCAAGAGCACGTCAGACGGCAACGACCAACCTTGAAGACAACGGGATGGCCCCAAACGCATGTGATGATGGGTGGCTTGGAAGAGGCCTCGAGGTACAGTTCCGGTTACCTTGTGCCGTGCTGACCGTCATCACCATGGACCACGACCTGCGCCTCGCTACCCACTTGTCCGTCTCTTCCACTTCCCGGCAACCTGTACGCAACCCCAAAGGCAGGCTTCTCGCAGTGCCACCAAGTCGACGTTGCTGGTTCGATTAGTTGGCCAGACTGACGGACGACCTGCGTTTCCTCGGCACCCACACTTCCAGCTGTCTGATGTTTGCGTAGTCTGCAGTAGTGCGTCCGGCCCAGCTTGCCCTGACTAATGAACCTCCAGACCAGAACAGGGTGGTTTGGGGTTGGGCTCGTAAACATCGAAACGGTGGACCGATCAAGCCCTAGAGGGCCAAGATGGGCTGTACCTTGTCACGGAGCCGGGGGAGAGTTCCAAGCCAGACCAAAAGGATTAACAGAGAAAAAAAAATGGCCCGAAGCACGTCTTGTTTTTTCTTCCGCCGTGCGGAGTCTTCCCCCCAGCGAGTTCGTACAGGCGATGCGACGAGTGAGCGGGCAAAAAAGAGGCTGCGCTAGCGCGTCCGCGCATCCAACGGGGCTATTTTCGCGCCCCTTGGGGCTTTGCTTCTTCCGTGTTGGTACGTTCTTTTTTCGGACCAGAAGCAGACCAGCAACAAGCTGGCAACGGTCCCATTCAAACAGTCAACCAGTGACGACTTGACAGAGAGGCAGCGGCAGCGCAGAGAAACTGCCTTGGCCGGGGATGGATGATGCATGGCGAGCTCGCAGGGACGAGGAAAACCGCAGGCCAGCAGCTGCTGGTTACATCCTTGCCTGTTCCCACGCCAGACCGAAGCCTCTCCACTTTTGCTTTTTATTCCCTCTCGGGGCTTTTGCGACTTTTGTTGGACGCTATCCGTCCCTATGGCGCAGCGCTCTCTCGATCCTCGTCAGGTACCGATGGCACGTTACGCAGGCCTGGACTGGGCCCCCGAAGTACTTCCAGCATACCCGTCAGGCACACTCAGCGTTGTGGTGCCAGCCAGCGCCTGCAGGCCTCCACTCACACCCCCCAATGCCCACCTTGGCCCCCTTCCTAGTCTCGCCAGTCCCGAAATGGCTCGCTCTAGGTAGGTACTCACTCTGCTCACCTTGTGTGTCCAACGTTTGGTTTCTACCGTCTGTCTGAGTCCTTGCATGGGATACAAATCCCAGCGAACCTCCGCTCCCCAGATCGGTCGTCTTTTTCGATCCTTCCCTTTCCTCTTTTTTTCATCCAACAACGCTCCCTCTTGTTCGACCAAAAACACCATTCATTCCTTCTCTTGGACCCTTGAGCAGTGCTCGACCAACTTCCAGCCCAAACATTCATTCTTTCCAACAGACTGTGTCGAGGTTCAATCAAACTACCAACCCACGGATCCATCCCGTCTTGTCGTACAGAGAGTTCAGTGAACTCCCTTCATCCCATCTTTACAGCCTGCCAGCCAACCTCGAGACTCCAACGTACATACCAACGCGTGCCCAAAGCTCCCGTTGACAACCTTGAACCCAACACAGCTTCACACGCTCCAGCAAGCACAGTCCCTGATCGAGAGGCCTGGCCCATTGCATTTATTTCGCTTCCAACACAGCCTTGACGGAAAAGAGGATCGCCATTTATCAAGAGACCGTATAAGTCTTCCTGAACAACACATACATAGCCAACGCTTCGGCTACGAACAAGCTTCACCTACCCAAGATGAAGACCACCACCATCCTTTGCGCCGTCCTGGCCACCACTGCCATTGCTCAGCCTCACCAGCATGCCAACAAGCGCCGTCATGTCCACGGCAAGCATCAGAAGCGCGCTCTTGTCACCGAGTGGGTTACCGAAATCGCCTACGTGACCGAGTGGGTTGACTCGACCACCACCGTCTGGGTTAACCCCGATGTCTCATCCACCAGCACCGCCGTCCCCACGACGTCGGTTGCCGCCCAGTTCTTCGAGCCCGCCGATCAGCCGTCCTACACCACCCTGTCCACCTCTACGAAGCCCTCTGCCGTTGCTTCACCCGTCAAGGAGCCCGTCTCGCAGGCCCCCCCTCCGGCACCTACCACGTCCACGTCCACTCCAGCCCCCGCTCCCGAGACCCCGACTCCTGAGCCCGTTCAGTCTTCTACCCCCGTCTACGTTGCGCCCCAGCCGGTCCCTACCACCTCTTCTACCCCCGCGCCCTCTCCTCAGCCTACTACCCAGGCTGCTGCTGCTGCTGCTCCTGCTGCCACCCAAGCCAGCACTGACTCCAGCTCCTCCAGCAGCTCTGGTGGCACGGTTCACACCGGCGACCTGACCTACTACGCCGTAGGCCTGGGGGCTTGCGGTGAGGACGACAGCGGCAAGGACCAGACTGAGAACATTGTTGCCATCTCTCACCTCGTCATGGGTACTCAGTCCAACGGCAACCCGTACTGCGGCAAGAAGGTCAAGATCACCGTCAACGGCAAGTCCACCACCGCTACTGTCAAAGACAAGTGCATGGGTTGCAAGGCCGATGACATCGACGTCAGCGAGAAGTGCTTCCTCGACGTGTTTGACAGCCTTGGCGTCGGCCGCAAGACTGTCGAGTGGTCTTTCATCAACTAAGAGCTCCACTGCGTGTGCGCTTTCTCATCCCAGCCTCAAATGTTCGTCAGGAGCTCTGCGGGTGGTTTATCGCCTTTCACCATGCTGCTTTCCCAGGGAAGGCGCTGCACCCACCAGGGTTTGCCCAACCTTGGCCAACTCAGAGAGCCAACCAAAATTTCCCCTTCAAATTACCAAGAAAAATTCAACAAGCTTGGTCATATATACCCAACCACCCTTGTATCTCAGACGGACAGCGCCCGACTCAAAAGCATGGGACTGGATTGGATTACAGAAGGGCAGTGAACGAAACTTTGTTTTCAATGACGTGATGACAATATCTATATACCTGTGGATGTGTATCCGATTCTTCTCGGGGCCATCTTGGACAGATACAAATGGTGTTTTGTTTTTGTGGACATTTTTTTTCCGTCGGCTTATAGAAGTAAACTTCAATGTATATATCTATTAGGGGGTGCTCACGAGCCTCCCGACTGGGTTATCTGGTGCCGCGACGGTATCAGGAAGAAAATAAAAAACCAACATTCGGAACTCGATCTACATACGTGCCTGAATTCTGTTGACTATTCGGCCGAGTGTTCACTGATCAATGCTAATGCAGCCCCCATGGGGTACGGGGCTACGCCCCAAGCCTACTTGACCGCAATGATAGTAGCGGGAGCTCACTCAAACGTCAGCAAACAAGGTACGAATCGGCGGGAAGCAGCATGTCCATGACAAACTCTACATTCCGGCAAATATCTCAGGTGACGTCGAGAAGTAAGAAACACCCAGCCAAGACATACTGGATCGCAATTTTTATTATGGCTGTCTTATGTACGCATCCGGGGAACCCACCCCTCGCACCCCTTTTCGAGTGTCTCACTCCGCAACGATGCGGACTGCTCTATGGCCGTTGAGCTGGGGTCAGCATATCCCACCTCTCCGCCTCCTCGGCGCCTTCCCGGAGATGTCGAGCAATCCGTTCCACGACACGGCAGAGTCTCAATCTGCGTCCAGACACACCCGCATTCCGCCTCGGGTCGCCCGAAAGCATTCCATGGGTTGATTGTTCATTCTTCATGCGGGAATCTAGACGCCCCACTGGCCGCCACTGGAGTCTGAAAGCGCGTCCATCATCCGCCCGGACAGACTGGCCGAGGGTCCCAGCACCCGGTGGGCTACAACAGGAACATGTCCAATTCATCCATCTCCTTGATCGAGGGCAGGGCCCTAGCCTTGGCGGCCCTCTCGTCGCTGACCAGGAACTCGGCCGGGACGTCCACCGCATCCTTGCCGGCCCCCTGCGACCCGGCCATCATCCCGGCCACCGCACGCCCGCACAACGCCGCCTGCGGCATCCCGTGCCCCGTGTACCCGGCGCAGACCCACAACCCTTCCCCGCCACCGAGGGCGGAGCCCGACGGTACGGGGCCGACCCACGGCCGTCCGTCGCGCGAGAAGGCCATGATGCCCGTCCACTCGTAACTCGCCCTCAGCTCCTCCTTCTTCTCCCCGTCCCCCAGTTCGACGTTCGCCGCTCCTGCGCGACGCAGGTACGCGGCGACGACGGGGTCGATCTCGTCATCGTCCGAGACGCCCACGCCCCTCAGCGCGCCGCGCGCGCGCCCGCCGCCGAGTATCATCTCCAACCCCGGACTGGGCCGCTGGATCAGGTAGTCGTCCTGGTTCGGCTCGCCCTTGGAGGCGTCGGAGCTGGCCATGAAGACGTAGCTCCGCCCCAGCTCGGCGCGGGGCTCGGGCAGGAGCGCGGCCACCTGCCCGCGGACGGGGACGATCAGGTCCGCGAAGGAGGGCAGCAGGCGGCTCGTGTAGGCGTTGGACGCCAGGAGGACCTTTTTCGCGGCCACCTGCCCGCGGTCCGTGTGGACGACCCACGAGGCCTCGCCGGGGGAGGCGGAGGAGGAGCCGGGCAGGTGCTGGAGGCGGGTGACGGGGGTGTTTGTTTGGATGTTGAGCCGCCTGGCCTTGGATTGCGTCTCGGCGCGCGACCCGGGGCCGAAGCGGCGCAGGAGGTCTTCAAAGATCCACGTGACGAGCCTGTACGGCCACACGCTCGCCGCCCTCTCCTGCACGACGGCCCCCGCCGCGTCGGGGACCCTTAGGGTCCTCAGCTCCCCCGGGTCGGTGACCAGCCTCGCGAGGCCCGCGAGGTGTGGCGGCAGCGCGGCGATCTGCTTCTCGGCGGCGGCGACGAGGTCCGGGGTGAGGAGGGCGTGGACGCCGCGGAGGGGCAGCCAGTCGCACGGGACGGCGTTGGCGGCGACGAAGTCGGCGAGGTGGGCGTAGTTGCGGAGCTCGAAGTCGGCGATGGCGGTGTTGGGGTTGTAGGCTATCGGTTGGCAGTGGCCCCCATTCTGTGCGTGGATTAGCTCCGAGCTGAGTAGACTTGCGGGTGGTTTGTGTGTGTGAATGTGTGTGTGTTTGTGATGGCGCATGAGAGTGAGAGGTCCAGGATGAGATGTTCTCACCAGGTGTCATTGAAGCCGCTCACATCACTGTAGCCAACCACACGAATCGGGAGTTTCGAGATCTGACGACAAGGAAAGGATAAGCTCACCCGCCCCGTGGCGCCCCAGCAAACCTCCCTCGCTTCGAGCAGAAGCACGGTCTCCGTCCCGCTCCCCGCCTGCTGTTCTAGCAGTTCCTTGGTGGCGAAGGCGCCCGTGATGCCGCTGCCAACGACGACGACGTCCGCGGTCGGGGGCAGCGCCTTGGTGGTCCTGTGGCCGAGGAGCGCCTCGGAGGGCTCGCGGTGCCAGTAGGATGCGGTGCTCTTGGCCGAGGGGAGGTCAGCCTGGCCCGGTCGGAGGGTTTCGCCCGTCATGGTCGTCTTCTATTACTTTGGGCCTTTGAGAGTATCTGCGGGGAGGCCTGTTGATTGAGCGAGCGATAAGGTGGCGGCTAGGCTTCCGGTTAGGAGGATGAAGGAGAATAAAATAAAAGTGTGTTCCAAGCTGTTGCGGTAGAATAGCGCCACACTCTTGACTGTTCGTAAGCTTGCCGTGTGGTCGGTTGGGTCATGTGTTGACTCAGGTGTTGAAGGAGCGAGGTAGCCTGGTGGTTGATCATCCGGCTCCGACCGGCCCTATCGCCGGGCAATTGAGGTCGGTCGGCTTTCGCCCCCTCTCTCCGGCCCTGCATCCCACCACCGCACGCGCGTCCGAGGACGTGGCAACCTCAGCACACGTCGCAGCACGCGTTGCTGGTGCAAGATCCACGGATAATATAATACGTATTTGGGATCCACGGACCATACGATGAGGGAATGAATGATTTGACATTACTGCCCGGGCTTCTGTACAACTTTTAGGGTGAAAACGCCAACTGGTCTCTATTGTGCCCATCCATCCATTGACTACCCCGAGGAGCGTCACAGCCCATGTTTTGCTGCACCGCGCACTGCTGAGCCCACCAAAGGTCATATCTACAAGACAAGAATACGCTAAAGGACGTAAATAGCGTAGAAGAACATTCCCTCTCCAACTCTTTTCTTGCTTGTCGTCCGTGGGGCTGTGTGGTTTTCTTTTTTCTCCGTGCTTGTTTAACCCTGCATCTTTCTTCTCTTGCCGATCTGGGCGGAGAAACCAGTCTTGATGGCGGTGACGGAACGTCTCGAACCGCAAGAGTTGCAGGTAATGAAGTACAGACGGTTCTCTCCCTTGGACAGCTCGGTGTCGGCGGATTTGCCTGGAAAACTTTGTCAGCAAGCCGCGGCAGGCGCAGGCAGCAGGTGGAGAATCTTGACTTACAGGTCTTGCAGGTGACGTACTCGACTGCAAAGGAGAATGCTGGTTAGCAAAAACATGTCACAAGCGCGAGATCCAAGACTTACTGATGTACTTGCGCAGCACGTTCTCGAGCTGCTTCTGCTGGAAACGACCCTTGATGACCAGGCGTCTGCTACCGTCGACGGAACCGCTGGTACCCAACTCGGAGAAGAGGTAGGCGGTGACGTGCTCCTCGGTTCTCTTCATGCGCTTGCAGATCTCGGCAATGTTGGCGAAGATGGTCTTCTTGTTGCCTTCACGCATGCACTGCGGGGGAGGGATCTTGTAGCTCTTGGAGCCGCTAAGGGCGTGGTCGGGGTTCTTCTGGGAAAGCTGGTGGAAGAAGCGGTTCAGGAGCAGGCTGTAGCTCAGGGCCTTGGTCTCGTCGTGCTGCCAGATGCCAGTGCCGGCGTCCATGTCGCCGTCGTCGGCGGCGGCCTCGGTGGCCTCACCGCCCTCCTGGTTACCCTCGAGGTCCAGAGCCTTGAGCTTGGCGGCGAACTCGTCCTCCTCGCCGTCCTCGGCGACCTTCTTCTTCTTCTTCTTTTTCTTCATGGTCAAGTCCAGTCCGCCGTCCTCGCCAGCGGGCGCATCCTCGGCGGCGTCGTCACCGTCCTTGGGAACCTTCTTCTTCTTCTTCTTCTTCATCGACAGGTCAAGACCACCATCCTCGACGGCGGCTTCGGGGGCCGTCGCATCTTCGGCTCCAGCTTGAGAATTGGCATCAGCATGTAAGGCTTCAAGGGCTGCGGCAAGCGGCGGCGTACGGGGCGTGTGCGACTGGGCTGTCTCCTTGGGTTCCTCGGTGGCGTTGACCATCGTGACTGATCCGTCGACGTCGACGACTACTTGCTCGTCCGTGAAGGCGACTGATTTACGCTGTTTGCGGTCGGGAACGGGGTTTGTGTCCTGTGGGGAAAGCACCTATGTTAGAATACAACGAAAAAAACGATAGCGTCGGTTTTTTCTTTTTCCTTCCGTCAAGGATAGAAGGGGAAAAAAAACTGGATCGGAGGGGACGTGACGGGATGAGAGGAGGGGGAGAACAACGTCAGGTGGTGATGTCTTGCAGCTTCGGCGGTTGAGGTTGAGTTGAGTCACGGAAAATGTTCTGTTCAATTCGTGTCTGGTTCCGGTTCGAAGTGCAGTGGGGTAATTAAAGATGGGATTGGTGGAGGGGCCAGTGGGTGGTGGTGCTCAGAAGTGCGCATGAGGGAGGGCTAACTTCTTAGCAGTAGGGGAACTTACTTCGACATCCATGATTGCGGCCTGTGTCTCACTGAACGGAGTCTCGGTTAGGTATCCTGGCGCGTGTCCTGGTGAAATCCTTGAGTGGTCCGGGGGGTGGCTGGCCGTTGAACAAGTCGTGTACTGGCGCAAATGGTGCAGAAATTCCAAGCGACCGGTCTGCAAATGTCGGACGAGGCGAGTTTGGTTCGGGACTTTGTGAAAGGAGAGATTGGAGTTGGCTGCAGCACTGGGAGATTTCTTGAGGGGTGCGGGTGTGACGTGAGGGCGGTCGAAGGAGGCGACCGATCCTATCACTGTAGCGCTGAGCGCCAATCTAGGTGAGGGTGGGCTGTGAGTCAAATGATGGATCCGGTCACGTGATTGGCTCATGTCCTTCCATCCATCTCTGTCCGGTGCTCGTTCCCATGTCTCCCCTCCTCGGTGGTGCAGTAGATGGACCCATCAATCCGGCCCCTGCAGCCAATCACCATCAGTATCACCGACATCTGTGACTGACCGTGCCGGTGCCGTTTCTGGTTGGGGGCAAACGGGGGGGAGCTCCAGGCTACCTACCAAGCGTTCCGACCTCCACCGGCACCTCCAGCTGCATTGGTATCGATTATCGGAGGCATCGCGGTCCTTGATTCAACTCCTCCCCTCGCGAACGTCCATTTGGTAGATCATCTTGCATTTCCGACGGCTACGAGCACTGAGCACGCCTACAGCTTGTCGACAAGCGTGAAATAAGGCGCCGAACCTCGATCTCGACGTCCTGTCTTCCCGGCTCGTCGAACGCACATCCCAAGCTTAACAGCCGAGCGCCGACCAAACGGCCGACGTCGCCATTACCCCGTCATGATGGCATCCACCGACTCCTTCATTCTCCACGACGATGTCTCCCCTTCCTCCGACAATGATGAGATCGACTCACTGCCCTCAATATCCAGCAGCGTGCTAGACTCCGAAGATGAATCAGATGCGCAGGAGGAATGGGAGCGTAGTCTCGAGCAGATTCAATTGCTGTTGACCATGGTCATTGTGCCATTTGCTGGCAAATACTTTGGCCGAAAGTTTGCATACTGGAGTAGGCTGCTCGATTGCTCCTGTTGTTGCTCAGACACTGACATTTGCTTGCAACAGGTTGGTCACGATACATGGAGTGGATGCACAACGTCGAGGTGCGGTGGACGAACAAGGGCGCGTTCAAGGCCGCCGGAGCGGCAGAGGCTGCGGCAACATTATAAGAGATACAGCAAGGCCCGCGGGCCCGGCCAACGATCCTTCGGATCTTTCGTCATTAAGCCAAAGGCATCGACACGATGCCTGGCGTGTATACATGGTTGGCGTTGAGGAAAGCCGTCATAGAAAACTGGACGGCATATAAAGAAAGAGGCGAGGCATCGGGCCTGGCCAACTAGATTTGAATCATAACGTTTGTCATACTTCAAACCTGAGTAGCACGGGGAGCTGTTCTCTGTGCTCTTTAGGAATTTGTGACTTTGGAAAACTCGGGTCCATTCACATGTGTCAAATGACCGCACGCTAAGGAATCATAGTCTTCATTTGTTAAGCAACTCTCGTTTAATGGTATCAATTCGCAGTGTTGTACTACAAGGAGCTGTTGATGGCCCTGTGGCCAGTCTCCAAAGCTCCCAAGGCGTTATAAGCCCGGCCATATCCATAAAAGCATATCCATGTCCCATATTCCATATCCTGTCACCCATTACTACTACATGCCATCGTGAAAGGTTTTCAAGTAAAAAACAAACCGCTGCCAACGCCGTCAGCCCCAACTCGCCTTCCGTGGCGTGTCATGAAAGCCAGATGTCTAGCCCAGCTGCCGTTTCTGTGGGAAACACCCAACAGGTTTCCTTTGCCGTGTAATTATTCGCTATGAACAACAACGACCGAACTCCAAAAGCTTTAGACGCCAACCTGCGCCATGCTGGGCCTGGAGCTGCGGACGGAGCCGCCTCCGCGACGGAAGTTCATGAAGGTGAAGAACCCGCCAGCGCAGAAGCTGGCGAACAGGAACCACATGAAGACTGTGCTGGCCTGAATCTCGCGGCAGCGCTTCTCATCGTCACCGGAACCCCAGACAATGTAGTCGCTCGGCAAGTCACTCCTGTTCAGCGATCCGCAGTTGACGGCACGGAGCTTGGCTGACAAGACGATGGCGTCGATGAAGGTGAAGAGAACGGCGGCACCGTCGAGGGCTAGCAGCACGATGGGGATAGCAATGGCCGAGATGAAGGAGGCGGCCAAGCCGTAGAGAGAGGCCAGCCAGCAGACGACCGCGACAAACATGGAGAAGTTAATAGCAGCCATGGCGGAGCCGGCGCTGTTGATGTTGAGGGCAATGACATTGCCGATCAATGCTGTAACGAGCAGAACCCAGAGGATCTGAAGACCCCGGACGAGCATTGGCAACATTGATTCCATCATGCTGGGCAGTTGGTGGACCGCTTCGTAGAGTTGTGAAGGATCGAGATCCGGTGAGTGGATAAGAGAAGCGGATGTTTGGGAGCAGAATTCTCCCAGGTTCGAATGGTATGTAGTTGACGTAGATGTTGTGGCGTGACTGGATCTCGGTGACGACGAGTGCTTGCAAGTCGATGATGTTTGACAGCCGGGAGTTGCTCTTTAACAACCAAGTCTGTGTGCAATGTGGCGGAAGACAGAAGTAGACAACAACGTGGAACAATCTGTGTAGGGTGGCGTGGGACGATTAAAACAAGTCTGTCTGATGTGATTTGGTTGTCGGGTGAGTAGGGTCGCGCACGGGAAAGTAACAGCAGATCAGGGTATCTTTAATATTGCGCGGGAGGGTGGGATGGATTCGATTGGGGAGGGAAGTTCCTAGGCTGTGGCAGACATGGATGATGGAAGGGGACCTTCGGGGACTGCACAGATTGCTGCGGTCCGCACAAAGCTGGTACGCTTGGCCGCGGCTGCACACAGACAAGAGGCAGTGACGGGCAGAGAGCAGAGCTTCGATGATTTCCATGGAGATCGGCACTTGCGGGAACGATGACCTCACCAGCCAATGCCTTCCGCCCGACGCACACACGCACCACGCACAAACACACACTAAAAGAGGTACGTACCACACCCTCCGTGCCCTGGGCTGCTGGTATTCAGCTTGACACTGCTCGAATACTTGGGCGCCTGACGTCTCTAGAGACGTCCAATGGCATCATCCAAGGGTCCAAGTCGGCCCCGAAGCAGCCGCTAGACGGTTTGGCCAAGGCCGCGTTCAGCCCAACGAGTCCCTGGGAACACCTGCGGCCGTCATCAATCGGCTCAGACGGTGTCATCCAGCAGATGGCATTTGAAACTAGAGCAGTGAAATTTTCTGCAGTAAATAGTGTAATAACACAAAAAAGTGGGAGACGGAAGACGGTGGCGTGTTTCTGTTGGCGCTTCTCCCGACATGGCCGAAGCTTTCCAGGTTCGACACAACCTTGAGCTCCCCAACAGGCAAAGCAGTAGGCTCTGTTTGCGTCTCGCATGGGTCATGAGTTTTCTGCATTGGCATCCGACATTTTCTGCGGTTGAGAGTTGAAACCTGGATGGCTTGCCCTGGCAGGAGGAGCAAGAAAAGGCTCTGCGGCACCCTGGGCCTCCCCCCCCCCCTTGTCAACTCTCTGCCGAATGGGTGGTGCTGGTTGGCGGGTGAAGAGGCTCGCAGTGCCCCTCCCTCTTGTTTTGGCAATTCTCTGCCCCTCTCGAATCCCCCGCCCCTGCAGCAAATCCCGTCTTGAAGAAGCCTTTCCCCGGCGATTCGCTGTCCCGGAAGGATACACGCAATCTGGCCCAGCAACCCCGGAAACAAACAATCCACAATCCATCCACATTCATTCCAAACCAACCCATCTGCACCCTGGCTCCGATCGCTGTCGTCCTATCAAACCTTGAATAACACCCTCGGTGAAACAACATGAGCCACCATATCCGCGCTTGCGAATCTGTGGAATCGAACTCTACCGACACACTTCAATAGCCTTAGGAGCCGGCTACAACCACACGAGCGTCGAGCAGGAGAGGGCGCAGCGAGCCTAACAAGCCTCGTAGACGGCCACCCGGTCAGATCCCATCACCCGTCTTCTCACCACCAGGAACCCCCAGGTCGCAACATCATCACGCAGTTTAGATGAGGACAAACACCTGGGGTTAAACCACCATCGGCTCACGCTTGCTTTCCCGTGTCTACTGTGTCCAATCCATATCGCATGTCTCTTCTTTGTGTACTCGTCGTGATATTGAAAGTGAAGGAAAATTGACAATAGTAGTCCAAGACGGCAGAGGCGGCGGGGAACAACAAGTGTTGCCATTAATCTCGAGACGATGCCTCGAGAAGCGTTCGAGTCACCCAGTGCGCCTTCCCAAGCCGGTACAGACACTGCTACTCTCCTACAAATACCCCAGAATCTCAGAATGCCGACTGGCAGAGCACTTGAAAGTCTTTCGTCTCTCGCTGCTGCAACCCAAAGGCTTTGGACCAGTCGCAATCAACAACATCCACCAGCTCCAGAACCGTTGCAACAGCAGCTTATACTTCCTGGTGAGCGAAGTCGGGCAAACATGCATGTCAAGTTCGCCTTCTTGGCCCCTTGGGATTCTGTTCGAGACGGCCCTTTGACTAGGCACATGGTAATGTCCGCCAAACCTCTGTCATCCTCTCGATGCCCGAGTTGGAAACTGCATTTCTCCAGCCCCGATCCAACTGGACCTCCATGTCGCTCTCCAGGTAGTCCGCATATGAAGACCAGCTTGCATATAAACCGCGCTGCTTGTAGACGAGAGATAGATGAAGCCGAGTTTGGCGTGCTTACCACATGTTTCCTCCTAGGCCACTCTTACAGAACGGTTATCGGCATTTTTCACTCATTGTGCTTCCGCCATAGCACCGAGCCTGACTTCCTGGGCTTCATCTCAACACAGATAATGCATCGTCCCCAGCTCTTCCTCTACTGCTGCACCACTAGCCTTTACCTTACTCATATTCCAGCTCTCGGAGGCCTGGAGCTGTGTGCTGACAGTGGAAATTGCTGCTACCCAGCCGGTTATGCTACAGGGTTCCTCTCCAGGCCATAGCCCTCAACTCCCAATATGCAGCACCCGGAGCTTTACCAGTCGCCGGGGCCAGTGCCCGACTGGCTTGTTGAACGTTGAGAGGGACAATGAATCGGGGCCAGCATGGGTTTGAGAGAATGCCACAAAGGCTCCCTACAGAATCTCAGACATACTGGCCCTGACACGGCTGCTTTCGCAGTAACCCGGGAGATTTATCAGATGACGGCTTATCCAGAAGTACCAGACGAAGTGACTCAGTCGCTATAGTGTCTCGTCGCTCGCTCATTCGCGGTACAAGTCAGCGGCCTATGGCGCCAGTTTGATGATATACCCGGAAGAGGTGGACAAGAGACAAACTCGCGACTGCGGAGCAGCAACAGCGTGACTTCTGACGGAGCGCGGGGCATGAGCCCAGACTTCGGCACGCCGTCTTCGGCTTTGGAGACCCGTAGTACACGTGGTCGTTTCCATGACTGGTTATTACAAACTCTAGCCAAGCTACTTGTGAGAAGAGCGAAAGGGAACTAACGCGGTCAGAATGATGCGGCTGACAGAGGTGGTGCACGGAAACCGATAATGATTGCGAGTGCCACGTTCTTCGAGTGCCGTTCCGTGAGCATCGTGAGATATCGTGACGCACTTTAGCAGCAAGTGCTACGTGTGAAGCTAGCAATAGAAGAGAGAGAGAGAGAGACAATAAACTTGCAATGTCGTCATTGAAGCAGTGTCGCCAGCTAGCTACTGCAGCGACACGCGCTTGTTTAGCGCTGCCCTCGGAGGGATCGCTGGATTGCTACTAGACGGCAAAGATTGAAGAGAAGCCGACTCATCAGACACATAGACATGTCGTCATGGAGAACGGTAAGAAATCGATTCGTCAGCCTCATCAGCACAATGGACCCGTGGCCGTGAAGAAGGTTAAACTTGTAATCATTCATGGCAAAACCAGACCCGCCTCTAGTGGTGTTCATAACAGGGAGCCCAAGTTGTTCTCACTTGGACACGCTCCGTGCGATCCTTCTATGCATGTGCCTACTCTGTCCCGACGCTATGGCTACCTGTGATGAAGCCTACCTCCGGGCTGGAGGAGTTCCCTACCGACTAAAGTTCAGTAGCCCCTCGATATACTTGCGCGTATCGATGCCGATCCCCGAGGCCAGACGGCCCGCGCCGTCGCCCCACCCCGCTCCCGCTCCCGATCCGCCGCCCTCGGCGTACGACGAGCTTATGCCACGGTAGCCTGCGTGGTCGCTGGCCCTGCGGATCAGGAAAATCTCCTTGCTGACCGTCGGGCTAGGCAAAGGGGGCGGAGACGGCCTCTGTATGCTCGAGCCGTCGCCACTCGTGGCCAGCGAAACCTCGCTCTCCGACGTTGGCGTGTCGTCGTTGTCGTCGTCGTCTTCGTTCTCCGGGTATCGGTTTGCTGCGGCCCCGTTCGTGTGTCGGTCCAAGATGCGCTGCCACACGACCCACCACCCGCGGTTTGTTTTGCAAGTCCGCTCCAGCTGGTTGATCTCCGGCCGCGTGATGTTGAATATGTTGAGAAGCTGCATGTGCGTGTTCATCGCCTCGACACGCGACCACGGCAATTGCGCGTTTGACTGAAACATTTGCGCGTGATCGGGTATGTTGGGTATGCTCGAGAACACGGTCATGGCCTCGGAATCCCAGATGAGGTCGTAGATGTTTGACGCTGCAGAACCCACATCTGGTTTTGCTGGCCTGTACTGGATAGAAGAGAGCAGGGGTTTTCGGAGAGGCGCCAGCTGGTGATGCAGCGATTTGTAGAATGAGTCCCAAGCCAGCGAGTCGGTCCTCAGCTCGAAGAGAAAGGTAAAGATGAATGGCTTGTTCACATAAACAACAACGCGCAGCTTGCTCGCCTTGTTGAAGTCCTGGTTCCCGAACAGTGGGTTCGAGCTCACGGCAGTGATCCCGAGAGGGGTCACTTCGTTTGTTAGGCTGCCGAGGTCCTTTACGACGTCTGCTTCGAGGCGGTCAGTTCCCGTCTTTTCGAGCTCGACATGAATGGTGCGAAGCAAGGTCCGAGAGTTCGACTCAACCTCGGCCGCCTCATCAGAGTCCTTGCTATCTTCGCGTTCGCTGTTACTGCCCTCCTCAACGTCACCTATCAGACCGATGAGGTATTGGCCTACATCGTCATCCATCCGTTTAGGTTTTGGTGCCGTAGAGGAGGTGTGATGGGAGGACTCTCCACTTTGCAAGGCGGCAACGGCGGACAGTTGGTTTTTGTCGGCAGGTGATGATGTATCCGACTTGCCAATCGACCAGTATGTGCCGTAACCAAGCTTCATGTACGTCATGAGCTTGTCCATGTGCCCATCTCCCTCTTCCTGCGCTGCAGGGGCGGCGGAAGTTGCGGTGTTCTCCTTGCTGGGCCCTGGCTGTTTGGCTTCCTTTACGGTGCCAATCTCCTGGCCACGCCGCTCCGCAAGCGTTCTCGTAGACCCAGAACTTCCAGACCCGGAACCAGAGTCAGAATGATGGCCGTTTGGCCGAACTGGAGGTCGTGCAGGAACGTCCGGGTTTTGCGATGGCTTTGTCTCCGGAGCCGGCGCAGCCTTCCGCGGACGTCGTGCGGCGCGCAGAGACATCGGACTCTCGATTACACCGTAAGCGTTTTCGCCCCAAGTGTACAAGTCCTCCATCCACTGTGCCACATCTCTGACCGACTTCCGAGACAAAGCTCCTGTTCCCAGGAAAATGGCACCGTCTTCGGGCCCTGGATCCTGGCCTGTGCCCAACCACGGCCTCTTTGGCTCCTTGCCATTTTTGGGCTCGCCGTCGGCATCGAAAGAGCCAAACTTGCAGACGACAAGGTCGACAAGGCCCTCAACTCTGCTGACAAGACCTTCCAACACTTCTCGTTCTCCGCTGCCCCGGTCTTCTTCACCGACGCCGATGCCCAGTTCGCCGGAAGCGGCTATGTTGATGCCGCCGAACATGGTCCGTACCGGGTTGCCCTGCAGCATGACGTTCCATGTTGACAAGAACAGGTCCCAATACCGACCAAGAAGGCTGAGGAACTTGGTCCTCCGAGAACGGACAAACAGAGCGCTGAGCGAGGTGCCATGGTGAAGCAGGAAGATGGAGTGAGCACGCAGTATGTCCTGCAACAGAAGAGACGAGGGCTTGACTTCCTTAGATGAAAACTCAACGACCTCTTCTGGGGAGTCTTGAGTCTTCCCGGTCTGCAACTTGGGAGGCAGGGGAATGCGTGTCAGATCGATGGACTGCGCGCAATCAGCAAGCGAAAGGGTCGTTGCGTGGACGGGGGACGTACCGCAAGGATCCACCAACCTTGCTCCAGCTCGTGGAGGATCACACGCGACTTCTCAGTGTCGATGGAGTCGACGGGCTGGCCGCCGGAAAAACTCCTACTGAACTCGACCATGCCCTGGGCGAGGCCGATCTGGCGGAGACGCTCATTGCGTTCTTCTTGAGAAAGGTTCTCGGTGGGCTTGGTACGGGAGCGGTGACGGCGCTTCTGTCGCTGGGTGCTCACCGAGGCATAGTAGACTATTTGGTCGTCAAGCGTCTCATCCGTGTGCCCCAGGGACGGGTTGAAGATGGCAAGGAAGCCCAGCTGAGCCGGGACGATGCCTCCGGGTGACAATGCCATGGCCGGGGTGATGGCGGAGGAGGCGTGGCCCTCAACGGTTCACTGAGAGCGGGTACGGTACGGTGCGGAATGCTGCGATGCCCGGATCCATAAACCTCAATGAGACGGGTACGAGGTCCGGAGGCGGCGGAGGCAGGCGGATGCAACAGGTAGCAAGGCTGCGCAAGCCGCAAGTAATGACAGTAGACAAGGTCGTGGGGTCGTCAGGCCAAGGACTGTGGCGCCTGTGGAACGACTGGAAGATGCACCTTGGGCTCTGAAAAGCGGCGTTGGGGGATGGCAGCAGACGAACAGACAGATAGACGGACGGTGACGGGACTCTGGAGAATGGGGACTCGAGACTGCCCACGCAACGCGATGCAGAGCAACGCAAGCGCGCAGCGGTGGCGTTTGGTGTTCGCGATGCCGGTAAAGACCTAGGCCATTCGGAACACGGTGGTTTGGAAAGGGTCTGCGAAGGTCGAGGCCTCGGGGGCGAACGGGACTTTGTTCGGATGATATGTGAAGATGATGAGATCTCGATCGACATCCCCCACAATGCAGGCGTCGGGACAAGCGATTGAAGGTGCGAGGCCTAGCTGTGTCTTGATTGGGCTGAATCAAGTGACAGTGGACTGAAAGCTGAGGGGACACGCCTAGGAAGCCCAGGCCAGACGCGAGCTGGCGCAGTGGTGTTAGGTGCAGGCGCTGGAACCTTGCGGCTTGGATTGGTTATGGCCTAGACTACTGTGGACCGCCGGTTCTCTCAGGACTCTTCTTTTATTTTTCTCTTCTGGACCTGGCCGGAGGCTCGTGCGACACTGACAGGAAAGTAGCAACCATGCCCTGCCGCTACGTAACATCAGACACAGCAGCAAACGATAGCGCCAAACCTCGCCCCTAGCCAGGCTTGCTAGGCTGGCTGACAGTGGACACGGACGGTGACGCTGGATATGGCCTCCCCCGACGGATGATGGGAAATGGGACGGCACGGAACAAAAGACGGGAACGTAGAACTTCGGGTACCCCATCCAGTATGGGAAGGTCGCCGCAGACCGAGGTATCGGTTGTTAGTATTCCCAGCACGGCCATTGGGTGAGACGCTTCAAAGTGGGGTAACATCATCGGGGTGCCTGCCCTTGCCTGCCATGTGTGCCAGTACCTATGCCAGGAAAAAAAAAGCATCCAGAAATGGCTGCCGCATTCTGATCAATTCGGTTTCAGCGGGCGGTCAAGCGCATCCACGGGCGAAAAGGCACCATTTGAGGAAAGGTCTGGACTGGTCCAAATGGGCGAATTCTGCTCCCCCTGGACACTCACACACTCACACACACACACACACACAACACCACCATCTTAGCCCTTCGATACGAGACAGGCGGCATCCCTCACCGGGAATGAGTGCCATGGCAATTCTGATTTTCGCATGAAGAAGTTTGCCTCGCGGAAGGGGATCCGCCTCAAACACAGCTGGCATGCACAGACTCTTCCGAGCTGGACTGGAACTGGACGAACGCTCGACGACGCCCTGTCGACTGGAACTAGGTTTTCTGCTTGTCTTTGCTCGTCAGTACCTTATCCTGTCTACCCATTGTTTCGTACAGATATGGCCACTTGCATCTGAGACGCTGATATGCCTTGACAGCGCACCCCGACGCTAGCCTTATTGCCCAGATAAGTGCCACATCGTCGTGCCACTTTCCAGCGCACTTGCTGCCTCTCCCGGTCCATTCCAAACCCCGTATACCACAACGGCGTATGAGTAATCAAGCTCTGCCTCACGTTGCCGTATTACATTCTCCTTGCCTCTTGTTATCTTTCGGGTCTGGTTCCTTCTGAAATGTGCTTCGTCATGTCTGCGAAATAATAGCCCCAAGACAACAGTATTCAGCTGGTGCAGTGACTGGCCGAGGCGATTCTTCCCACTTCGAAGCCGGCGCAGAGCCACCAATTTCTTCTTCTCCTGAACCATGCATGCGGCCTGGGGCAAGGGAATACGCATGGCTTGTTTAGCTTACGTACAGACACAATGCCGACGTGCTTGCTGACAAGACCTAGCAACTCATGTCCTGGTATTGCAAGGTAGCGATTTGAAACTAGGCGACGACGAGGAGGACGACAGCTCCTGTTCCGGACCCTTAGACTGTCACCTCTGGCTAAATCGACTGGCGAGGGCGAAGCTCTTTAATTGAATGTCCCACGTGGCTAAGCAGAAGTGCCGGCGATCATTTCCTACCGTGAACCCGTCGCAGGGCCCATTGACATGCTTGGAGAAGCCATACTGGGCTGCAATTGGATGACCACATCTCACCTCATAAGCAACGGCATCTACTTGCCCATGGCAATCCCATTGGAAAACTGCGCATGAACACTATATCACAACGTTGCCTGACAATTATATGCTGGCCTAACACACGCACCCCTGACCTGCAAAGATGGTTCTGGATATCGGCCAGAATGGAAACAATAAACCACCAGGCTGGACCAATGCCAACTATATGCCTCGACACGGCTCATCAAACAGTTGCTAGCTGGCACTGTTATGATGAAGATCAGTTGTCACGACGGAACCCTCTTTTGGAAATGTAAGGATGTTCGACAAAAGGCCCACGAATTCCGTGCTTCAGTGAAGGAGAGGGTAACAGATGACGTGCGGCTATGAGAACTTGAAACCCACCTCGAGAGATTCAATCATTGGAAAGAAGGCGGGGATGTTTCAAATAGACCCTCGCCAACCGTCTATCCGGATCGCATTTCATTGCATGATGACGAGCTTCCCAATGTTGAACAAGGCCAAATCAATGTACTCCGCAACACGGGGGTTGACAGCAAGTCTCCAACCGTAGTCGACCTGATTCTGGGCATCATGTGTGAATTTGTCGATGCACCATCTATCGAATATGCTGATGGGGAGAGAGAATTCTCGCCCAATCGTTGAGCGTATGTTGGGCAAGACCGAACATCACCCCAACCGTCAGATCTACCAGATACATACGGTTCTTTTGACTGTCTCATCTGTCATGTAGGTTAGTTTCGATGGCGAGCAAAGCTGGCGATGAAGTCCTTCGTGTTCTCAAGCCTCCCCATCTATCAATCAAGGCTGACACATCGACAGTACTTGCGCCTATGAAAACCTCTAGGAGCGTTTTCCCTGTGACGGTGGGTAAATACGGGGACATGGATCATGTGACAGCGCACCAAGAACTCGCCATCATCGCGTTGCCCGACGGTATGGGTCAGATGAGACCCCGTGAACGCGAGGGAGCTCGCCTTGCACTCATCTTCACTGGCTTCGGTCTGGCCGAGGATTCTGGCTACGTTATGACCCGCGAGTAGTGGTTTATGAGTGATAAGAGGACTGCTGGAGGGACAGGCGTAATTCTATTTCCATTCCGTCTTTCCCGTTAGTCTTTTTTCAAATTTCGAGGATGGAGTGGGGAGAGTTTCACTCAGTCCTGGCCCTGTTGGATCTCCGCGTAAAGGGGTTCCGTTCCAGGGCGTAAACCTGGAAAGCACCACCTCTATCGCGTGAAAGGCAGAAAACAGAGACTAAACGAAGAATAGAAGTGTCTCATGGGGTGGAGAAAGAAGCAGTCACCAGTCCGGAATAGGGGAGAAGACCATTACGGATGAATCGACTTGGTCTGGTTCTCCGTCCTGCAACCCTCCCTTGCCGCCGGACCGGCAGCCAGTGTTGGATAGAGGGACGAGCAAAAGAAGAAGGCAAACTTCAAAGGGCCGCGTCCAGGAATCTTGTGGCATGAAGAGAAAACGACCGAGGCTATGGCTTCGTTCATGCCGAAGCGAATTCAAAGGGTACTCTTGTTCTCAGAGGCTCGTTACCTAGAGCGGGATGGGTAAATTCCAAACTGTGATACTTCATGTCACTGGCCCTTTTACACTTGGCTTTTTCTACTCATGGCCTGACCATGTTTTGCCTCTTTAATATTTATAGAAAGAGACGAGTTCATTCGAGTCCGTAATGCTGGCCTGTACATGTCACCATGACCAGTTGACTGAATATCGATATTGAGCTCAACTACACGAGTACATGCCGATCTTCCATGTTTCATGAGGAATGCATCACACGCCGAGGGTTTCCATAAATTGATCATCATAGTCCCGCCCTGCTTTGAAGGCATCAGTCATTATATTCCACACCGCCGGATACACGGCTCAACCACCCTCGTAGACCCTATTTATACCGTGACGACAACAGCCAGGCTATTACATTAGAATGTCGTCTCCCGCAGCTTTCCAATTTTGCCAATCTCGTACTCTATCCAACGACCGACCCGCGTTCGCCCAGGGACAAGGATGCTGCCCGGGTTCATGACGTGGCAGCCCTCGTACGTGACGCAGAACGGCGGCGCCGTCGTGTCTACGAGCACCATGGACGTTGGCAGCGGGTACAGGTGCAGTGCTGTCGCGTAGTCCCAGTGTACGGGCCGGATGGACTGGCGGAACGGCGACAGGTACCCCTGATCCAGGACCGTCTTGACGAGCTTCCGCGCGGTGTGCACGTCCTGTGGGACGCTTGAGTTGACCTGCTTGACGGTGGGCTTCTTCCTGGGGATGTCGACGTCCATAGCTTCCTCCTCTTCTACTGGGTCATTTCCGCCCATAACAACATCATCTGCGCCGTCTTCGGTCTCAGGGGGCTGGTTTTCTTCGTCTTCGTTCTGGGGTTGCTTCGACGTTTTGAGGCGTACAGCTGCCCGGCGGAGGCGGGCTGAGATGTCGTCGCGGAAGACGACGACTTCGTGGTTCGGACCGAACAAAGTCACACGACTGGGATTTGACGTCCAGATGGCCTCGCCGTCGCTCTTGGCCCGAGCTCCGCGTTAGCTGCGGCGAAGACGCGCCGGATGCGGGAGGTAAAAACGTCTGGGGCTCCTTTCCGAGGTAGCGGGTAGCAGCTCCCGCTGTAAAGGAAGAGACCCAGGCATCGTTATCGCCGGGGACGAAGATGAAGGTGGAAGTCTGAAGGAGAGTGGGGAAATCGGATAGTGTTGAAGCCAAGGCGTCGAAATATTCCTTGTATTCTATGCTGCCACCGCTGCCGCCTCTCGCGAGGACGGCGTGCTGGGTGAAGTTGCCAGTGATGACAAAGCTCATGGGACTCGCGCCTTCGGGCTCGGCCGCATATATCGTGAGAATCCTCCGCAAGGCCTGCAACGTCCGTGGCTGGTCAAGGTTCAGCTCGCCAAGAATGACCATCCGGCCCCTGCTGGGGACCTCTTCGGCAGAGTGTCGGGGTAGCAGGCGTTGCTCGAGCTTCCGCATCTTGGACCCGACAGCTCGTTCGCTGCCCACGCCGAGGAAGTCAATCCAGCCGAACCCGCCTCCTATGGTGTGGTCCTGGCCGCCGTCCGGGCCGCTGACACCTAACGTGGCCTTTCTCTTCTCACAGGGAGGCTGGCCGATGAAGAAGCCCTGGAATCTGCCGCCTAGGGTTCCACCAACACCACTGCTTCCGCTTAACCCTTTACCGACAGATTCTTCTTCCTCTTCGTAGACACCGTCCACAAGGACGATCATGCCTGGTGCGAACCATGCCGAGTCCTCGGGAATCGCGACTGCTTGAGATACGTCAAGCGCAATCGTAGCCGTCAGGTCGCTGATTGCGAGACCTCCCGCAGGGAGCACATTCAGCATGCCCAGAAGCATGTGATGGCTTCCATGACGGCCCAAGAGGTTGGCAATTGGTGTGATCTTGTGGTTTAGTTGATTCGACGAGGAGCGTTTCAGCGATGGTGCTCTTGCGCTTGCAACGGCTGACGTTTGGAAAGACTCATTCCTGAGTAGCCTTTGGTGTATGACATTGTACCTGTTCCGGAACAGAGCAGTCTTGTGTGTTGCTGGTGGTAGTAGGGAGGGCTTTGATGTTTCTCTGATACTGTGTTAGCCAGCATGTCTTTGTCGCAAAGTGGGCCGGTCCCTACCTTTCGAAATGCTTCTTGGCAACATTGTAAGAGAACCTCGGTTGTTGGTATGCGTCAATAACGTTGAGCCATTTCCGAGGATCTCTGATGTTTTCTTCGTCGTCTTCCTCCTCCACACCAAGACTGGACATGCCGAAGCTCTGTTGGCTATCCTCCCGTACCAAAGACGATTGTACTGGCCGCAATCCTAGCCTCGCGTTCGACATGTCCGCATCTTGTCCCGGCTCGATCAGAAGACTATTCTGTCGACTCAGACCCCTTGCGCCAGTCACGATCTTGCCCCCGCTCATATTTCCCTCCAAGGTCTTCAGGATATCCTTAAGCTCTGGGCTGGCGCCATCGACAATGACCCCGCCATTGCGATTCTTCCAAGACTTGGCCACCTCTTCCAACACCTTCTCTGCTAGACCTTCCTCCCGCCATGCTGAGCCACAATGTCGGCCGATAAAGGTTGCAAGCTCTTGGAGAGCGCTCGAGGTCAGCGTCAAGCTGTGTTTCTTGGTGAAGGTCCGAAATGCCAAGGGTCGGAGGGTGGCTGGCGGGAGTATAATTGGGAGAATCGCATGCTTCGAAGGCGCTGAAACCTTGAACGGCTTCAGGGGGTGAACTGGGGTGCCAAATGCGGGCGAAGATGAGGGTATCGCGGAGGAAGGAGGGGCCGGCGTCTTTGCGCCAAAGATGTTGGCCATGGGCATTTGCTTGCGCTTCGGGGATATTGACGGCGGCGGATCCATGATCGCAGTGGTTCTCTGTCGGGGTTTTCGAAGATTCTATAACACGATATAGCAGGGGCAGACTCGGGTCGACTTCAGTATGGCGGTTAGTCGTAATGGGTTGTAAGAGTTGCCGACCGTGGTCGCGAGTTTGAATGGGGGGCACCAAATGTTTAATTGAGGCGCGTCTGATTCTCAGCACCGCGTCTGGCGAATTGATCGCGTTGGGTCGCGCCACATCATAGTGGGGTCATGTGGCTGTGATTTCCAATGTGGCTGAAGCTCTTCTCGACTTCCAGAGCCCAGCATGCCGTCATTATTGGACAGGAAAGTGGAAGCTGTTCCCTCTCGACAAAAAGCTTCGGGATCGAGGTGTTGTATTGGTATCTATCGTCCTGCACCTCAGAATGTTAGCACCAGCAGCTCGATTTTTCCCGAGGTTTGCCTCAGGGAAAGCATTCTTTCGCCCAGTTTCCAGTCTGTCGTCGAACCCTCGCATTGTGAGTGTTCTCTGGATGACGCAAACACGCAAGACGCTAATCAACGCTGCTGTATAGAAAGTTTTCCCCGCCGATGCATCGCGAGCTTCGTTTCTCCTCTCATATCTCGAAGATGAGCCGCCCAATCAGAGGCTAGCTATCGGATTCTCTGCGACAGATCCCCCGACTCCACGTTCGTTCACTGAGAACCAGGCATTCACCAAGATACTGTATGAAGTCCTCACCGAGAACGCGCACAAAGACAAGGACCTCTTAGCTCAGGCGCAAGCTTTTGCTGGCCCTGGCGGGGCCAATCTCGGCTCCGGAGGAGCTTTTTTCTCGCAGAAGAATACCAAGCGCTCGTCAAGCAAGGTCGGCGGCGGCGGCGGCGCCGGAGGCAGCGGTGCTGGCGGTGCCAGTGCCCAAGGAGGCGCTGGTGGAGGCGGGCACGGTGGTTACGTCCACCTTAGCGACTCGAGAAACCCTCCCGACTTTGGCCGGATTGCATGGCCCGAAGACATCTTGGGCAGTGTTGAGGTTGATCAGCGTGGCAATATCATTGGGCAGCTCGAGCCTAGTGGGACGTATCGTATCATCACCAACGAGGGAATGTAAGTGTATAGAGCTCACGATGCTTAAGATGGGATGCATTAGCTAACAGCATACAGCCTTGGACTTAGTCCGTTCCTCACAGAGAAGCTCATTGAGAGACTTCGTGCAGAAGACAAGAAGGACAAGTCATAGTTGTCTCTCGGATTGCTGTAATTTTATCCAGGATTTAGTCGGTAAAGCTAACCCTCCAGCATGTATGATTATACTTCTTCGAGTGTAGATTTAGCTCCCTACTTACGACCCCACATGGCTCTAAGACTCTTTGAAATTAAGTCAAGATGATTTCATTCTTCATCGCCGAACGGTGCTGCTCCAGGGACGAATTGCAACCTTGCAAAATGTGAAGGGGGGGGGGGCGGTTCAGACAGGGAGAAGTCTCCGCGGGTTATGGGAAACCCACTTACCTCCACTTGGTCTAATATCTCGGCAAGGAACAAGCACGCGGAGGGGATCGTGAGCCTGCCCTCTTAACCTCGGGAATGGAGTCGCTGCAGAATCTTTTGTCCTGCAGACACGGTTTCCCCCCACAACCCCGTACTCGACTCCCGTCGTACGTGGACGAAAGTAGAACGAGACAGAAGCGGGCACATGCACCAGGCTCTAGACCGCCGGCTCGAGCTTTTCTTCAGGCATAGCTCGCCGATGAACCCTGAAGACTTTTGAGCTAAAGCCCCAAACCATGAAAAGCTCAAAGCCTGGACTCTCTCGAAGCTCTTGCAGCATTGACGGCTCTTACAGCATTGACGATGCCTACAGCTGCATCAGACCCTTTGGGGCTCGGGGCTGTTGGTCCCATGTGTGGTAGGATTGATCAGGGTTCTTTTAGCGTGTGCAGAGATGCAGCAGCGCCTTGACCGATGTGTGCTCTGAGTTGCCGGGCCGTTAAAGATACCCACGATACGCAAGCGAGCGGCGATCCTTCGGGCCCATCTTCTCTCGAGTCAAGGGAACTGGAAACTTCCAGCAGCCAAGAGCGGACTTTGTATCGAATGGTGGCATCGTGTAGTTTCTCTCACTAATGAGTATAGGGTACCTTGGGGAAGCAATACGGTGGCCCTGTACTCGCGAGCTGCCATCTGTTGGGCTTCCCACCTCCTGATTCAGCTTGAAATATGTCAAGGGTATGTTCGTTCCGACAGCTAATGGCTCGACATCTTTGGAGACGGGCTGGCTAAGAAGATGCACTGATGATCAAGCCGCGCCTCATGACCTGGGATTATTGGCCATGCATTGGTGCCGTTTTTAGATGAGGGTTGTCGGCAAATACACTTATCTGTTCTCAGAATCGGAGCAGCCATCGCGCAACCATGGGGCTGCCGCATGTTGGCATTGCTGGTGTTCCGAGGTAATGCAGTCGGCCCGGCTCAGTCATCATGCTTATGAGCTGTCACTTATCAGCAGCCTCTTTCCACCGGTGGTCTGGGGAAGTGAGGTGTAAGATATGGTGATCGCCCTGTCTGTCTGCTCACTCATCTCAAACTTCAACCCCCCGACGCGCCCAGCATGAGATGAGGTGGTGCTAGGACGGGAAAGTATTGCTTTGTTGCTGCATTGTTCAGGACACATTGGGCCTACCCGATGGAAGGCTGCCCGACCCGCGCCAATTCCATTCTTCATGTCGCTCCATGTCGCAGTCGTAGTGATGTTCCCACCAATTGCCTAAGGCCTTTTGTCTGCTGTTGACGATGGAGCTGTCCACTAAGAGCCGTTGAATGCCCTGTAAGTAGTAGGAGCAGCCCCTCCATGATCCCCCCCAAAATGGACATCGAAAGCACAGACCACAGGCGGTCTCCCCACCATAGCGGTAGGTAGGTGAGAGGTGAGTACCTGGAGTGCGAGGTGCAGTGTGGCACCTGGCTGGCAGGCAGGCCACATCAGGCAGGGGGGGAGAAAAGGTCGTGGTGGTCAGTTACACAGTCGTAGTGTGAGCCTGGCACGAACCAGGAGCGCCAGGGAGCTTCTTGGCATCCACTCCACCTCGCCATTCCATGTTCCCCTCCACAATCCACCCACATCCAACTTCGTCATGCCCACTTGAGTGTGGTCCAAAGGCTTGCTCCGGCCACAACCCATTTAAACAAAAACGACCCGAGCCCCCCTCCCCCCGACCGACAACATGGCTTCCGGTTTCGACGAGGAGGAGCTCCATATCAGCCTCTCGCCATCCCAGATCCGTCGTCGCTCTCAGCAGCACGGTGCTGCCGCTGCCGATGCTGCTGCCGCCGCCGGTCATCACGAACTACGACCGCCTTTGCCCGACGCCGCCATCAAAGCCGCCAACATGGGACCTCCCGTCGACACCACCGCCCCGCTGCGGGACAAGATCAAGACGGAGCAGCGCATCGGTGCATACAAGATCATCAAGACCCTGGGCGAAGGCTCCTTTGGAAAGGTGAAGCTGGCCATACACAACGGCACCGGCCAACAGGTCGCCCTCAAGATCATCGCTAGGAAGAAGCTCATTAGTCGCGACATGGCCGGCCGAGTGGAGCGCGAAATCGAATACCTACAGCTTTTGCGACATCCTCACATCATCAAGCTGTATGTCCTCCGCCGAATATCCGCTATGGCCGTTATCCGTCCAAACCCCTCACTAACCCGGATGATCGCAGGTACACTGTAATCAAGACGCCCAACGAGATCATCATGGTCCTTGAGTATGCCGGCGGTGAGCTCTTTGACTACATTGTACAGAATGGCCGCATGAAGGAACCCGAGGCTCGTCGATTCTTCCAGCAAATGCTCTGCGCCGTCGAATACTGCCACAGACACAAAATCGTCCACCGAGACTTGAAGCCCGAGAACCTCCTGCTTGACGACAACCTCAACGTCAAGATCGCCGATTTTGGCCTGAGTAACATCATGACGGACGGAAACTTCCTAAAGACGAGCTGCGGAAGCCCGAACTACGCAGCACCCGAAGTTATCGGTGGGAAACTATACGCCGGCCCCGAGGTAGATGTCTGGAGTTGTGGCGTGATTCTCTACGTTCTGCTAGTCGGTAGACTGCCCTTCGATGACGAACATATCCCCAGTCTATTCGCAAAGATTGCGCGCGGAACGTATAGCATTCCACAATGGATGAACTCTGGCGCCGCGACGCTCATCAAGAAGATGCTGGTTGTGAACCCGGTACAGCGTGCCACGATTGACGACATCAGACAGGACCCCTGGTTCATGATAGACCTGCCAGCCTACTTAGCCCCGCCGGTCGAGGAGTTCTTTAACACAGGTGTGGATCCTAACAAGGCCATCCAGAAGAGCGACATCGCTCCCAACGCTCCCCCAAGAGTCCAGGAGAAGCTACACAACGAGGTCACGGAGAAGATCAGTAAGACCATGGGTTATGGAAAGAAAGATGTTGAGGAGGCCCTGCAGGCTGCAGAACCGTCCGCTATCAAGGATGCATACATGATTGTCCGCGAGAACAAACTTATGCAAGTGAATGGTAAGTATCATGTAAGACGTGCATATTTCGTTCTGACGCGTGTACAGAGGCCATGTCATCACTCTCAGTCGATCAAGATGGATCGAGCAGCCCTTTACCGAGTGCTTCATCAGCCAGATCGGGCGGTTCTACCGTGGGCGGACAGCGTCCTTACATCAGCAAGATCGGTATCCTGCCGAGCAGTCTGCCAGCCTATCACAAGGAATATGTAGAGCGTGAAAAGGGAGGCTTCGAAGACCATCCGACGCCTACTATCGTGGTCGATGAACCAGGGCTCTCAGCCCGTACAGACGCCGAAAGGGAAGAGACAGCCCGGCATTTGAAGCCTCACTCGAGGAGCAGCCAAGTCCGCCTCGACGACTCGGCCAAACGACCTCAGGGTATGACCCCTGTTGTGCAAGCCAAGAAGACGAAACCCGTGAGATGGCAGTTCGGCATTCGCTCTCGCAATGCACCGTGGGAAGCCTTGCTGTGTATACACAAAGCGTTGAACAAGCTGGGCGCGACCTACGTGCCAGACGAAGATTATGAGAAAGTTCATGGGACGGAGATGGATCAGCCCAGCAACGAAGGTAGCTTTGTCGACGACTATGCATCTCAGGGGGGCAACGACTCAACTAGTAGTATAGATCCGCTCAAGCGATACAAACTGCCTGCCGACCCGTGGCATATCAAGGTCCGCTGGGAGACACAGAGTAAGCCGATCTGCGCCACTTGACCTGTGAGATTTTGCTAAGTAGACCACAGCGCTGCGGAAGAGGTCGGAGACTCCCACGGAGGGAAGCAAGACCCCTGATAGTTACCATGTCGTCGGCGACGATGAAGTCAAGCGCGACTTTGTTGCCTTGCATATGGACATCCAGATATACGAGATGGAGCACGGCGTTTACCTAGTGGACTTCAAATGCTCTGGCTATGAGACGGCCGACAGGAGATTGCTGGAGGAGAAGGATGTCACAAGTCCTTTCCCGTTCCTGGACATGGCCGCCCGGTTGATAATGCAACTAGCCGAAGCGGACTGAGGATCGTTTCTTTACTGTTCCGTTATCACTGTCGATGAGATGTCTTCCGTTTTCGAAAAGGGGCAACTTAACAAGGACTTCAAAACGGTGGGCTCAGCAATAGACATGGGATGGTGTGCCGGTCATTCGGCCACGTCACAGCGTCAGGTTATGAGGACAAGGGAGTTTGGGTGTGCCGGAGATGTATGGGTGTGTGGTGTTTTTTTCTTTCTTTTTCCTTTTGAGTAGACTCAGCGGAAGGGCGTGGGTTTACTTTGCTCCTTTGGGTGGAGGCAACGAAGAGCATCGTGTGTTCCCCACCGCCGAGTTGAGACGTATGGGAAGGCGGGTTGTGCTCGAAACATGGCAAGGGGGTAACTATAGACATTGTTCTTCCAGCATGCCGAGTAGGCTATGAATCAGACAAGCATCAACATTGCTCATTACGGCTCGACCGCGGTGCCACCTTGAGAACTCTGTCTTGTCGGAGCACACTTAATGTCCGAGACCCGTACTGCCACGACATCATCCGGCGGCCACCGGCAGAGCCTCATTGCTATAGGAGTACTGGACGGGACACCATAGAATCTGGGACGCGATGGGCAAAGGCGGCAAGAAGCTTGGCTCAAACTGGTAGCCAGCTCCGTGGTGTGTGCGTTTTGGTGTTCGTGCTACCGCAAATCTCAGATCGCACGCCACGGATCGTGTACATCACATTCATTGACCCCTCGGGGCGTGTTGTCGCAGAGCCTCATGGAAACAAGCGCCAAGAGCGGAACTGCAATATAAACTTTGGAGATGCCCTCCATCTGACACGAGGGCACAAAAGTCGAGACCGAGTCCCTTGTGCTCGGAGCAATAAGCGAAGCTCAAAGCAGAAGCCAGCTCCGTCCGGACGGTGACACGACAAACTCAAAATAGAGGGCTGACAGGGAGGCAGGCGGCGGCATTGGACCCTGAACGGGCCAAGTGTCAGTTCACGGGCCATGATTGACAGACAGCTGCTGCTCAGCTCGTGGCAAAGGAAAAGTGTATATTCGCCCTGGGGGCAAAGAAAACCCCCGTTCTCCATCGTCAAGGGCCTCTCATGTTCATGGGACGTCGCGAAACGCTTCAGACGATACGCGTGTTCAGGGCCCGGGACGAGGTGGGAGAGACCCCACTAAACCAGACACACTGGCAATACCGTCTAGGTTGGTCTTGCCCCCCGTGCCGGACAGGCAGACGACGGTCGACCGAGTAAGACCAGCTCTCGGCGAAGTTCCAGAAGCGGGGCCAAAGTCTGGAACTCACGGCACGGTGCAGTAATCTCCGGAACAGCCGCGATTGCGTCCCCTCCTCCGGCGTGCGAGGTAGAAGATGCCGCCTACGCGTACGTCCCCTTCTCTCGGTCGCACGACCATCTGCCGAACTCAGGAATCCGGCCGGGAAGTGGGCGCCTAGTTTCTTTGACCTGGCCCCGGGGAAACTCTGTTACTCCTCGTCGCCGATCCGGTCTCCCTCCCTCTTCCCTGCGTGTCATGGCGTTTGTCTTTCTTAGTGATGCTGACAATAGCAACCAACTCCACGCCGTGACGTCTCCCTCCTGCGGACGTGCTCGATTTCGATCGCGTTTACAGGCTTGTCACAGTCCGTTCGGTTGGGTATCAGATAGGGTTCGCGGCTTCTGTGCTTCGTCTGAATTGTCGATTATTCTCATCTCTACACCCGGTATGATACCCCTAACCACCACCGTCACCACACACGGCCACCGCCAATCATCATGGACTGCTGAACCTGGCCAAAAGAAGGGATAGGCCTGGGACGGGAAAGGGGATGGAGGATGCGGGTTCTGCAGGTCACCGAAGATCAGGACAGGGCCAATGGACGACCGAGAACCCAACGAAACGTGCTCTAGACGCCTGCTCTTACTCCTTGGCCGCGTCTCGGACGTGCTCTCCCTCAGATCTCAGATTACGCCATGCGTTGCGTAGTCGCGTACTGCTTCAAGTCTATGTCGAATCACAAGTTTGAGCCATCCGTCACAAAAACCTTCCTTTTCTTTCCTACCTAGGTATGAAGATCTTGTGGGATCAATAGAGTTTTGGTTCATCCTACACCCGCCTCAGATCCTTTTTATTTATTTTTATTTACGAAACACGGCTTGAGCAAGAGGGACAAGAAAGTACGTGTTGATCCGTGGAGCGGTGGCGAAGGAGATGAAGAGAGTTTGATATCCGACAAAGAGTCTCCTCCGTTCAAGGCAACCGCAATCTTAGTTTTGTCCGTCCCCATTCGCGCCCTGGCCTCGGAGTAATTGTCTGATTACCCATCTCTGACTACACGGATTATAGTTCAGTTGGAAGTTCAGCTCGGCTATGGGAGACCGAGCAGCGTCAGCCCAACCTCACGCCCTTCCGTAGAAGCCCACCACCGCTTTGCACCCCTTCGATTGCTCGTTCCTTAGTTGAGAGTTAGTAGAGAGTTGAGTTCTAAAGGACTATGACAATGATCGAACTCCCGTCTTTCATTTTTGCTTTGGCAGCCGGAATCGACTCCGACGAAGGCTCTCTCGTCGAGACGAACCCGACGCCTCCTCCCTATTAGCGGCATTGCTAGTTGTCAAGTCACGGCCGTAGACGCCACACACCCCACGATGGTTCAGATCTAACGGCCTCGAACCCCCTTCGATACACTTACAGACCTGTCATGAATCGCGGGCTTAGACTCTTGCACTGCAGCAGGGCCAGCGGTGTTCCGCGCCGCGAGACCGCCAACGGCGACGCCACACCGCGCTACGCAGACTCGGGACACGCCCCCTTCCCCTCACCGTCAATCCTCATCTCCAACTCCTAACCAAAGACGAGAGAGAGTGAGAGAGGGAGAGAGGTCTTGCGTTGCCTGCCGGTGGCGTGCTGGCATGGTTGGGGAAGACAAGGGGAGGCACCAAGTTGGGGGGGGGGGGGGGGGGGGGGGGGGGGGGGGGGGGGGGTGGCGCGGGCAGAAAATCTTCCAAAATCAGTTGCTAGACATGCTACAAAGGACTTTTTATCAGCCGCCCAAAAGAAAGTTTCCTCCTATTGCGCAGGGAGACACCAAATAACAGATCCTTCCGTCACAATGTTTCCCCCTTCCACGGAGATCAAGAGATTTGAGCAACAGGTGCCGCACGGCCACCTGACGCCATATCGGTTGACATGAAAGTCTGCATCAGTATCGGCACCGCATGGCTCGTGTCCAGCGCAGATAACGTTCAGCCCGGACGAGAGGAACAGCACACACGCAACGCCTGCACGGCCCAAAGTGTATGTTCTGTCTTGTCCGTTGCTAGTGGATCGAATCTCGACAGTCCCTTGAAAGTATGCTTTTGCACGGCCAGCTCATTGTCCCTTGGGCTCATCCTCTAACTCTTTCTGTACACTCGTATAAGTGAGTAGAGTTTCCCTGGCAAAACATCAGCAGAAGCGAGTGCGAAGCTCTTTGCAGAGAGTTTATTAAACTTTCCACGTCAGCAAAAAGGCTGAAAACGAAAAGGGGGGGGGAAAAAAGGACAAAAACAGAAAAGGGAGCCAAAAAAGCTGTGACGGTGCTACCTGGACGGGATGAACATGCCATCGGTGGATGTCATGCATCGCGGCGCCCGCTCTGCCTTGCCAGCACCTCTGCACGTATTGTTCTGCTCCGGCTTGCTTTGACCCCGGTTGACTAGTACTGGCCTCGGAAGCCTTGCATCTGCATCTCCAATCTTGCCCCTTTTCGTATCTTTTCCGCAAGACTGCGACATGGGCGATAGCAGTGCTACGCTACATCACCAGACACAATTACAATCTGATCGGGCCTACCTACTGTCTCTTCCTCCTCGTGATGGGAGGGGTTGGGTTCGGTTGTGTTGGGAGGTACTCCCTCTACAAGCAGCCTCTTGCTTCATGACATCGCCCCAGAGAAGATCAGATGTGTGGTTTGAGCTTGTCGTCTCGGGCTACGTACCCTCTCGCTATTCGCCCAGAGAGGCAGCGAGGGTACTAGCTAGAGCGGAGCCAATATCATGTATGCGGATGTTTTGGGGATTAAGGTTTTGGCCCGTCCACCCTCTTGCTACACTCCGTCCCCACCTTTCCTTTCACCCCCCGGGGCTCCCTCTCACACATCTCGTCGGGCTACCTTGAGGCCAACCTACGGGCGACAACAGCAAAACAAACAAGAAAGCCACATTGTCACACCATCTTGCCGGGTCCTTTGTTCTTTTGCCCTTCGTCTTCTTGTTGTTTGGCTACCGGATCGCTGCGGTGTCTGGATGCGCCTCTCTCCCAACGGCGGAGGATGGATGCATACCCGTGATATCGGTACACCATATACGGGCTCCCCTGCTGATGTTGCAGCCGCATACGGACGGCTGACGATGCTGGTGATGCTGATGATGCACGTTATCGACACGCCCATGCCGCCCACCTCCCCAGACTGCAAGACGGCTGGACCGTCGCCATCAGGCCGATGGTTGCAACACCAAAGAACCTACTGCCTTCTACCGCGTCGTCGGTCGCTGACACTGACACTGGCAGCGTCCAGCGTCGGCATCGGCACCGACACCGGCAGTAGCAAGCTGCTCGCAACGCCCCCTATTCCAACCAAGCTATGCTCTCGCATCAAAGTGTCACGCCCGGCCGGTAGGTAGGTTGCCTCGAAGCGGTATTTTCGGCCGCGCAACGGCGATACAGCACGCCAGACCTCATGCCAGTGCAGTTTCTGTAGGAGGAGCTCACATCTGTAGTCCGGCAGAACTCACCCTCCCCCCCCCCCTTTGTCCACATCTGCCTCTCTGTCTCGTACCGACATGCGAACTGCTCCAACGCGCATGGACCTTATTTCGCTGTCGACACTCCGAGTCAATAAGGCGCGAGAGAGAGAGAGAGAGAGAGTTGACAGAGACCGAACCTGCCTGAACCCAGTAGCTCCAACACTTGCACGTCAACAAAGCCGGTATCTGGTTCTAACCTACCTCCCAACCTTGTAATTCAGCACACGTTCTAGAAGGAGTACGGAAAGCTTACGACATACCGGCCCAGGCACGCGGTCCAAGTATGCCAGCGCAGCACGGTCACTTAGACTTGAGAGTTCCGGTGGGCATGTGGGATGCCTGACAGGGCCCCCCTTCAACCTTCAACCCAGCCGACTCTTGCCTGTTGACTTTTGACCTTTGAATTCGACCCGATCACCCACTGCCGCGGACGCCGTTCGCCTCGCCGTAGGTACTTACTGCCTCGGCCCTGGCCGAGCTCTTACATCTGTACCGATACAGGGTTTGCATGGCCGGGCTGGAGCGCTGCAGCCCTTGGTCCCGCTGCCGGATTAGAAATGCATGTAGATACACACACGCATACACGCACACACGAGCCGCAGTGTATGTGAGTAAACCTTTGGTTTGTCCACCGCCGGCCACCGGCCGCCGCCCCTCCACACCCGAACCTTGGTCAACGTCGGCTTTTGACTCCGCTGGCTTCCGCGCCTCGTATCACGCAATCCGCTTTTGCGGTGTGCGCGCGCGTTGAAGCACCGCATCGCGTTATCCGAGACGCAATGGAAGGGGCAGCAAAAAAAATAAAGGGGGGGGGGGGGGGGCGACGTAAGCAACTGGCCGCATCTGCACCCACGGCGGCTCCAAACCTTCTTTTCATAGTCCCCTCCTGCCCTCAACAACACCCCTCTCCGATTCTAAGCCCCGTTGGACTCTGGGCCGGCCTGCTTGTCTTGTGGTAGTAAGCCGGAGGAAAGGGCGTGTGTAATGGGGCCTGGTTCGGTTGACTCAAGCACGCGGAGGGCGGATTGCGTACAGAGAGATCCTCCTCCAATCACAGCCCTGGTTCGCCTCAACTTGGTAATACCGGTAATGGTGTAAGTCACCCCCATAGCCCATAGTGGGCAGGAACACCGGCTGCCTGTCCCTCAGCGGATGCATCACAGGGGTCGTGTCCGAGAAGTGCGAGGGTTACGAGCATGTACGAGGGCTACGAGCATGTACGAGGGTACGAGGAGGGAAGGGGGTTGAAATAACAAACAAAGAATAAAAGGTACAACCATGCAATGTTGCAAAAAGGAAAAAAAAGGCTTGCTCGCGTTGTCGGTCCATGGGTTGGAAGAGGGCGCCAAGACTCAGCCTCTGATTCTGGCGCAAAAGGGGGGAAGGGGGGACCACAGAGCTGCACAAGGCGTGCCGCCAGTGGTGACTGACAACGAATGGGAATCAGGGACCCCCAAAAACCATACCAACATTGTTTCGTTGTGGTCTTGTGTGTTCCAGGGCAAGGAGCGGCCGCCGCGTAGCGTGGTACTCTCTCTGGGCTGGTCAGCACACTATGATCGATTCGCCCCGGGCATCATGTTCGGCGAGGGAAGCGGCGCACGAAACTACTCCCGCCGGCTGGGCCTGGTCAGAAAAGAAACGTGCCAAAGCTTATCTGCGACGATCGAGCATCCGATGACCTGCTAGTTCCCCTCCCATAGAGTTCAGAGAAAGAAAAAAAGCGAGAAGAGAGTGCGCGATGTGCAATAGGGAGACGAGGTGTGGTAGGCAGAAGGAATGTTTTTAAGGTTTGACCATGGTGCTTCGCTTGTATATTAACGATCGACGGTGATGTTCCATAGCGGCGATGGCCCCTATTTTCGCTTCATCTATTGGGGGGGATACGTTTTTAGATGGCGAGGAAGGGGAGGGAGACAGAGAGAGAGAGAGAGAGAGAAGGAGACGGAGCGCGTATAGGACGCGAACAGACCAAGAGTCGAAGCGCCACACGCCCACCCCCCTCCTTGCTTTGTCATTCCCTTTCCCTCCTCATCATCGCCCTTTTCTTGTTTGTGAGGCGCGAGGCTTGGGGAAAAAGGGTCAAGGGGGGGGGGTTCGTCTTCTTCCCAGACTGCCGGGCTTCATGTGATGTTGTGTATGAGGCTTGGGGGCTCCGAAGCGCTTGCAAATCTCAATTAGGCTTTCCACAACGCGTAGCCGAGGAGAGGCTGGTGCGGCCCTAGTCACCCGGGCTGCCATGAAAGCTGCGTAACTGGCGCATTTCGCGCCTTGTCTGTGAACCACCGAAAGGCAGCTGGGGGCCTATGGGTACGGGGTGGAACGTGAGGAATGACGGGAATGATGGGCCGGACAATGCCCGCCCGGGTGGAGCAGAAGCGTCCGGGACAGGCCAGGCGGTCCACATGCATACTCTGTACAGTCCATGGCGTCTTCCAAAATGTTAGCCATGGGATTCGTGATATGCCGTGGGATTCTGATCCCTTCTTAGAGTTTGACGGTGCATGGCATCACTGTCGGGCATCCGCACAGGGCCACGATCCCGTACGAGAAGGGCACAATGTCGCGCCACGGGCAGCACAAATAACCCTGCTCGAGGCTGCAACCTGCACCCTAGGGCATGGAAGCAGCGGCGCTACAGCGAAGATAGAAAAAAAGAAACGTTGGTAGTCTTGAGACCGCATTGGCCCTCTTTCTCTTTCCTCTGTCACCAGCTTTGCCCGTGCCGGACGACTCGATGCAACCTAACCTGCCGACGAGATTCTCTGTAGATCGCTGCCGGGCAGAGTGGCACGAGGTTTGGCAGGCGCGCTGTAAAGCTTAACCCGAGGAATGTGATTGTAGGCTGTGCTAACTCTATTGCACTCCCTCCCTGTTCGAGGCTACTCTGGGTGTCTGGTACCAATGCCAGCAGCAAACGGGGCCTGCACCGAAACATGGTTGATCGGTTCGTAAAGTGGACCGCGTACGCTAGGCTGGAAGGGGGGAGGAGGGGAGAGATGACGGCTATTAGGCCCCGTTTGCTTCTAACCCCGAAAGCTAATAAAAATAAAAAGCAAATCCCGATTTCGACGTCCTTGCCTGAGATGAGACACATTCTCACCTTTGCCACAATGAGCTAGCAGGTATCCCGGGGCACTTGGGCCAACTCAATAGACTCCTGGGTGCTTTTTGTCCGTGTAGATTCCAGCTGGTCGGTGTAACCCGGAGTCCGACAAGCCATGTCTGTCCATGTGTGTATATGTTGGCCCATTGAATCTCTTTGAAACTTGGCAAGTAACTAGTGCTTCATTGTCGATCTTAATTGGCGCCTCCTGAAAGGCTTGGGACGGACAAAACTCTCTCTCGACCATCGGCAGACTTTTCTTCATCACACAATACCGTGTTGTTGCTGGCTTTGACTCGCCTCATGTATAGCTCAACGTCACGTGCCCCGTCTCGACCGCCGCTGAACCGGAAGACCTGCCGAGTCGTGCCAAATGCCGAACTGTTCTTCATATCTGCCGGCATGGAGAAGACAGCCGTGCCGTTGCGGAAAGTAGAAAGTTTGGACACCGTGTACTGCTCGTTCTGTCCCTGCCTGTTGCGGTTTGGGGCGTTGTAGGCCTCCAGGCCGGTTGGGTACACGCCCGCGCCTTCGACCTCCAACCTCAGCTCCTGAAACAGGGTTGCGTCCAGATTGAGGTCGCCGGCTGCCGTCATGTTGGCAGTCTGGTTGACTATCAGCGGGTACGAGTACGTCGACTGGTACCTGACCAGTCCGTTGAGCAGTGCATCAGTGCCGGTGATGATGAAGTTGTTGAAACCATTGCGGCCGAACTGGCCTAGTGTTGCATTATTGGTATATGAAAGGTTCTGGGTCCACTCGGGGTTCTTGGTCCCCTTTTTGGAGACGACCTCGCCCTTAATAGAGATGGAACGCGTCACGTCGAGGTTGAAGGCAAGAGTCTCGTTTGCACCGGTTGCGTTCTTCCCAAGTGTACGACCAGATATCTTGATATCGGGATCGGAAACGGAAACTGTGGGCCGCTTCCCGGTCGTGACGGAACCTTCCTCGTCTAGCCAGAGAAAGACTTTACCCGAGACTACCCAGAAATTGCCCACGGTGGTGTTCACAAAGACGCGGTCCCCTTCATCGGCAATACCAGCAACCTTGATCTTGAAGGTGTGTTCTTGACCGTCGCTTAGGACGGGAAGCCATGGGGATATGTCAATCTCATGTTCCCGCAAGTCGTACGCGTCGAGGCCGACGAGCGGCCGGTGAAAGCTAGGCACAACGCCACCGGTGAAAATGACAGGGAAGGGCCACTGCACGCCAGCAAGTTCGTCGTCGATGAGAACCTGGACCTCACGCCAGGGGCTTCCGGCGGGCGCCATGCCAACGGTGGCATTGAAAGCCGCGGCATCGCTCTCGAGGACGTTGCTCCACCAGAATTCCTCGGTTCCCTGACCATTGGCCGACACGGAAAAGACTGCTCGATTGGCATTGCGCGGAAATTTGACGGTGCTCACGGCTTCGCGCTCTGGCACTTGCCAGGCACTGCCTGTGTTGGAGGACGCGTTCCGTGATGAGATGGGAATGATGAGGTCAGCGGGGGGTGCATTGTCGGATTCCGCGTCGGACTTGAAGAAGGTTGCGGTCAGGGTGCAGTTGAAGGGCCCCGTGTATCTGTCGTCTTGGCAGCGTTAGCCGTTTTGGCCCCCACTCCGATGTCTCCGAGGGGGGAGGGAGGAGTTTGGGGTTGGTGACATGGGCCTTGTGATAGCCTGGTCGCTTAGGATTGAGCTGGAACATCAAACTTACCGATGAGGTTGGGGAGGTCGAAAATGATCTTTTGGGGAGATTTCCAGAGGCTAAGGTACGGGGTCATGTCCTTCCAATAGGTCCAGATAATTCCGGGCGCCGCCCTGGGCTCCGCTGTGGATGTTCTCCATACCTCCGTGTCGCCGAGATACCACAGAGCCAGCCGATCCAGTTGGCGGCCTGCAGATGTGGCAGTAAAGTTCACAATGACGCGGTTGAAGTCGCAGCCAGGAGGCGTGTACTCGCCTATCAACACAGGTCAGGACATTTATTTCCGCTGCTCGTCCGCAATCTCTTCGCGCGCCACGTGAACTTACCGACGAAGGGCTTGTCAAAGCTGTTGCCAAATGAGTGGTCCATGAGATGTACCTTACATTCGGTGGGGTCCGCCGGGGGTATTCCCTCGCCATCCCCGTCGCCGCGGGCCACCTCCTGATAGACGGGCCCATTGGGACCCAGCACTGGCTGGGCGACTTGAAAACATTCGAGAGGCCGTTGTCGCCTGGCTTCGTCTGCGCCTGGCGGAGGATCCGATGACGCCGGAGTATCGGCTATGATTCCCTGGTGATGGGTGCCATGGTCCGACGAGGCCGCCTCCGGGATCAGATTACGTGAAGCCACATAGGCCGTGTTCAGAACAAGGACAAAGAGTGACAAGGCGAGCGCCCTAGAGACTGGCCGAGGGGTCATCGTGGGGCCTTTGGGGGAGGGGGTTTGGGCTCGACGCCTCACTCTGCAGCCTTAAGGCCCGGCTGCCCTAAGTCCCTTGATTGGGTGTCTGGTGGTTGGTGTCAGATACCGCGTGACGACAGAGAAGGTGTGGGCAAAACGGCGCATCGAGCGAAAAGCCACCGAATCCCAGAGAGTCGGTCAGATAGACAAGGAGGGGGAGGGGGGGGGGGGGGGGGGGGGGGGGGGGATGAAGGGAAAGAAACCCAATGAGCGCCACCAAAAGGCAGGCCAGGCATGAGGACAAGCGCTGGTGCAAGCAGCTGAAGGACACACTAGAGGCTAGGCGGCGCGTTGCGCCACTGGGGATTTGGGAAGCGAAGGGACGGGATACAAGACGTGGGATCTGCGTCTATTGGAAAGTATAACGGTTTGGGCGGAGGCGGGCAAGTGAGCGGGGAGGCTGTAGGCCGAACCACAACCGGTTTGGCTCTGGTGCTCATGCTACTGCGCTGGGGGCGTATACCTTACTTACCTGGTTCTTGGGAGGATGAGGCAGCTTTGGGGGAAAGACCAAGGTATCGGCGTGGGGTGGAAGCAAGTCCTACAACAACAACAACAACAACAACGAGAGTTTGGCGATGGCAGGAGGAAAGTCGCCGTCCAGAGGCAAAACTTGATGTACTATGATGACGAGCCAGATGAACCAAAGAAGACAACGGGCGTTGTCGGTCAACCAGGTCCAGGTCAAAGTCAGAGAGCCAAGCGGAAGACCAAAAAAAAAAAAACCAGGCGGCGGAAATGGTTGAAGTAAAGGATTGGTGATCTCCGTCGTATCCGGAAAAGGACAGTAAAAAGAGCACTAGAGAGAAGCTACTTGCTCCCAATATTGAGTTATGGTTTCGCAAGGCTGTTTCGCGAGGGTGGATGAGCGAGCTGGCGGAGCAGACCACAAACGAAAGGATCGAGGAACGAAGTCGTCCCGCGAGGCACTGGGAGTCATGAGAAGGCCAAGATGGAGTTGTTGTGCGATGGTGTATCAACCGACCTTTTCGGAAACACCGTACTTTCCTTCAGCTCAGATGGCCATCTCAAACCAAAACGGGGACTCAATGCCCGTGCAGCTCCTTCCCATCCGCCCACGGAATGCTGTGTTTGGCAAAGGCAAAAGGCCAGCCTCAAACGAAGTGGTGGCTGCTTTGCGACAGGTGCAGACCGCCGCCTGCCGGTCTGCAGGACCTCTCCTTGCTCACTTTCCTCTTTCGTCACTACGCTGCAGGAGGCACACCTGCCATGCCATGCAGGCAAACAAAACACCGAATAACCTTAAAGCTTCTCAGCACAGTGAGAACCAGCCTGGGATCCGAGCTGAGGCCGCCCTGCCACTTACAGGTCGTTCCGAGGAGACAGCCCTTGGAAGAGGGAGAGACAGAGAGAGAGAGAGAGAGAGAGATTTGTGCAGTCAGCTGGTTGAGCCGTGAGTCAAGCCGGTGAACATGCCTCCCCCCCCAAGACAAAATATGTTAGTAATGCCAAGTCATGACTGTAGAGTCGTATAGTTTTCATGCTAGTCACTAGAGAGAGAGACAAAAAAAAGTCCGTGAGAGCGAGGGAAGAGTCACGTCATGAATCAAACAAAGTTGTTTCTCCCATCGCTATCAATGCCATCCAGGATGCGTGTAACACCAGGAGTTTGTCTATAGTACAAGAAGAAGAAAAATGAACCAATGATGTAAATGCTGCTGTGTCATATACGTGCAGCGGGTAAAATGAACAAGAATGAAAACGACCAGGTAGTTTCCGCCCAGAGAAGCAAAACACCCCCCCTCCCTCCCCAAAAACGTATGGTGAGATCAGACACGTCCATCCCCTTACGCCCAACCGCCCCTCGATTGATTCCGGCCGCGCAACGAGACATATCTGCAAATAGCCTTTTTAATCGACAAATAACCCCAAAGTTTAAACTGACACGACTGATCCATCATCGTTGCCCGCGCATTCCACGAACCCCCAAGACATTCGACTTGGTCCATGCAAGCCCACCGTCGAGCGAAATTATACCATCCCGTCGGCCTTGACATGGCAGCGTCTTAGCGGCCTCCTGCGCAGGCGCCTCGAGCGCTGGCCAAGCCACACTTGGAGAAGGGGTGCGCGGGCTTGGAGGGAAAACAGCAGTTTGGCCGCCCAGAAAGTCTGTAGACGTGATCCATACCGCTGGTGGCTTGAATGGCCATCGGCAACCAGTGATCCGAAACCAACAAGTCGTCCCGAAAGACACCACCCAGCCCCCGCCCCTCCCCCCAGTCGAATAGACATGGGAGCGATGCCGCTGCCAGAACGGGAGTGCAGTATGGCGGCATACGTGACAGTGGCAGAGTATCATCGCGGTGAGAGGACATGCAAGTCCTCACCCGGGTGACATACATCACTGCAGAGCAGCCGTTCGGCGTCTGTGCCAATGGTGCGCCCGTCTTCTCCTCCGCGGTGCTAAATGCATCGTCGGGTGGTCCAACGTCTTCGTATCCCCTCCCCCGATGTCTTGGGGGAGGGAGGCTAACCGCAGCTAGCTGCAGGCAACCAGAGCAGGATGTAGATGTGCGTCGTCGTAGAGACGCCGTCAGTCTGCAACATCCCACACGTAGTCCTCTCTTCAAAGGACTTTCGTGTCGTTGGCACATGCTAGGATCCTGGTTCTCGAATTGCCTGCCGGGACCCCGTACCCTCATTTTCCTCCCTGCGCATGCGGGCTGCGGGCTGCGCTGTGACGTCCACCGCCCACAGCTGGCAGGGGCGTGGAGGAGTAGGAGGAAGACTGGAGAATGCGTGTATGTATGTGTGGCGTGTGTGAGGGGGGGCCTTTTTTTCTTCTTGTTTTCTTTTTTCTTGGAGAGGGCGAGGGGATGGAGCGCTTGGACCCACTCCACTGTTCCCTATTCGTTGGCGACAGGCCGGGACAGGGGGTTTGGTCTGATAAGTGGATGCTCTTCGGGTATTAGGACGGAGATATGCGCCTGGTGGGTTTGCAGGTGGGCTGATAAGATGATGGGACGGATAAGGGGACCGAGGCGCACGAAAGAGCCAAGACTAGATACTCGGGTACGGCAAGCAGATTGACAGGGCTCTGGCGAAGGATGGCGAGACCGGATGCCTGCTATGGGAACCATGGCTTGAAAAGTAAAGCACATGCTTTGCTTTGTCGACTAACGGCGGATTTGGAAAAATTGCGGGCGCAACTTGCGGATGCTGGCCACCCGCTGACTGCGTTGCGTGTGTTGCTTCATGAACTGCGGGATGCTGCTCCCAATACGCATGGCGACAGAAACCCAAGTCGCTAGTCATGCCCATGCTTGCGGTCGGTCTAACTGCTGATTGCATATGCGGCGCGCTTCAGGTGCAGGACAGAGAGGTGCCAAACCGGGGAGACACACTAGGTTCGCAGACTCGGCGCCTTGTGTGTAAACCCCAATGAAAGGCATAGTGTCGTGAACCTGCGCGCCGGGCTATGTGCAGTGGGCGAATTGCTCTAGAGGTCAAAAAACCTCCCTTAGCAAAGTCGGGGGCGTGGGAGTCACGCGCGGGCGTTGTCCCAGTAGCGCTTTCGTGCGGCCATGGCGATCTTGTTGCCCATGAAGCGGTGCTGGAAGTAGTTGAAGACGGCGAACTCGTCGCGGTTCAAGACGTACGACTCGGGCTGAGCGGCGACCTTGGCCCAGATCTGGCTGATAGCGCTCTCCAGGATGCTGCTAACAGTCGGGTCCGAGGCACCGTCGGGGCTCTCTCTGGCGATCTCGAGGGCTTGCGCGACGCTGGCGGCATCCTTGATCGAGGCTGCCGTCACCGAGGTGGTGTTGCCGACGTGGAGGCTGTGGCCCATGCTGCTAGCGAGGGAGCTGAGGAAGGGCAGGTCGGTAACAGGGCGGCTCGGGGAAGACAAAGGTCTGAATGGGAGGTAGAGGGACTGGTTGTGGTGGTCTCCCTGAGGTGTGATAGACAGCATCGTAGTGTAGTAGAGTGGAGGACGAGAGGTGATGTATATATATATATATATAGATGGCGAGTGCTATGTTGATCTGTTGTAAAGAGGCAAGTATGGCCAAGGTGGGAAGGCTGGGAGGATGAGAGGTGATATATAATGTGATGGACTGAGCCGATCTGGCCTAGGTGACGGGGAGGGGCGACGATATTTAATGAATAGCCGGGGCCGGCAACGAGGTAGGTACAAGAGCAGGAACCGTGGATGCTGGGAATGCTCCAATTAAGAGGCGCACAGTTGTTTGACGTTGTGCCTTGGCTTGTGGTGTCTGTTGCAGGGTAGAGCTGGAGCTGACTTGATGTGGGTTCGATGTGCGATACAAATGCACCGATCCGAATAGGACAAATTCAACCCCGGATTAGACGCTTCTCTTATAGCAACTGGCCTTGCCGCCGCGGATGAGGGAGCGGATGGGCAGCCCAGGACAGGTACGGGTACGGGTAGTCAGGCATGGATTGTAAAAGTGTAATCGTCCGTACTAGGGTACGTAGCTGGGCAGGGAGTGTGGGATTCTGACTTTTAATTTGGGGGTGTGTGTGTGTGTGTGTGAGCGTGGGGCGTGGGGAGTGTGGTGATAGAAAGTGACAAGTGCAAAAAGTGTGTGTAGGTGCGTGTGTGAGAAGGCGTGTGAGAAGGTGTGAGATCAGAGACAAGTGAGAGGCAGCAGCTTGTAGTGCGGCACGGGAGGTGTGCGTGGGTAGGCGTGTAAGTCATCAGTCAAGTGGTGAGTTTCCCGTAGGAAGGTTGTCAGTTCCAGCCAAGTCCAGTCCAAGTCGTGGGCCGTGGCATGAGCAAAACAAGACGAGGAAACAGATGGGCGGGTCCTCTTTCGACGGACGACAGTCGACCTGGGACTCGCAACAGTAATGCGACCTGCATCCCGTCACCAAGTGACCGGGGGGCCCAATGCAAGCATCCAACCGCCACGCAGAGTGTATAGCGTGGCGGCAGTCATTAGCCTCGCAAGAAGATAGGCTGGGTAACCGCA